TATTCTAGTCTAGAGAATTCCATGGACTGTCATAGTCCCTGGGTTCCCAAAGAGTTGGACACGACTGAGCAACTTTCAATTTTTCTTCACTTCAGTCTGTCAAAATTTGATGAAGCCTAAATATGCACCTTGGTTGTAAATGTGTCTAAAGAGATAAAACACAGTTACCTGTTTTATAACAACCTATAAACCCACATAACCAGGATATTACTTGAAATATAAAATGTTCTGAAGTTTTTCAGATTATGAGATTTGATATCCAAATATTTTCTAGTCTACTGACACACATACTTTTATTTTTCTTTACAACCTTATATCAGAACTATCTGATTAAAAAACAACAACAAATGTGTTTTTCAAACTCCACAGCCAGGATACCCCTGCTGCAAAGCCTGCAGTTTGTCTACAAGATTCTTTTGCCTGAACTCAAAAGATACAGTGAATTTTCTGAACAGCTCTTTGCTGAGAACCTATCCACCATGTTCATCTTGCTAGACTTGCAGGAAACCAAAGAAGAGTCTGCAGCAGGGAGGGTTTATTTGCAGAGCCACCGAGCAGGGAGATGGTGCCTCCACAAAGGCAAGGGACTTGAGTATTTACAGGATAACCAGTCAGGCAGCAGGGTGGCCTGAAGCACAGGGAGCAGTGACCGGGGAAAAGTGTCACAAGCATCATTTTGCACAGGTGGAACCAGGCTTCAGGCTCCCACTTCCCTTAGGTCACCCCAGGGATGCTGGCACCCACCCAGCTTAGCCGGCTGAGCTCAGACAGATGCGGCTGACTCCAAGTCCCTGGAAAACAGCTCAGGTCAACATCTTGTCTAGGCTCTGAGCCGCTTGGAGGACGTGCCGATCTTAAAACAACCTTGATTAGTGCTGGCAGGTGAGGTCGATTTGACTGATTGCCCATGGAGTCACTGCCCCATGCCGGGGACTGGAAAGAGGTACCAGAATCCCATGCCTGCAGATGTTTGGTTTCTGGGGAGACGGACATGTGCCTGGGGAGAACTGGCTGGACAGGCCATCTCTGTAGAGGGAGAGGCAGAGGGGCTGGGGTAGGAGGGAACCAGGCCCTCCCAGCCCGGAGCTGAGGAGTCAGGTAACGTTCTGGGGCCCGGGTGGGATCTCAGAGCAGAACCAGAGAAGAGGCTGCGGTGATGGCCAAGGCCGCTGGTCCAGGAGACCCGGGCAACTCAGGAAGGGCGTTTGGGCTTCTCACAAGGACAATTGTTGGTCCCTGTGATGGGCAGGACACAGGCGAGATGGGAGGAAGGAGGCAGAGGGACCAGGGTTGCGGGGGGGGCAGGCCTGAGCAAGGGCAGGGCCAGGAGTTGGGCAGCAGGTTTGGGACCCCAGGGCAGGCATCATGCCAGCCGGTGGGTGTGGGTGACCTGGACACAGGGACAGTGGGTGGCCCACGGTTATGTACTGGGGTGGCCCTGGCCAACGGTGACAGCCAAGCAAAGTGACTTGGAAGCCCATCAGCACTGAAGTCAAAGGCCCCAGAAAAGGGGAAAGACAGTGAAAAGAGCAGATTCAAGGACTGGTCCTCAGCTCCCCCAGGGGACAGAGACCGAGCTCCAGTGTCTGCACAGAGCAGCAAGTGCGGCCACCCTGGTCACAGGACTGCAGGCTGAGGACACCCTGACAGAGGTGGGGACTCCTAGGGTCTCCCTGCAGCTGGGGGTGGCCGGAGAGGCTGCAGGGAGGAGACACCGGCCCTCCTGGGCTGCTGGCAACCTTCAGGCAGGAGGAACCTGCATTTCCAGGCCCGTTGGGTGGGAGGGCCCGAGGAGAGACAGGCCCCCCTACAGCCCCTGCCCTCTTTGGCTTGTGGGCAAAAGCATGTGCTGGGCCTTAGGCTCTGTGCTTGGAGTCATGGGCCTCACCTTTCAGATCTGGAACCAAGTGCTTATTGACAGAAAGCCGGGTCACTGGCCAAGTTCAGTTCCCAACGGTGAGGCCTTCAACTCCAGGAGGCCACCATCAGCCCCACCACCTGCAGTTTGAGTCTTCAAAACCACAAGAGACTCAGCTGTTTTGGGTCTCTGACCTTGAAACACTGTTTTAAAGGGCTCCACTGATTAGGTCAGGCCCACCTGGGACAACCTCCCTTTTGATTAAATCAATTAATTGTTATTTTAAAATGACATCACAGGCTCTTGTCACCTCTGCCACATAACATAATCCAATCTCAGGAGCGACACCCCTTGTTATTCCCAAACTCACTGGACTCACTGGGCATCACCTCGGACCAGCCTGTCTCGCCTGGTCCCTGGCATGTTTTATCCCCATTTGAAAAAGAAAAAGAGTGAAAACAGGGCTTAATATCAAAGAAAAAAGGATAGTAGACTAAAGCAGTGCATGATTCAAGAGTGCTCCAGAGAAACAGCCGATGGGATAGACGTACACTATAATAGGGAGAGATCTATTACAGGAACTGGCTGGTGCTCCTCGTGAAGGCTGAGAATCCTCACCTCCTGATGTCCGCAGCTGAGACTCAGGGAAGTTGGTCACCTGGTTCCAGTTTGAGTGCAGAGGCCAGAGAACCAGAAGCACGGGTAGTGTCGGCCGTCTGAGGGTGGGATAAGGGGTCCCAGCTCAGGAGCCAGGCAGGGGGCTGTGAGTGCTCCCCTCCTCCACCTGGTTGTCCAACCCCCCACCCCATCCACACATGTGATGTCATCATGGCAGGAGCAGGGACAGGTGGGTGCACCTAGGAGGCTGTAGGGGGTGGGGAGGTGGTAGAGCTTAGAAAGAAGCCTGGGGTCCCCTGTCCCATGACAAGCTAGTTGTCCAAGGCCTGCGAGCACGGGGGGATGAGCGGGTAGTAAATTTAATTTCTTCAACACGAGGAGCCAAATCTGGATCTGTTGTATAAATGTCCACTTAAAATAGCTAAGAAAATAGCCAGGGAAAGAGCTAACAGCTAACTCTGAATACTTTGCTGACATGTGCTTTTTATATTAATCTACACAGTAACCGTCCGTTTTAGGCAACCGTGGTGGAAAAGGAAGGAAAGTGTTTTTTGGAGCTTGCTGACTGAGGTCAAAGCCTCCTTCTTTAGACAACCTCTCACTGACTCACCGGGATTCATTCTGTGTACTTACTCCCAACGTGGCCCCTCAAGGTCCTTACCTCTTTTTTTTCCTTACCTCTTTTTTAAAAAATTAATTTATTTTAATTGGAGGCTAATTACTTTACAATAGTGTAAATAATACTGGTTTTTGCCATACACTGACATGGATCAGCCATGGGTGTACATGTGTCTCCCATCCTGAACCAACCTCCCACCTCTCTTGATGGTCCTGCCTCTCACACCCTGGGGAGCTGAGCACAGTGGGAGCCATGGGAATGGTGGTGGGTGCTCCTGGGACAGGTGATAAATCAACTGTTGACCTGGCTTCACCCTCTGGGACCTTTCCTTAAGGGGAAGCCGTCGGCCCCCTGCCTTGTGGGGAGGCCACTAGAGCAGCCTGGGAGGAGGCAGCTGGGGGCGATTGGGTGGGGGTGTGGGTAGGTGTGTGTGTGTGCATGGCCACCAATGGCACCCCCTGCCCCGCCCTGCCTCCTCCTCTCACAGGGGTTGGTCCCCAGTGAACACCCACCCTCTTCTGCCCCAAAGTGTCTCAGTACCCATCTCTAGAAGGCCCTGCCCCGAAAAGGCTTCCCTGTGAGGGGCTCCGGCTCTCCTGAAAGATGTTAGGGGGAGGGAGACAGGTCGGGGGTTCACTTGACTCCCCTGTCCCCTTTATGTGGCCACTGGGCCTCTGACCTGGGAACCAGGGTTGCCGCCGTCCAAGCCCACAACCCCACCGGGGCTCCTGTCTGACCCTGCACCCATCCCCCTGAGGACAGGCATCCACCCTGGGAAAGGAAGTGCAGGCGGCGATGCCAGCAGCCACCCCAACAGGGTCTATCACTTATGGTCATGAATTAATTATTCTAAGTTAACGAATATCCCATTTTCAGATGTTAACAGAAACAATTTTGAGACTCCGTGATGGCAACATCAGCATGTTAGCATGAAGATTGAGACGATGATCTGAAAAAAAAGAATGAATCAAAGTTTCACATTCCTCTAACTGGTTTATTTGAAGCTTACCTGTCAACCAGAGAACAAGCCATAACAATATGAATATTGATGAGTTCAGCTTCATAGGGAAAGATTCTAATAAGCTCAATCTTTATGCACTAATTTGGAACCAATTTACTAGATATATTAAGCAAATAACATGCAGAGCAGTATGTGGTTTCCCACTATTTGTCTTAGAAGAGGGGACAGAATATAGGTGTGTTACTTTCACTTACGTTTACGAGTACTCTACACAAACACATACACATACGACATACACTTGCTTATATAATCCTACGCTACTTCTGGAAACACACAACTGACACGGAGGTCACTGGTGGTCTGAGGAGGAACGTGAGTGGTCGTGGGGCAGGGATGGGAGGGAGACTCTTCACTACATGAGATTTTACACTTCTTTGCTTAGAACCATATGCAATTATTGGAAAAGACTGGGAAAGATTGAAGGCAAAAGGAGAAGGGGGTGGCAGAGGATGAGGTGGGGAGATAGCATCACCGACTCAAGGGACATGAATTTGAGTAAACTCCAGGAGAGACTGAAGGACGGAGGAACCTGGCATGCTACAGTCCACTGGGTCACAAAGAGTTGGACACGACTTAAAGACTGAACAACAACAGTATGCAATTACTGTCTACTGAGAAATAAATTAAGATTCAAGAGCAAATTCGAAGACAAGCAGCAACACACCACTAGTGTACACTACGTTCATCAGGATCCAGGACGTTTGGGGAAATACTCAGGGAGTGTGTGGGCATGGGTGGCTTACACTGTCACATAATTTTTTAAAATCTTATGAGTGGCTCTCAAGCTCGATTTCCAAATCTCTAATATGCATTTGGAAGGAAGTGAACACAGCACAGCTGGAGCTGGGTGACTTCTCTGAATGATGCCTGTGGGGCCCTTGGGCTTAGCGTTCATCCAGGCCAAGCTTAGCAGCAAAGAGCGAGGTGACGGGCTCGTCCCCAGTTTCCAGGGCCAGGTCATACGCCGTCTGGCCTCTCGTGTTCTTCTTCTGGATGCTGGCGTTGCATCTGTAAGGAAAATGGGGGTGAGCTGACGGATTCTGGTCCCTGAGCCTCAGGGCCTGACTCCTCCCTGCTGCTGGGGCTCCTGGGCCCCCGTCCCAAACTTCCCATGAGAGGCCACCATGACCCAGCCCTCAAAGGTAGCTCTACCCTGAGCCCTTCTGACGGGCTCTGTGATCTCACACATCCAATGCCAGTCCCAACAGAGGGTTCCCATAGCCTCCACAACCCACAACCAGGTGGATTTAAGGGGGGCAGCATTTTCATTGTGCTTTGAAAAGCTTAGTGCCTTGGGAGCCATGGTGGGATGGTGGCCCCCATTCACTGGGTCAGCTCTTTGGGTGCCAGGACCCCCTGAAATCCTCAAAGACCAACAAGGGGATCACTGTGGCAGTTGGAGTGTCCCCCAGAGGCCAAGGAACATACCCCAGTAAGGCAGCGATGCACTCCCTTCCTGCCCGGCCAAGCAGAGTTGCTTCATGAAGAGCTGTATTTTGGAGCCTGTTTGGGTGGGAAAAAATCCCTGGCTAAATCCTTGGTTAGCATCCTCGAGAGACTGGAGAGGGAGCAGGCAACCAATGGGGCCTTGGTTTCACCCATGACCTACTTAACTAACCCAGGAAAATCTCTTGACTCTTCCCTTTCTGCTTCTTTCTTTGGAAGATTAGCAGGGTAAGCTTTGATATCAAAGAGAAAGTTTTAAAGTAAGAAATCCCACAAGGATCTGGTTTATAGTCAATTTATACTAATAAACACTATGTTAGTGTATTTCCTGCAAGAGTTGGTGGAATGTGTGGGACATGGTCTCACTCTTGGCTTGAATCCTGGTGACTGTCCATATGACAATAACCTTTCAGGGCTGAGGCTCCTGTTCTTGTGTGGGGACAATGACCTTAGCTTCAGTGAGTGTGGCTTGTGTGATATGAAAACAAATACTAGTCTTAGAGCCCCGAGGGCAGGCCTGAGAGGTCAGACAGCATATTTTGCTATGTGCCAGACTCTCTCTCCACGTTGCCTCGTCAGCTTGGCCCAGTGAGGGAGCAGTGGATGCCACAGTGGAGGAAGGGGTGGTACCTGCATTCCAGAACTCACGAAAGGCTCCTGATCAGAGGTGGCAGGAGTGATGGAAGGTGGGAGTCATGGCTGGAGACAGAAATGAGATGAGCAGCTGAAGGTCTGCATTCTCCTGGCCCCTGGTCCTTCCCTCGACACCACCACCCCGTCCCCTGCACATGCAGGTGTATCTGCAGCCATAAACTTATCCCAGTGGAGAAAAAGTGTGGTGGCCTCTTTTGTGAAGATGATACATGGAGCCTCTGGTGAGAATCAGGTCAACAACTCCCATGCCCAGAGGGAAGCCTTCCACTTGTCCCACTCTGAGAGCAGCTTCACAGACTCTCCAAGCCTCCCTCATTTGATAAGCTCCTGCTATATACACAGAATTCCCACCCACCTAGCCCATTTCGCATTCGCAAACCTGAATGGATGATAAACAATGGTGCATATCTGAGAAAACCTGGCAGCATCAAAGAGAAAAAAACCAAGACACACAAACATAAGAAATTTAAAATGACTGAAGACAAAAACAGAGGCTGTGAAGAAGCAATCAGAACCAAAAGGCTCTCTTAGAAAGTAAACTTCCAGATGTTCAAGCTGGATTTATAAAAGGCAGAAGAACCAGAAATCAAATTGCCAACACCCGCTGGATCATTGAAAAAGCAAAAGAGTTCCAGAAAAACATCTACTTCTGCTTTATTGACTATGCCAAAGCCTCTGACTGTGTGGATCACCACAAACTGTGGAAAATTCTTAAAGAGATGGGAATCCCAGACTACCTTACCTGCCTCCTGAGAAATCTGTATGCAGGTCAGGAAGAAAAGGTCAGTTTTCATTCCAATCCCAAAGAAAGGCAATGCCAAAGAATGTTCAAACAATCACACAATTGCTCTCAACTCACACGCTAGCAGAGTAATGCTCAAAATTCTCCAAGCCAGGCTTCAACAGTATGTAAACTGTGAACTTCCAGATGTTCAAACTGGATTTAGAAAAGGCAGAGGAACCAGAGATCAAATTGCCAACACCCGCTGGATCACAGAAAATGCGAGAGAGTTCCAAAAAAACATCTGCTTCTGCTCTATTGACTAGGCCAAAGCCTTTGACTGTGTGGATCACAACAAACTGTGGAAAATTCTTAAAGAGATGGGAATACCAGACCACCTTACCTGCCTCCTGAGAAATCTGTATGCAAGTCAAGACCCAACAGTTAGAACTGGAAATGGAACAGCTGCTGCTCCTGCTAAGTCACTTCAGTCGTGTCTGACTCTGTGCAACCCCATAGACGGCAGCCCACCAGGCTCCCCCGTCCCTGGGATTCTCCAGGCAAGAACACTGGAGTGGGTTGCCATTTCCTTCTCCAATGCATGAAAGTGAAAAGTGAAAGTGAAGTCGCTGAGTTGTGTCCGACTCTAAGCAACCCCATGGACTGCAGCCCACTAGGCTCCTCCATCCATGGGATTTTCCAGGCAAGAGTACTGGAGTGGGTTGCCATTGCCTTCTCCTGGAACAACAGACTGGTTCCAAATAGGGAAAGGAGTACGTCAGGGTTGCATACTGTCACCCTGCTTATTTAACTTATATGCAGAGTATATCATGCAAAATGCTGGGCTGGATGAAGCACAAGCTGGAATCAAGACTGCTGGGAGAAATATCAATAACCTCAGATGTGCAGATGACACCACCCTTATGGCAGAAAGCAAAGAACTAAAGAGCCTCCTGATGAAAGTGAAAGAGGAGAGTGAAAATGTTAAAAAGTGAAAATGTTAAAACTCAACATTCAGAAAACTAAGATCATGGCATCTGGTCCCACCACTTCATGGCAAATAGATGGAAAACAATAGAAACAGTGACAGACTTTATTTTCTTGGGCTCCAAAATCACTGCAGACAGTGACTGCAGCCATGAAATTAACAGACACTTGCTCCTTGGAAGAAAAGCTATGACCAACCTAGACAGCATGTTAAAAAGCAGAGACATTACTTTGCCAACAAAGGTTCAATTTAGTCAAAGTAATGGTTTTTCCAGTAGTCATGTATGGATGTTAAGAGCTGGACCATAAAGAAAGCTGACCACCAAAGAATTAAATCTTTTGAACTATGGTATTGGAGAAGACTCTTGAGAGCCCCTGAACTGCATGGAGAGCCAACCAATCAATACTAAGGGAAATCAGTCCTGAATATTCATTGGAAGGACTGACTGATGCTGAAGCTGAAACTCCAATACTTTGGCCACCTGATGCAAAGAACTGACTCATTAGAAAAGACTATGATGCTGGGAAAGATTGAAGGCAGGAGGAGAAGGGGACGACAGAGGAAGAGATGATTGGATGGCATCACTGACTGGATGGACATGAGTTTGAGCAAGCTCCAGGAGTTGGTGACGGACTGGGAAGCCTGGCATGCTGCAGTCCATGGGGTCACAAAGAGTTGGACACAACTGAGCGACTGAACTGAACTGAGAAAGTAAAAAAGCTGACTGTTGAAATAAAGAGTAGTTAGCAAGAGAGCCAAGAAAACCTCTTAAAACAGAGAGAAAAAGGGACATGAAAAATATGGAGAAAGAAATAAAAAGACAGATAGAGGGGGTCAATTCAAGAGGCCCACCATCTAACTCATAAGAATTTTAGAAAGAGAGAATAGAAAAAATAGAAGGAACTTCCCCTGAACAGACACATGACTTTTCAGACTGAAAGGGTCACCTGGATGAATGAAAAACAGTACATCAAAAAAATACCCATGTGAAATCTCAGAACATCAGTGATAAATGCTTCTAGGAGGAACAAACAGGTCACAAATAAGAATTTGCTGTAGCATTTGCATGGGCTATGCTGGATGTTAGAAATCATCAGAACAAGGCTTACTAAGACTTGAGGAAAATCATTTTGAATGCAGAAATTAATATCAAGATTATTAGTCAGGAGTGAAGACAAAACAAAGTCATTCTTGACATTCAAGGACTCAAAAGTTTTTTCTACATACCCTTTCTGAAGAGGTTACCTAAACCCACATTCCAGCCTGACAAGGGTCAAAACCAAGAAAGAAGAAAGAGTGAACAATTTACAGGGGAATTCCAGTGAAAAGAAATGCCATGATGACCACTGTGCAGCAAGGCCAGAGAGCTGTCAGGCAAAATCTGACTAGTAAGTATACTCCAAGAAGAAAGCCTCTAACAGAAAAAGCCCTGAAAAAGTAAGGAACCAGATAAGATTACAGATGTGGTGAATGTGTGTTCTCTTTCAAACCAGAAAAAAACAAAGGCAGTCAGAAAGTCCAGGGGAATCAAAGATACACAAAACATGTACAAGTTAGTCATGGATTGTAGAAAAAAAAACAAAACCGAAATGTGGCCTGATTTTGAATAATTTATGGTGTGTAAGGAGAATCCATTTGACATTTCTGGTAAGAAAATTTTACTTTCACTGTCTTAAGTGTTCTTTTCTTGAACCAACAAACAATAAAATGTAATCAGAATATAGCAATGAATGATATTTATCATGTAGCTATTACAATGCAATTACTCTTCATACTTTTCAACCACTGGAATCAACCTATGGATGAAGGATGGATGTCTTAATTATGTTAACACAAGTAAACACAACTGTGATGAGTGTTGTAAAAAGCAAGCATTGACTAACAGAAGTTGTGAGATGCAAGGGGAAGGAAAGACAGAGGTTAAGGTACAGAGCACTAATACATACTTGTACACACTTCTCAGTACACACAGGTCAGTCAAGCGATATCATTGAAAGATGATAATCATAGTAGAGGAGTTCAGGACTATCATTGCTATTTTCACAGTAATTAATAAAGAACCAAAAACAGTAACAGAATGATCAAAACGTGATGGCGGGGTCAGCAAGTGTAATTACCATTTATCACAGAAGGAATCAACAGATGCCATCTGAGCATGCTAGATCAGGAATGACCCATTTAAGTGTACTGTTTAGTGACAGAGATATAGCTGACTCCCTGGAGAACTTTAAAATATTTGCACTAGTTGTCCTTGAAGACAGAACTGCGGATGAAGAGGTGAAGGTAGCAGAGACCTGCCAAGCTCTTTCACAGGATGTGGTTTTCGTCAGTCATGTCCACATCTTATCCTGATACAACTGAAAAGTTACTTGGTGTGTATGGATTGTTTTCAGCAATCATACACAGTTTAAGAAATCTTTCTGCCAGCCCAGTCATAAATAAGACAATGTCACTAGGACAGGTCCAGAAATGAAAAATGGTAAATAAACCTCCCATGCCGCTCTGTACCTGAAGCAAGCCTGTCCCAGACTAACTTTGGGAGCCTCTGCTCTGGTCCTGGGGGATGGTGGGGGCCTCTCCTGACCACACCATGCTCAGCTCTATTACCTGGCTTTATTTTCCTTGCAGCACTTAGCAGTCTCTGAAATGACTCATTCATCTGCTTACTTGTTTATTGTCTGTCTCCTCCACTACACTCTGAGCTCCATGAGGGAGGGGTCTGTCTCCATCATTGCTGTGTGTCCACTGCCTAGAATGCTGACCAGCACACAGTAGGTGCCCAGAAACCACTAGTGAAATGAATACACCAATGAAGAGAATGAACAGACAGACAAACTTGGGGAAGGAGTGTTGCCTCCTAGACTGAGACCCACATGACTTGCAAGAATTGCAGGTACACGTCTATGAACCTCTGCCTCCAACGGTGGGTGCAGGGAAGCCCCTGCCTGATTTTGGCTCCAGAGTCAGAACTGTCCAGGTGGTAAGACTTTCCATTTTCCAGAAAGTGAGAAACTTAGCACTTTCAACTGGTTCTTGCTGCAGCAGAACCCTCAGCACCAAGCCACCCCAGTGGTTTCAGGTCTCATCTAATTTTAGATCTTAGCATTCATGTATGTTCCGCCAGCTCACCTGGCCAAGGGCCCTGGTCCTGAGTAAATCTGGGTGGTGTGATTGGCTAGTTCTTCCTCATCTTTCTCCAGAGGCAGGAAGTGAGAATGCCTGTGTGCCTTACACCCGAATTCCCATGGCTTTCCAAAGATCTGCCTTTGGTTTGAGGCATACAGTTTCTCCTGGCAACTAAGATTTGGGGATCAGCCTTCATATTGCTGTTGGTGGTGGTGGTAATATTATTATTCGTTTGAGCAGATCAACATCACTGACCTGTGAGGCATGGGGAAAATCCCATGTCCAACAGCACTGTGAGGCCATCTCCTTACCGAGGGCCATGCTGGGCCATCTCTTAACATCTTGGTGTTTGTAGGAATGGGCTTTGATCCCTGCTACTCAGATGGTGGCACCTGGACCACTGGCCTCTCCTCAGAGCTTGTTAGAGACGCAGGATCTCAGCCCCAGCCACACCCAGATCTACCGAATGTGCACTTTAACAAGGTCCTTGGATGATTCAGATACATGTTACAGTATGAGAAGCACTTATGAAGTTCATCTGCTTAGAGCTTGGGGCATTAAAAAAATACACATGCCCTTTCCTTAATGTGAAAATGTGGACCTGGGAGGGCTTGGCGACATCTCTTAACAGAAACAGAAGAATTCAGAACTTAAACCCAGTGCTAACACCTTTCTGGGCTATTCTCCCTGGCCCCTCTCATCCCCATCTTATGCACTGTCCATCATTGAGCAGTTGACACTTTCCACTCAAATCCTAACAACCCACCTTTTCATTACCACGGCATCATGACTGCTACCACTCGAGTCCAATCGTTAGGCTCCTCGAGGGCACCTCAAAACACTAATTTCATCCTCCACTAACTCTGTGACGTGAGCACAATCATTTGACAGATGAGAAGAATATGCTCATTTTCTCCACATTTTGCTCTCTCCTGCCTCCAAACTGTTACATCACCACAGATGGCTACCTCTTCCTCTTCCCCCCACTGTTAGCAAAATTCCCAGGGGTCACCTTCAAAGTATACATTTCTCATGAGGTCTTTCAGATCACATCCCCTGGGCTCTAAGACACTTGAATTATTTGTTTACTCCACACACGTGTGGGTGCCTCCTGGTGCCCTTAAAGGTGCCAGGGCCACCAGGTCACATGTGACACAGTGCTTGTTCCTCTCTCGGGGAGCTGAGACCACCCAGTTACAAATTCAGGGTGAGGGGTGTACAGCATGCCGATAGCCTGACCACGGAGGTCTCGGTCACACCAGCCTCCTCCTTGTCCTTCACCCTTCCCGCCTCCCTGGTTGAAGGCTTACCTGTCACTTCACACCCTTGGGTTCTGGGGGTGTTCATCATGCATTTCCCATTTGAACTTATTTAGTCACAGGGTCACAGCATCTCCTAAGTAGACTCCCGACCTCCTGCCTTCAGAGCTCTCCCCAGACTGAGAGCAGAGGGTGTTCAGTTTACTGAATGAAGGTGTTGTGGGGGTGAGGGGGGCCGGCTTGCTGATGGCTACATTTTCCAGGTTAGTAACTGATATTTCCCGCGTAACCACAGTTCATTTGGGAAAATGATAAATCTTCATTGTATACTCTGCTCCTCAGACAAGCGGACTCCAATACAGCGAGAGCAGGAGATGGAACACACCCTCGCGTCCGAACATCAAGCTGTGAGTTGTTCCTCCGAGTAGCTAGTCGTCATCATATCAGACCTTCCAGAACACGGTTTTGCAGAGCAAGCACACACCGTGGTACTCTGTGAATTTGTATCATAAAGACACTTTTCTACCAATGCACAGCAACGCAAACTGTTTACCCCGATTTAGGTATCTCGGTGAATCAAGGCACACTCTCTGTGCGTAAATCCTGAATTACCTAACCATACATCTCCACAGTGAACCTCTCGGTACACTGATAGCTACATTTGCCTCACCTGCCTCCTGGGGCAGAGCTCAGAGGAGCAAAGTTTGAAACTGTTCACAGTTTGAAACTATGAAGAAGCCCAGCTCCCGCCCAAAAGCAAACCACGTTTCCATGTCCCTCTCCTCGTGAGGCCTTGCATTTGTGCTTCTAAAGTTTGCTGGCAAGAGGTATCAGCTTTGGTGGCAGATTTGTATTACTCCTTGGCCATCCACTTTCTGTCCAGGAGATGGTGAAGGACAGGGAAGCCTGGCGTGCTGCAGTCCATGGGGTCACAAAAAGTCAGACATGACTGAGCGACTGAACAACAAGATCCCCTTTCTGCTGAGGATGAGTTTATTCTGGCAAGAAAGACAAACTGGGGAGCCAGAAATCCTAGGGAGGGGCTTTCTACTGCCTGCCAGGCTGCTTGACAGAGGTTACTTCTGTAGAGACCACCTGGGCGACCTCTCTCCATCAGCTCAACCAGCTCGGGGTGGGAAGGAGCATGTGAGTCCTTGTTTGCAAAGGGTCTCTTCTAAAAGAAAGTCAGATCTCCGAGGGGCTTGTGCCTAAAGATCTCAGTGCAGCCTTGAGCTCATGTCCTGGATCCAGCTGAGAGACAGAGCCCGGGAGGACTCAGGCCCAAACACTTCGAACTAGCAAATACTAGCCAGTCTCAGCAGAATTGGCTCCTGGTGGAAAAATCTGTTTTCCAAACCCCATCCTACATGACCCATAAACTGTTAAACAGTAACCCAGACAACGCAGGGGGAAGTGAAAAAGGGCTGTTACATACACTCAGCCAGACCATACAGCCGCGAGCTAGACTTAGTAGAAATGCAAGGAGATCACCCATGGGTAAGATGTCAGTTTACAGAATGACAATAAAGCAAGAATGGGAACTGAGGACACCAAAGAGAAACAGGTCATCCGTTCCATGTCCAGAGTAGTTTTATCCTCTTAGCTGGACTCTTCATAAAGCCAGGACTCACCACACTTAAGCCTCGATTCAAACCATGCTTGAGAGATTTTTGTAAATCTTTCAAACCACAAACATTATTCTTACATGCAATTTAAAAACCCTTGTCTTGGACTGCTGTGGTGGTACAGTGGATAAGAATCTGCCTGCCAATGTAGGGGACACAGGCTGGATCCCTGGTCCAGGAAGATCCCACCTGCCGTGGGGCAACTAAGCCGGTGTGCCACAGCTACTGAGCATCCGTGCCCAGAGCCTGTGCTCCCCAACAAGAGAGGCCACCACGTGAGGAGCCCACGCACCGAGACGGAGAGTAACTCCCACTCGCCACAACCAGAGAAAGCCCACACAGCAAAAAAGACTCACTGCAACCCCCCAAAAAAGTCCTTGTTGGAATTATACAAATATAAAGTACACTTAACACAAAACAAGGTGGCATTATTCCTATTAATAATGATAATGTAAATATAGGTAAATGAAGAAACTTACAAGGTATGATGCATGAGAGCAGTCAGAAAACCTGAGAAAGTAAATTCCAAGCATCAAATGCATTCACCCACATCCCAAACATTCTGCTATAAAGTGAAACTAAAAAGGGGTCCTGGCTACTGACATGGGGTCCTACTGGACAGAAACCTTTGAAAACATACATAGAAAAATTGAGGGATTTTGAATTAAAAGGCTAGAGGACATTTTGAAACAGAGGAAGACAGAAGTGAAGCTACTGAATTTTCATCCCCTGTGCTCCTTGCCATCCTCAGAGGCACAATTCATAGAGGGACCCCACCTGGTCTCAGCAATAGTGAGGGAGGCTGAGTGGCTGACCTGCGATCAGGGCAGTGGGATGTGAGCCATTAACAGCGAGGCCCTGGACTCAAAACACCATCCACCCCAGTTTCCAAAGTGATTCGCAAGAGAACAACAGTCAACAGGCTAGGCGGCTCGAGAGGCAGGTAAGTAACCATCCCACGTCTCTGGGTGTCTCTCTGTCCTGTTTCTTGGCTGGGGACACCGAGGCACCAGGAGATGAGGTGGTCAACTCAGCTTCCTCCCAGTGCTGTTAGTATCCGGAGATGCCAGGACAAGGTTTTCTTTCTGCAGTAACTTCACGAGTACATTTCCATGGGGAACACTCTCACCATTTCAGATCATGACGAAAACATGGCTTAGCACCCAAGGACTAAGGATTTGCGGCCCCACAGATATAAATAAATTCATGAGCTAACAAACTGGATCATCATTTATAAAAGCCACTAAAAGATGATCCAATGATCTGTTTAAAAACCTTTGTTTTACCCAGATTTGGAAAACAGACAACAGTCAAGTCTCTCATTCAGGCCAGAGTGGGTTGAAATGGTCCTTAAGTGACTGAGGTTGAATGGGGTGGGCATGTAGACGTACAGTGGAGCCCCGCCAGCCCCCGGCTGGCGGCGACCTCACCCAGCTCTCTTCCCTCCTCGAGTCTCACTTACGGGCCCCACTGCTGGTCCACATCTGCTCCTCTCTGCACGAGAACCGGGATGGCTTCGTGGTGTTGGTTCATGGCCGCCAGGCTCAGGACAGGCCGGTCTTGGTTGTCACTGCAGTTGGGGTCGGCTCCCTGCCATGTGGGGAAAGGGACAAACTCGCACAAGAGCCTGCGTGCCGTGGCACCCGCCTGCCCTCCTAGTAGCAAGTCCCTGACAGAAGTAAACTGCTTAACTCAGGAGACAGGAGAAGCAGGCAGCCCAGGACCAGTTCTGAAGACACAGCTGCCACGTCACATGGGTGATGGACTCGAGTTCCTGTCCCTTCCACCCCCGCCCCCCACCCAGCAGGAGGCGCCCCCAGAGAGACCACTCTGCTTCTTCAGGAGACAGGAAGCTCGCACAGGGTCACAGACCACGGGTTCTGTCCCCGAGCCTGCAAGTTATTGGGGTTCCTGTGCACTTTTCGGCCTATTTTTTTTTTTTTTGCTATAAAAATTAGCAACAGGTAACAGTGTGGTTTTTTTTAAAATGTGGATCATTTTGTTAAAGACTTTATTGAATTCATTACAATATTGCTTCTGTTTTACGTTTTGGATTTTGGGTCACAAGGCATGTGAGATCTTAGCTCCCCCACCAGGGATGGAACCTGCACCCCCTGCATTGGAAGAAGTCTTAACCACTGGACCACTGGGGAAGTCCCTACTGTGCAGGTTTTGACTAGCCACTGGGCCCGCTGCCCGGACAATTTCTGATTAATTGGCTCTGTGAGTGTGCCCGCGACGGGGCAGAAGGCCGGCTGTCCTCACCTCATCCAGCAGCTGCTCCATCACAGATGCTCTTCCCTCCCCTGCGGGTCCAACCTCCTTCAGCAGAAGCCTGTCTTCAGGCTGCAGGAGCACAGAGGTTGGTCATTTGTGTGGCCGCAGAGTATTTTTACCAGCAAGTCCCACTGGCCTAGCTCAACCCTCAGGTCAAATGTCTCCTCTCTGGGTTACGTTCGGTCCCAGAGACAGGTGAGCGTGAGCATGTGTTTGCACGTGCCTGTGTGTGATGCGTATGTGTAGGGGTGTGTATGTGTGTGCGTGTGTATGCAGGCGTGTGCGTGTGGTGTGTATGTGGTGTGTAGGAGGTGTGCATGTGTGGTATGTGTGATCCTCAATGGCCAGCAGCACAAGTAAACACATCTAAAGTAAGCCTGGTCGGTCTCTGACGTCTTGCCTGGGGGAAGGACTCCAGACAGACACTCTTTTGTGCTACTAAGGACAAGGATGCAATGAGAAACCTCACAAAAGACTCCAGAAACCCCACACTAGTTTTATTATCAGTGTTTCTAGGAAAAGCAACCAGGTGAACCCTGAAATTGACTCTGTATGTGGTGTCCGTTGCTCAGTTGGGTCTGACTCTTTGCTACTCCATGGACTGTAGCCCACCAGGCTCCTCTGTCCTCGGGATTCCCCAGGCAAGAATACTGGAGTGGGTTGCCATTTCCTTCTCCAGGGAATCTCCCAGGGATTGAACCCGGGTCTCCTACGCTGCAGGCAGATTCTTTACCATGTGAGCTTATGCTTGATAACGTGTTTGAAATCAGCCTGAATGTGAGTACCCGCCTGCGGAGAACGCCTGCTGCAGGCTGGGTGCTGGTGTGTGAGCCGGAGAGGTCCGGGGCTTGGTGTGACTGAGGATGGAGGAAGAACCGACACTGTCCGTATCCACCTGCATCTTGGGCGGGGCCCCTGGCTCTGGGCTCTTGGTAAGCACCTCTATTCCTCTTGCCACAGCCAAAGTCGTCCAGCCAAAGGGCAGTATAGTGGGTGAGCAAGGGCACCCATGTCTCTTTCTGTCTCCAAAGCTCTCCTTAAAACTATTCAGGGCCCATATTTGTGAAAAACTATACTCGAACAGCTGTGGGAAACCTGGAAAGGGTACCGTCCCTTCATTTGTCAACATGACCTGACAACCAAGGGTCAGCACATGTTTAAGACAAACCAAAAAAAAAAAAGAAAGATGAGCAGATGGAATTGACCCTAGAGAAAAAGCAAAGGTGGTTCAGGAGACTGGGGAGAACTGTAAAATACTTTCAGTGAATAATCTTGAGAGATTTTAAAGGGTTTTACCCCCATAAGGTGGAAACGTAGTATATAAAATAAAAGCATTCTTCCGTTAAAAAAAATCTCAAAATGGGGTGGGAGGTGACATGTGTATACCTATGGCTGATTCATGTTGATGTACGGCAGAAACCACCACAACACTGGAAAGCAATTATCCTCCAATTAAAAATAAATAAATCTGTAAAAATCTCAAAATGAAACACTGGATGCACAGGCTGAAGCATCAAGGAGCATCACGTACCGAAAGCTGCTGCTTCTTCTCTTGAAAGGGTTTGGTCTTGAAATTCTTGGTCCTGGCGACTTTCTCCTCGGTGTCAGGAGCGCCCTGGCTGTAGTCGCTCACTGGAATGACAGGAGTCCAGGACCAAGTGGCAACCCCTGCCACTTGCCTTGTGTAAGATCCACTCTCCCTCCCTGTGTGCCCCCTTGGAAGTCAGGAGGAAGAAAAGACTTTTATAGAAATTTCTATTTGATGAAACCTGGCGGAAAGGACTCTTGGGGCCAGCCCTCTCATTCCAGAACTAGAGGATGGATGAGAAGGAGGGGAAAAAAAGAAGCTACAGTTTTCAGGCCCCAAACAGTACCCCCTGCCCCAATCTATCTGCAAAGGTCTCACACTTGACTTCCGGGAGGCCAGAGGAGGTAACAGGGCCTGAAGTAACACGTGAAAGTGATAGGTGTGGCTGGCCAGCAAACGGTAAGCACTTCTCTGGCGTCCTTGCTGAGTCACTGTGTTGTTTTTGGTCCACCGTCCTTTTTTATTTTTATTAAAATTTTTTTTTTGATGGGCACCATTTTAAAAGTCTTTGTTGAATTTGTTACAACACTGTGGCCTCTGTTTTATGCTTTGGTTTTCTGGCTTTGAGGCACATAGGTTCTTAGCTTCTCGACCAGGGATCAAACCCGTACCCCTTGCACTGGAAGAAGAAGTCTTAACCACCGGGACCACCAGGGAAGTTTCCTGGTTTTTCTTTTTTCAATTACTATTTTTCTTCCAGTTTTGTTGAGATGTAATTGACATACAGCACTGCCTAACTTTCAGGTGTGCAGCATGATGACTTAGGCCACAAAATAGCGATCACAAGAAGCTTGGTGAACAGCGTCATCTCGTACAGAAACAAAACTAAAGAGGCAAGAAAAAATACTGTTCCTCGTGATGAGAACTCATAGGATTTGTTCTCTTAACAATGTCCATATATAACAGGTCAATGTTTTAAAGTTCCCGGAAAGGGGACAACTCACCCAAGCTGGACCCGCTGCCAAATAGCCCGTTTGCACCCTCAGTGATGCTGCTCAGGAAGTGGTCGCTGAAATTCATCGCCTTGTTCAGGTAAAAGTTCTGGCCAATGAAAAAATTCATGCATCGTGAACGACGCCACGTCCCAGCAGAAAGAACGGTCTCCTGCTCACCTGCCCCTCTCTCTCTGTTAATGATGGACGGTCAAGCCTGAAGCCTGGTCACCCTTCTGGATAGCTCCCTGATCTCACCGTGATGCTTAGGCCATTCTGCCTCTTAAACGACGCCTCAGTCTGGCCCCTCCTCTCTCACCAGGAACATGGCAACAGCCTCCAAACGGGTTCCTGCCAGCCCACCTTCCTGCAGCTGCCCCAGCCCCTCTACACAACGTGTATGTAACTGTGCCCTCCCAAGTCTTGGCTGCAGAGTTTGAATCCTGGTGCTGTCACTTACTACCTTAGGAGCCTTGAGCCTCAGTTTCCTCATCTGTAAAGTGGAAATATTATGACCAGAAGGTAAAATGAGGTTACCTGGATGTCTATAAAATGAGGATGGGTGGGACAAAGGCCAGACCTGGAATTCCGATCCACCTGGACCATTGCACAGCGTGGCATCCTGCCCACCCCACCATGGGGCCACCCACTACTTCCTGAGCACAGAACACACAGGCTAAGAAGAAATATACTGTGAACCTGGGGACACTTCTCCCACTTCTGCATGATGGACAACACACTGTAGGTGCTCTTGGTGGCTGCCCAGTTCCCCTAAACCCATCAGTTACCATCCCAGCTGCTACGCTGGCTGCTAACAACTCACGGCTGACCCCTGTCCCCAGCTGCCATCAGTAGGTGGATGCTGACTTGCCCTAGTGGTGATGCCCCTCCCCCCACCTCAACTGGGGACAAAGGTGGTGTGATTCACATGCCAAAGCTCCTGGTGGGTCGGCTAGAGCCCTTGCCATTCAGCCTCCCACCATCCCCCAACCCTATCTCCTGCATCCCTCAGTCCCACTCTCCTGAAGCACCTCCCCTCCTAAGTTCTGCTGCAGCCACACAACAGAAATCACAGCACTGAGCACTTTCCTTGGGTTCAGAGCACGTTCATGTGCATTTTCCCATGGGATCCCGCTTCCAGCCTCCCTGTAACTTAGGCATGCCCTAGGCATCCGTTCTGTCAGGTCACGGCCATGGGCAAGCTCCCCCTTCTTTTCCTTGCCTTCTTCACTCATCTTCTCAATCCATTCATTGCTCTTTTTGTATACTGTGACTTCTTGTCAAATGAAACTAAAGCTGCCAAATCCATCAATTAGTGTTGGTCACACACAGGCTCTGTGACAATGTTCCAATTACCACATAAGAGGGCAGGTCAAGGGATATATGGCCACAAAGTTTGGCTTATTTGTATAGGCAAAGAGATCAAAGTACATATAGCAAACACTTGTGTCAGCCTTTCACTTAGACTTCAGTGAGTGTAAGTAACCAGAGAACTAAAGGACCAATAGGGTGATAATTCCTGTTCTTATAACATCTTTATGTGCCTGAAAGCTGGCTTCTCTGAGGTTTAACTCAGTTACTTATCTAATTCTATGAAATTGCTAGCCTACAGTTATTGGAAACTCTTCTTTTCTATGAATTATGTAGAAGCATTTCAATAAACTATAAGCTACCCTTTTCTAGGTCAGTCAGTTCTCAAATGAATAACTTTTGACAGTTTTACTCACCTTGTTTGAGACTTGAATATAATTCAGCCTGATGCTGACTTCATAGCCATCCTCATGAACAGTAGCAGAGATGAGCTTGTAAAAAAAGTGAGAGAGAATTCACAACCAGGAGTGTGGGACTCAAGGCCCTGAGTCCCACAGCCAAGAAACTCTGAGATGCCAAACTGTACATGTAATCAAGTATTTCACTAACACAAAAGGCAGGAAAAGAGAAACAAAAAACCAGATGAAACAGAACACAAAGAGCAAATGGCAGACACAAATGCATACTTATCTATAATTCCATTAATCATAAATGAACTAAATCCTCCAATCAAAGAGTCAAGACTGACAGATTGGGTTAAGAAAGCAAGACTCAAATTTATACTCTTTGCAGGAGATATACTTTAATTAAGTCACATGGCTGCAAGTCATCAATTAAGAAAAGGTAACCTGGGGTGGGGGTGGGGCAGGTCCTTGGCAATCAAGGACCAGATATTCAGGTGAGCTACTGTCTCTGTAAGTGCCAGAAGGAATTTAGATCAGTGGGGCTCAGCAAATGCTTTAAGGATCAGACACTGAATATTTTAGGTTTTGTGGGGCATTCGGTCCTTGCCATTGTAGTACAAAAGCAGCTAGAGGCAATAAGTAAATGAATGAGTGCAGCTGTGATCCAATAAAACTTGATTTACAAAACCGGTAACAGGCCAGATGCACCCCACAGGTCATAGCCTGCAGACCCCTAGACTGGGCCAAAGAATTAACCACCAGAATGGATTATAAAAATAAATTTAGCAATATTTGAAACACGTATATTATCTAGGGTGAAACAGATCACCAGCCCAGGTTGGCTGCATGAGACAAGTGCTCGGGCCTGGTGCACTGGGAAGACCCAGAGGGTTCGGGTGGAGAGGGAGGTGGGAGGGGGGACCGGGATGGGGAATACATGTAAATCCATGGCTAATTCATTTCATGTATGACAAAAACCACTGCAATGATGTAAAGTAATTAGCCTCCAACTAATAAAAATAAATAAAAAAAAAATAAATTACAAAGTAAAAAAAAAAAAAACTGTTGAGCCAACACAGGCCAGTCAGGATCGTTAGACTGAAGAAAACCAGCCGTCTCAGGAGCAGACACTCTCTGCTACCCTGAGCAGTCAGAAGCTGCCTATACCAAGAATTAGGAGACAACCTCTGGGCTCTTCCTCTTTGGGGGGCGGGTAATCACTCCTACTGTTTGGTGTTAGAATCAACTGAGATGATTCATATTTTGAGGCTATAAAGTATCATCTATATATGAGATGCGACAGTCACAGTGAAGACAGAAATGATGGAGATTCATTGCAAACTATTCCTACTCCTAAAGAATAACCCAAAGTATATCCCTCTGAAATGGATCCATTTATCATTGGTCTCTATTTGGACAGACAGCAAGTCAAATAAACACCTTGTGGTGAAGTCAAAACGGTTCCCTAATCTCTGAAAATCAAAACTTTTCCCAATGATCTGAAGTCTCAACACACAATAGATCCAATCATGGGCTTCTTGGGGGAAATATAAACAAATGTATAAAATGTATTTTAAACACTCAGCAACTACAGTGATAATATGTTAAGATGGTACTTTTCAAAAATCAATCTATAATGTCTAATCTCATAGCTTAATCCCAGGGCTTAAATTGTTAACTAGACTTGCTCCAAATAAAACGTACTAGATTTAAAAAAAAAAAAAAAATTTAGCAATATTTGACAATGACACAGTTTCATTGTTGGCCTAACCTGGTGGCAGAGGAGTGGGTGGGCTAACTTTTAAAGGTCCTTCGGACCTCATGACGGAGGAAAAGTTCTCACAGATATATCTTTATAATAGCAGTACCCTTGAGATCTGACAGACCTGCTTCAAATCCTGATCCCTTGAGACCCAGAGAGTAGTCCTGGGAAGGTTACCAAAGCTCCCTGAGCCAGTTTTCCTGGATGTCAAATAAAGTTTGTTCTGATTATCTATTGCAGCATAAGAAATCCCAAATTTAGTGGCATCCAGTAACCACCATTTTATTATGTTCGTGGATTCCCAAGGACATGGCATGGGCAGCTTGTCTTGCTCCATGCCTGAGGCCTTGGCTGGAAGGACTCAAGTGGCAAGAGGTGGCTCCATGCTCAGGGCCTCGGATGACCAGGGCCTCATCAGTCATCTGCCTAGCTCCATGCGAGGCAGGACCACGCGACGACTTGCTTCAGCTGGGGCTGCAGATGGAGGCCCTGTGTGCGGCCACTCGGCATGGCTTGGGCTTCTCACAGTGGGGTGGCCGGGCTCCATGAGAGAGTGCTGGTGGTGAGCATGCCAAGCAGGGGAAGGCTTGCATGACCACACCTCGGGAGGCCCAGTCATCACTTCCGCCACAGTCTGTCAGTCAGACAATCACAAGCCCACCCAGATTCAAGGTGAGGGGACGCAGACTCCATCCTCTGAAGGGCATGTTTTCAAAACTGCCACAAGGTGAGGCTACCCACTGTAGGTCTATTGAGAGGACTAGAGATGGAGGACCTGATGCAGGTACTGACTGCAAATTACCTGGTAACTCTTATGGCCTTAGTGAAAAGGGGTGGGATTTAGTGCCAATGTGGCTATACTACACTATTCTTTCATTATAGTCTAACCCTCCATTCCCTTCCCTAGGGGATCTTCCTGACCCAGGGATTGAACCTGGCTCTCTTTCACTGTGGGCAGACTCTTTACCATCTGAGTTACGAGAGAAGTCCCACACACAACCCTACCTAACCCTAACCCAGTTAGGTATAATGGTTCTGACTCAGAATCCCACAGCCTGGGGCATCTAGAAGCATGAGACGTTCACAATGTACCGTCTTGAGTCAGGTGCCCAGAACCCTGGGACAAGACTCGGATAGCAAGTGATTGAAGGAGGCAGAGCTGTGAGGAGGACAATGAAGAGGCATGGAAAGCAGGAAAGGAGAAGGAAAATGGGCAAGCCATGTGAAGTTTCAGGACAATCAGTGGGGGCAACCTCAGCCCAATCCTGCGGGACGGTCGGTGTGGAAGTTCCACTCAGAGTTCACTCACCTTTCCCATCCTGGGTTCTGCAATCAAGGCTCGGAATTCGGGGTTGTTCTGAGCATAAGACCGGAGGTGAGCGGAGATGTGGTCCACCTGCTTTCTCCAGTATCCTGAGGAGGAGAGAAGACCGAGCACACAGATAATTCCTCCGAGGTGAAGGCAGAGAAGGACCAGCACGCCATGAATTCTCAGAGATGGCTTCTCTTGGCCAAACTCTGTGATGGTTTTTACTTACTGAACCTCGACTATGTACTAGAGTAAGTTCCATTTTTTTTTGTTCCTGGTTAATTTTTTTTTTGCACATGATGAATCATAGAATGGTCTTCCCTGGTGGCTTAGGTGGTAAAAGAATTTGCCTGCAATGCAGAACTGGGTTTGATCCCTGGGTCGGGAAGATACCCTGGAGAAGGGAATGGCTACCCACTCGAGTATTCTTGCTTGGAGAATCCCATGGATAGAGAAGCCTGGTAGGCTACAGTCCATGGGGTTACAAAGAGTCAGACACAATAGGCAACTAAGAACAATCATAGAATACTACAGAATTCCAATGGAACATTTTGATTGCCATATCTGGGGTCTTTTTATTTTATTTATTTTATTTTTTTGGCTGTGCCATCAGGTATGGGGAACCTTAGTTCACCGACCAGGAATCAAACCTGTGGCCCCTGCATCGAGGGTGTGGAGTCTCAGCCACTGGACCACCAGGGAAATCCCAAGGGAGTCTTTTTCTTTTACTCTTTTAAAATTAAGCATATTGAGAAACAACTTATTATTAAAAATGCACCTATTTTAAAGGTACAGTCTGAGTCTTGGCAAGTATATATGCCCTGTTGATATGCAGAATGTTTCTGAAAAGCTTCCTTTTGCCTCTTTCCAGTCTGCACAGGATTTGCAATAATTCTAATTCATTGCCACCCAAGGATATACAATGGAAAAAAGACAACCTCTTTAACAAGTGGTGCTGGGAAAACTGGTCAACCACCTGTAAAAGAATGAAACTAGAACACTTTCTAACACCATACACAAAAATAAACTCAAGATGGATTAAAGATCTAAATGTAAGACCAGAAACTATAAAACTCCTAGAGGAGAACATAGGCAAAACACTCTCCGACATAAATCACAGCAGGATCCTCTATGACCCACATCCCAGAATTTTAGAAATAAAAGCAAAAATAAACAAATGGGACCTAATGAAACTTAAAAGCTTTTGCACAACAAAGGAAACTATAAGCAAGGTGAAAAGACAGCCCTCAGATTGGGAGAAAATAATAGCAAACGAAGCAACAGACAAAGGATTAATCTCAAAAATATACAAGCAACTCCTCCAGCTCAACTCCAGAAAAATAAATGACCCAATCAAAAAATGGGCCAAAGAACTGAACAGACATTTCTCCAAGGAAGACATACAGATGGCTAACAAACACATGAAAAGATGCTCAACATCACTCATTATCAGAGAAATGCAAATCAAAACCACAATGAGGTACCATTACACACCAGTCAGGATGGCTGCTATCCAAAAGTCTACAAGCAATAAATGCTGGAGAGGGTGTGGAGAAAAGGGAACCCTCTTACACTGTTGGTGGGAATGCAAATTAGTACAGCCACTATGGAAAACAGTGTGGAGATTTCTTAAAAAGCTGGAAATAGAACTGCCATATGACCCAGCAATCCCACTTCTGGGCATACACACCGAGGAAACCAGATCTGAAAGAGACACGTGTACCCCAATGTTCATCGCAGCACTGTTTATAATAGCCAGGACATGGAAGCAACCTAGATGCCCATCAGCAGATGAATGGATGAAGAAGCTGTGGTACATATACACCATGGAATATTACTCAGCCATTAAAAAGAATTCATTTGAATCAGTTCTAATGAGATGGATGAAACTGGAGCCCATTATACAGAGCGAAGTAAGCCTGAAAGATAAAGACCATTACAGTATACTAACACATATATATGGAATTTAGAAAGATGGTAACGATAACCCTATGTGCAAAACAGAAAAAGAGACTCCTATGTATAGAACAGACTTGTGGACTCTGGGAGAAGGCGAGGGTGGGATGTTTCAAGAGAACAGCATTGAAACACGTATATTATCTAGGGTGAAACAGTTCACCAGCCCAGGTTGGGTGCATGAGACAAGTGCTCGGGCCTGGTGCACTGGGAAGACCCAGAGGGATTGGGTGGAGAGGGAGGTGGGAGGGGGGACTGGGATGGGGAATACATGTAAAAAAAAAAAAAAAAAAAAAAGATACACTATGGTTGTGATAAAAAAAAATAAATTAATAAAAAAAATATTTAATTAAAAAAAAAATAATTCATTGCCACCACTTAAGACTTGAGAGATTTCACATGTGTTTGTTCTCTCGTCCACAGGTGGGTGACACATGGCAGCACTAGGCCTGCCCTTCTGTGTGGGCTCAGCTGCCTGGGCCCAAGGAGCAGCTGCCTGCTCTGGATGGGGCAGGGCCCTCCAGCTGGCCATAGCTCCCGCAGGAGGGGATGTTAAGGCCTAAGGATAATAGTGAACGATGTGGTAGAAAGCAAGTACGAGGCGCCTAGAGACAGGAGTTAAACCATAGGCTGGCCAGCTTACCAAAGAGAACCACAGAAATAAACAGTTAAGCAAGACAAGCTCTCTTGAAGTCTGAAAAATATCTCAAACACTGACCTCAAGAACTATCCTTAAAACTGACCTCAAAAACTAAAAAAAAACTCCCTCACATTTAATTGGATCAATCTGTAGAGCAGTTTACACCCTTAGAGCACTGTGGAAAGTAATAAAGCAATCAGCCAGCAGTACGTGGAACTTGAAGGCTGGCGGTGGTCAGGGAAAGAGACCTCGCCAAAGCCACACAACTCAAAGGTCCACTACTGATGAACAAGCACAACAGAATATCATTCAGCTATAAAAAGAGGATGAATATTGAAACATGCTACATGGACAAACTTGGAAACATTATACTAATTGAAAGACTGATGCTGAAGCTATAATACTGTGGCCACCTGATGCGAAGAGCCAACTCATTAGAAAAGACCTTGATGCTGGGAAAGATTGAAGGCAGGAGGAGAAGGGGGCGACAAAGGACAAAACAGTTGAATGGCATCACGGACTCAATGGACATGAGTTTGAGCAAGCTTGGGGAGATGGTGACGGACAGGGAAGCCTGGCATGCTATCAGTCCATGGGGTTGCAAAGAGTCGGACATGACTGAGCGACTGAACAACAAAGTGAAAGAAGCTGGTCACAAAAGGCATCATGTATTTCCACTTACACATCCAGAATAAGCAAATCCATAAGGATAGAAATAGATGAGTGGTGATTACACCCTTGGGGGGGCGGTGTAGAGGGTGGTGCTTATTGCATACGGGATTTACCTTTAAGGAGATGAAAATGTGGCAAAGGAGAGGAAGAGCGGTGATGGTTGTACAATACTGCTCATGTACTAAATACTACCGAATTATACCCTCTAAAATGGAGAAGACGGTGACATTCATGTCAGGTGAACTTTACCACACTAAAAAAAAAAGAGCTGATGGCAGACAGCAACAGTGATGCAGACTATCAACATTTGTACATTAGTATACAAAGTCTTACGTGCTATTTCATTTACAAACTACATAACGGGGTTAGGAGTCAAAACACGCTAAATGTTTAAGGAAGTGTTATCATTCATTCAGAGCAAATTTACTTGGAAACAGAAAAATAAAGGCACTTCCTGTATATAAAAAATGAAAGGAAGAAAAGGAAATTCTCTTTCACTGAGAGTGTGAGTGCCCTGCAGAGAAGTGTTTGTCTCACCTCTCCCCGGGCTGACGGCTGTGAGGAGAGGCTTGTGGTCACTCGTCTTCTCCTGCCTCTGCTTCTGGGAAGCCACCTCCAGCTCCTTTTTCGCCAGGAGGGTCCCCGACGGGTAGAACAGGCCGGTGGTCTGTGTGCCCACATCCCTCTTGGGCCCAGCGTCAGGCCTGGGCAGAGGAACATTTAGGGGCTGCCAGACAGGTCGAGGCTACGTGAGCAAGACAGGAAACGTTAAAAGAAATTATAACATAAATTTTCATTTTCCATTTTACTCACAGAAAACAGTCCTAATCAGAAGCAAAAGTAACTCTTAAAAAGAAAAAAAAAAGTAACTCCAAAACACTACTTCGAACTAAAAAAAAAAATGTTTTCAGGTCTTGCTTTATCTTCCCTGCTTGTTTTTCCCAGTAATGCCCAGCCTGATCTGTGAAGCCAGCCCCACCTCCTGGCCACTGACTGTTCTACTGCCTGAGGCCTGGAAGAAATCCATCCTCTCAACTCTACAATCCAGTGGACCATCAACACTCAGCTACGGGTCACCAGCATTTTCTCCGAGACACTCTCCATCCTCTGGGCCTGGGGGACTGAGAGGACGACTATGTAATGCTCTATATGTTGCACACTGCACAAGAGCACTGCATCTAAATGGGTGATATTCACGTGGTGGATGCTATATGTTTGGATATTAGGACAATTTTTCTGGTAGATGGAAGAAAATGTCCAACAAAATTAGTAAATTACAATCAAATTCCAACAGATGGCAGTCAAGTGTCTTAAGGAAAAAACAATATCTCATTTGCACAAACATGCCACCTGGGTTATTGGCAGTTGTGGGATCTGTGTTTTTAATCTGGGTTAAGAAGGCATGGTGGCTCAGACAGTAAAAGAATCTGCCTGCAATGCAGGAGACATAAGAGACTCAGGTTCAATCCCTGGGTCAGGAAGACCTCCTGGAGAAGGGCATGGCCACCCACTCCAGTATTCTTGCCTGGTGAAGTCCATGGACAGAGAAGCCTGGTGGGCTACAATGGGGTCGCAAAGAGTTGGACATGACTGAAGCGATTAACAGGACTTAGGCTTAAAAAGGCATGAACTCCCTAAAATGGAGGCAAAGTTGTTGAGTGTATGTGCGATCTCTCTACAAATGATCGATCTTCACAAATTCTTCTGATGAAAAGAAGAATGTAAAGAGGAGAACAGACTTGAAAAATCTTTCTGTAGCTCAGACAAATCCATAAATGGCTAACATGAAGCTGGTTAAAGATTAAGTCCTTCTGAAAATAGCCTTGGGAGATTTTCCTCAAATATGTTCAGTTGTTATAAGTGGCAAAAGCAATTTTATGTACCCCAGTATAAGTTTTCTAAAACTTAAAAGAGCAGGGGGAAATTTCTTTGTGTGCTACATAAGAAATTCAAGAGAAAAAAATACATTTTATCCCATGTATTTTAAATCTCCCTAATGATATCTATTAGGGCTTCCCAAGTGGTGCTAGCGCTAAAGAACCCGCCTGTTAATGCAGGAGACATGAGAGATGTGGGTTCGATCCTGGGTCAGAAAGATCCCCTGGAGAAGGGTATGGCAACCCACTTCATTATTCTTGCCTGGAGAATCACATGGACAGAGGAGCCTGGAGGGCTACAGTCCATACGGTCGTCAAGAGTTGGACATGAATGAAATGACTGAGCACGCGCGCAATGACATCCATTGCCTTGCATATGTGGTTAGGCCTCAATTTAGTGTAGATAAATGCATATCTATGAATATCTGCCTGATATGAATATCTAGGAATATGATATCTATGAATATCACATCTATTCATATAGATATGAATATCTATAAATGCATATCTTTGAATCCCAAAGCAGTCAATGTGTTGAAAACATAAACTGGTTGAACTTATTTGTATACCTAGTTAAAGTCCACGAGAAGGGTCTAAGTGTTTTGGCTCTCGTCCCCTGGGCTGGCTCACAAGGTCGGGCACACAAATTCAGAGTCAAAACCCCGTCCCGGGACCAGGTCTTACTAGTGTGGAGGCCTCACCTCAGCAAACAGGCCAAGTTCTCCAGCAGCTAGAGCCAGGCTGCTCTCCACGTAGGGTCGTGCCAAGGACCTCACATAAAGGCCACAGGAGCCACAGAAGCGAGCAGATGGGTGATTGCTGGCCCCACATTTAAAGCAAACTGAGTAGCAAGTCGGAACACTAGGCTAGAGGACAGAAAATACTTTCAAATTTTCATGAATATTAGAGATACAGTCTTCCCATACAGCTTACGCCCATCCCATACAATCTGCAGCCATCAAAAGAAGAAAGGCCAATACTCTCTTGACCCTGCAGTTCTACCTTCTAGAATTTTTCCTGCAGATGAACAAATACATTAAAAGTATATCCAAGACCATTCCCTGCAGGATTGTGGATTCAGAGCAAGTAATGGGAAACAGCTTAAATGTCTAGCTCCAGGGTATGGCCTGAACCTATCACAGTACACAGAGATAGCGTAATGTTATGAAGTCATGGAGAAAATAAGAAGGTTACTGACAGGATACATTGCCAGGTGCAAAGCACTGGGTCAGTGTTCATATTAAACTACAGTTACTTAGTTATGCCTCTGATGGCTGAAAGCAGACCTCAGAAGCTGAGTGCCAGTGATGACTTCTTGGATAGGAGCCAAGGGACTAGGATGAGGAGAGACTAGCTCTTCACACGATACCTCCTACACTATTTACATGAGACACTCCCAGAAATAATTCTGAGTGTTTTAGTAAAAAGGTAAGCAGATAATTCATAGAAAAAGAAACAGCAAGAGTCAATAAATGAGTGAAAAGGTTTAACCTCAAAGAAATGCAAATGAAAATGGCAATGAGACACCTTCTCAGTTTGAGAGAACTAATGGTCTCTGTCTCCAGATTCTTAAGAAAGCAGGTTGTTGGTGTCGAATTGCTAAGTCGTGCTGATTCTTTTGTGACCCTATAGACTGTAGCCTCACAGGCTCCTCTGTCCATAGGACTTCCCAGGCAAGAATACTGAAGTGGGTCGTCATTTCCTTCTCCAGGGGATCTTCCTGACCCAGGGGTCAAACCCACATCTCCTGCTTGAGAGGCAGATTCTTTACCACTGAGCCACCAGGGAAGCCCAGCTAAGCAGGTGCTTTGACCCACGTCCCAAGAAGTGGTTTCTGCCTGGGTGTGGAGGAGGAGGCACCTGGCCTGGGGTGGCTGAGGCACAGAGAAGCTGTTTTAAAGCCCCCACAATGGCCCCACATCAATCACCAGGCAAGCCTCCTCTGCTCACTTGTGGACAGGCGGACATGGACCCACATGGGCAGGTCTATGCAATGTCCTCCCGAATCCAGAAGGGAAGAGAGCCCTGAACCGCTGCAAACCCTGGAAGTAAGGTATTTCTGCTCAAGTAAAACTATGATAGCCTCACCAATGAATAAGTTAGAACAAAGAGCACACACACATTCCTTTGCGGAAAATCAATAAGATGAGAACAACCCCCCGAAACAGTCAGAGAGCTGTATTTTTGCAGCGGCCCCAAGGAAGCAAGGAATTTTCTTCTAAACTGGCTGGAAAATGCCGACTTCTCTGTGGAATTATTAGGCCAGGGCGAGTCACCTGGAAGTCATCATTTCATACACATGAAAGAGATCATCTACATAGAACCTAATCACTTGACTTGAATTGCACTTCAATTCCTTCATTTTACTCAAGATAGGCTGGCGGGAAACACAAGCAATGGTGCCCACCACTTGCTAAACTTCAAAAAAGAGCAGGCACACAGTGGAACTGAGTCTTTTTTGGATTAAAGCCTCACTTCACTGAAGTGCTGAAAATGCACTTATTTTTGCTTAAAATAACACAGTCATTGCCAGCACTTTTGCTTTTCAGCTTGCTTTCCTAGGACAAGAAATTCGGAACTTGGCAATGTAGTACAAAACCAGTACACATACATTTTGCTTACTTATAGGCTACAATCTAAGGGAATCTGAAGTGTTTTACTGAAATAAAGCTTAAAATTTTTCTTAAAGAAATTAATTTTAAACAAAAACCAAAACAGACATGCCTGCCTGTGAGTGACACATGAACGACTCCTGGCCATTGGGGCCCCACTGGCTGTGCCAGCTTCCACACAAAGTCACTAAATGAAATTCTAAGAAACTGCCGACTTGATGGACTCCTCCTGAAGACTCTGAAGACAGTTGTGTGTTGGTGAGCGTGCAGTGTCCTCTCCACACACACAAATGCTGCTTTCAGTGTACCATGAGTCACTTGTTGCGGTCTCTCCCCTCTCCTCCCCAGCAAACTTCCTCCCCCATCTCTGCAGACTGTATTTCTCATCATCAACAATGCACATTTATCGACCACCGAGATAAAGGACAGCGCGTGCGGTCAACCCACCTCTTGCGGCGAGGACGGCAGGGTCCCCTCGCAGGAGACGCAGTATCTCAGCTGAGCCGGGTTCCCGGTGCCACAGTCGCGGCAGATCACTCTCTCCTTGAAAACAGGGAAAGAGACCTGTGTGTTTCCACGGTGCTTCTCTAATCTCTTCAGAGAAACACGTTCATTCTTCCTCCCATTCATCTGAGTAACGTAGTAATGCCAGGACAAAAAGGGTGTTAATAACGTGAAATAATATGAGAGGCATCTACCAACGTGAAGCAGTCAAATATCCTGGTGATTTCAACAGCTAAAACTTATCTTTTGAATTAACTTACATGGAACACAAGTTTGAATACACACACACACACACACACACACACACCATGCAAAAAAGGAAGCCATATGCTGTGTTAATTTAAAGTGGCATCTGTAGGTTGATTCAAGTTTTAGGTTATATTTTGAGGCATGATACTTTGAAAGCCAGGATTGAGAAGTTTCATATCTACTTAATCATGCTTTTTTTTTTAATCCCTTCTCTTATTCAGTACTTTAAGTCCAATAAATCAAAGTCCTTCCTCCCACAAAACACACACACACAAAAAAGTGTTGCTATGAGAAAACAGCTGTGCAAAAAAATCATCAAGCAGTCTTTCCAGTCCATCAGCCAGCTAGAGACCCTATACTAACACCAGACCCTGAAACTGGATTGGTTTAGAAATTATTACAACAGAAATAGTGCCTGACAAATGAACATAGTTTTAAAAGAAACAAACCCCGAAATGAAAAACAAAAAAAACCTGAAAAAGAGTATTCATCTGGCCTTAGGAAGGCAAACTGACTTTTTCACGTTGCTTCCATGCGAGTTGTTTTGTTTTTTTCCGGGTTGAAACTGTACTACTGGGTAGGCTGTCCATCTCTGGCTTCAACAATACACAGGAAGACCCAAGACAAGCAAAAGATGGTATGTTTACAAGTAATCTAGTTCTACACGAATTTGGATTTGCTCTGTAGTTTCTCACTTAGAATTGGAGAGGTGAAAAGACCACCTTAGAAAACGAGTGGTAAGTTCAACCTTCCGAGTCAGGAAGCTGGAGATAAGTTGTAATACACACACACACACACACACACACACACAAACAAGAAAACAGAAAAGATGGTTAACATAGCCTAGGTAGTGTGGCCATGCTCCATGGCAAGTGGTGTCTTAGTTCCCCGACCAGGGATTGAACCTGTGCCCCCTGCAGTGGAAGCTCAGAGTCTTAACAGCTGGACCACCAGGGAAGTCCCTGAGGTGTTACAATTCTCACTGTGCATTAAGTTCACGCACTTCCCTTATTGCTAAAAATTTTTGTTCTTTTACCCCCAAAGTTATCTATATTAAATCTATTTTATCCTCTAGTGAACTTTACTTGAGGTCAAGTAAAAAGGTCAGTGGGACTGTAAATTCGAAAATGGAGAAAAGATATGGTTGTAGGTTCAGTGATTCTACCCCCAAAATGTTCCTGGCATGATGCCATTTGTCTAACAAGGTGTTTTTGAAGTTCGAGATGATACTTCACTTTTTCACCCTTGTGATAGGTTGTAATCCTCCTTTTCTAGGTGATAGAGACCCACAATCAAACAAAGCAAACACAAACACCAAGTGACTTTAAGGACAAGATTACACGTCAACATGAATGACAATGTTCAATTTTAAAATATACGGAGTAAAAAATTGTGTGAGCTGCAGTGCAATTTGTCCTCCAAACGCACGTCTGTGGGAACACATGTCTATGGATCTTTCCTGATGTTTAGATCCTGTTGGCAAGTTCAACTCGTGGGTGGATGCCCTTCCAAAAATGAGGGTGGATGCCCTTCCAAAAATGAGAGGGGGGTTTTGTTCACGGGTATTAGCTCATCAACGGTTAGCCAATGCCATCAGCTGAAGAGAGAGGTTTAACTGCTCAAACACTGATTTCTACGGATTTCACTCACACTTGTCACAGATGCACGTCTCATTACCTTCAGGCGGAAGCTGGCCTGTGGCTGCAGCTGCGGTGCCAGGGGAGCCTCACAGACCACACAGATGGGTGTGTTCAGGGGCACCACGTTATCACACTCTGTGCACAGGCCCATCTGCATGAAGAAGGAGGCCGGGTTGGTCTTCAGACGCAAAACGTGAAGCGCAAATTGATCTTAGAACGTAAGGTTTAATTTACTTTTGTAAAAAATTTCTTTTAAAGAACTGCCACTTTTATTTCTTATTAAGGTAAAAAGATATCTATTGTAGAAAAGAGAGGTATAAAGAAAAGAAAAATAAAGAAAAAAAATAGCTTACAGTGGAATAAGGAAATTGACAAATCTTTTCTATAATACATTAAAAGGCAATTATAAAGTTGGATAAAACTGTTAAAAAAAAAAAGTAACCATTTCAGATTCTGAAAGCCAACCAAAGATAGAGGATGAACCGAAAAGCAATGAACCTTGGGTGAGGACCCCACACGTCTGCTGGGTCAGGCTTGGGCTGCTCCCTGTCCTCCTCCAGCTCCATCAGAGCAGGGTGGGCAGTGAACACCAGCAGCTTTGTGGCTGCTGGCGGCCAGGGCTCACAGGATCTGGAGCTCGGTCAAGATGACGTGCTCACTGTTTATAATAGCCAGGACATGGAAGCAACCTAGATGCCCATCAGCAGACGAATGGATGAGGAAGCTGTGGTACATATACACCATGGAATATTACTCAGCCATTAAAAAGAATTCATTTGAATCAGTTCTAATGAGATGGATGAAACTGGAGCCCATTATACAGAGCGAAGTAAGCCAGAAAGATAAAGACCATTACAGTATACTAACACAGATATATGGAATTTAGAAAGATGGTAACGATAACCCTATATGCAAAACAGAAAAAGAGACTCCGAGGTATAGAACAGACTTGTGGACTCTGGGAGAAGGCGAGGGTGGGATGTTTCAAGAGAACAGCATCAAAACACGTATATTATCTAGGGTGAAACAGATCACCAGCCCAGGTTGGGTGCATGAGACAAGTGCTCGGGCCTGGTGCACTGGGAAGACCCAGAGGGATGGGTGGAGAGGGAGGTGGGAGGGGGGACCGGGATGGGGAATACATGTAAATCCATGGCTAATTCATTTCAATGTATGACAAAACCCACTGCAATGATGTAAAGTAATTAGCCTCCAACTAATAAAAATAAATGGAAAAAAAAAAAAAGATGACGTGCTCAGTGGCCAGCCAACAGGGAGGACTGTGGCTGCACCAACCTGAGATTGTGGTCCTGTTTTGAGTGACTGATGAACCAGCAAGTAATCAGGGACTTAACAGGGAGTCTAGAAGGAGGGAAATTTCTGTGTATTTCTAGATTTAAGTTAAACTATTCTGAAATAGACTGTGAGAAGTTAAAGAGTCTGCTGTATTTCCTAGAGCTCTATTAGAAAATAACTTTAAAAAACTCAACTTTTTAAAATAGCAAAAAAAAAAAAAAATTTCAACAAAGGAAGCATGGGAATTTAAAAGGTGGTGGTAAATCCTGAGAAGAGTCCCCCTTCAAGGCCGCTGCCCCAGGTGAGGTATTATATACTTCAAGGAAAGGAGGGCCAGCCTGTCCACCAGCATGAAGCTCAGAGGAATTCAGGGAATCAAGGTCGTGCATTTCAATCTGGGTCCAAGCCAGCACCACCATTCCAAGTCTCAGGATCCTTTCTGTCCCACTGCAATCCCCAACTTTGACAAAGAAATGTGGTGATAAGGTGAATTCAGCTGATGCTGTAACTCACCAACAAATGCAACTCAATTCTGTGTGTGCTTTCAGCAGGACGATGCAGAGTGGCTCTGGAGCTGAGAGGAACCCCTCTGCACGTCTCTATTGAGACCCTGAGTGTCTTAGGTCAGGGACTCTAGGATCAGGATCCATCCCTTTAAGTCCCTGAAGCCCAGCTGAGAGCAGGACACGGTAAGAACTCAATCGTTCAGATTACAAAGCTGTTTATACATTAGGGCATGTTAATAAATATCATTTACAGGCAGGATAGATGTTCTGAAGCTCATCATTTTGAATATTTATAATCCCTGATAACCTTTTCTCCCTGTAACAACAAAGAAAGTTCTGAAAAATTTGTTTTCAGACCAGTAAAAAAACAACTTTGACATTGCACCAACAAATATATAAGCAGGGAAAATTCAAACCAATGAGACCTGTTCATGTTTTATTTGCTATACCACCTTCTTCAAGGAGTTCAAAATATATCATGGGAGTAGAGTAAGTTAAATTAACTTCCACAGCATCTCCCTTTAGTACCTAGCCTCTTGCTTGAAGGCATAACTCAGTTCTAAAACTCTGGACTTTGAATTCATTGAATAATGACTTTTTACTAGTGACTATCTTTCAAATTTATTTTTGGTGAATTCTACCAAATGCTTAAATTCATTTTTAACTGTAGGATAATGGCTTTACAATATGGTATTGGTTTCTGCCATATATCAACATGAATCGGTCATAGGTATACTTATGCCCCCTCCGTCTTGAACCTCCTTCCCACCTCCCACCCTGTGACTATTTTTTTTAAATGGTCATTTTTCAGTAAACTTCCCAGATCCTTCTGCATCATTTTGTAAACCTGAATCCAAAAGAACCCCAAAGTAGCAAGTGCATAAGAGATGAACACAATTAGGTGAAGGTTTTGATTTTTAGTAAGTCAAGTATGTTTTCTAACTAACTACAAACCCTTTTTTTTTTGAGTGAGCTGTGCAGCTTGCAAGATCTTAGTTTCCCAACCAGGCATCAAATCTGGGCCTGGAGGTAAAAGTACCGTGTTCCCACCACTGGACTTCCAGGGAATTCCAGGGAATATCCCTTAGTGGTAGGATAGTATCAGTTATTATCTATGGTCAGCTAAAACTTTTAAATGTAGACATACTGATCAATCTATAGCCAATACAAACAGCTTCTTTGGACAGAATGGTGTATTTTACAGATATACAGACCTGTAATTAGTACTTGTGGTCATTTATTTGTAGAATATATTTCCAGATTGTTCCCAGGTTGTGGACAGAAATATCATATGAGTAGGAAACATGTATTTATCCATACGTGAACCGCTGAAATCAAAAGATGACAGTCTTTTTCTGAGCCTATGCTTCTTCGAGGCCACACAAAAGGAATGGCACTGCAAACGTGTTTCCGATTCCTAAATAGGAGTCTGGATAGAACAAGATTCATCTGCCAGCAATTTTTTCAACAACTATTTGTGGTTCCCGTGTGCCAGGTGTTATGCTCCTGCTGCAAATACAGACCAGATGGACCAATGGAAGAAGCTTCAAGGATTCTGCTACTCACCTGAGCTCCTTCTGGGGGCGGCAGACGGCAGCCGAAGATGGGAGGCACAGAGGAGCCACATTCCAGACAGTAGCGAGCAAAGGGGTCCGACGGGCGGGCCACCAGGCAGCGGGCACACCTACAAAACAAGAGGTCCCTGAGCGGCCCTGTGCTGAGCAGCGCATGACATCGACAAGCATTTGAACATTCTTAAAAAATAAAACAGGAAGAAGAAGGCTCTCGAAGGCAGCGGAACAAGTTTAAGACGGGAGGTGCTTCTCTAAGCATTTTTATCACAAAGTCCCACATGGCTGGGATCATGCTGCCCTTCAACAGGAGGCCAGGCGCCTCTTGCTTCCGGGAACAGCAGCAGTTTTATCAGCAGCCTCGACCCCACTTCCCAGTGGGGCCCTGGCTCCTCCTGGCACCTGGGCTTTGACGTGTGTGAGGATGAGCCCTGCGAATTCCAGAAATGTCTACAGTGCACTTTTCTGACTCTTGCCTGGCTCTGGAGAGTCCCTGTCAGTAAGTCCTGCCTACACCTTCAATCACCTGCATGGAGTCTGAGGTTCTGCCCCAACACTGTCTGCCCACTTCTAGGCGGCTGCGTCGTCCTTCAGCCCTCATCCACCTACCTGGTTGTGAAAGGATTCCTGGAACTGGCTCCCTTGTCAGTCACCCTGTTGCCGCCAAGCATTTCCAGGCAGGTCGGGGCCCCGATCCTGTGACCTAGCTGAACCGCACAGCATCTATGATATCTGCATACTGGGCACTGGGTTGTTCGGTTGCCTGCACTAGTCTCTACCAGGGCCTCTCAACAGTCACCAGCCTTTGTAGTTGTGTTCACTTGGGGAAAGGATGGTCTTTTCAGCAATGGTATTGGGCAAACCGGGTTCCGTTTGGGATGATGAATAAGTTCTAGAAATGGGATGGTGCTGATGGTGGCCCAACACGGTGAATGTACTTAACGCCACTGAATTGTACACTAAGAAATTGTTAAAATGGTAAATTTTACTGTATTTGTACCACACTAGAAGTATAAAGGACTATAAAAAAATTGATATTGAATAAAAGTAATAATGTATTATGAGGTTCATAATATTTGTAGGACTAAAATAAATGACCATGATAGCACAAAGGCTGTAGTTATCCAGTTACTGGAAGTTCTTAGACTATGTATGAAGTGGTCTAACATCACTTGAAGACAGGCTGTGATAAGTTAAAAATATGTAGTATAAACCCTAAGGCAACCACTAAAAGAAAACTTATAGCTAATAAGCCAACAAAGGATACAAAATAAAATGAAATCATAAAACATACCCAATTAATCCAAAAGCAAGCCAAAAAAAGGGGGGCAACAAAGAACAGGTAAGACAAACAGAAAACAAACAGCATGACAGCTGACTGAAATTCAAACATATCAGTAATCAGAATAAATATAAATACGCTCAGCACCACATGCAGATTGTTCTATTTTCTAAAAGCAAGACCTAACTACATGCTGTTTAAAAGAAACCTTCTTTAACTAGAGAAACACAAATAGGTTAAAAAGAAAAGGATGAAAAAAAAGATGCACCATGCAAATACTAATCAAAAGAAAGCAGTAATGCCGATATTAATACCAGACAAATACGATTTCTAAGCAAACACTATTACCAGGGTTAATAAAAGGTTATTTCACAGGAGGAGGGATAAACTGGGACATTGAGATTGATACATATGCACTACTATATTTAAAATAGAGAACTAATAAGAACCTATTGGACAGCACAGGGAACTCTACTCAATACTCTGTAATGACCTACATGGGAACAGAATCTTAAAAAGCGTGGATACATGTATGTGTATAGCTGATTCACCTTGTTGTACACCTGAAAGTAACACAATGCTGTAAATCAACCATACTACAATAAAAATTGATTTTTTAAAAAAAGCTTATTTTGTAAGGATAAAGGGGTCAATTCAGCAATAGAACATAGGAATCCAAAAGGTTTATATATTGAACAACAGAGCTTCAAAGTACATGAAGCAAAGAAGTGATAGCAATACAAGGACAAGTAGACAAACTCATAATTATAGTCATAGATTTCAGTATAATTTCCTCAGTAATTGATAAACCCACAGACAAAAACAATAAAGAGAAGACACTGCAGCACTGTATTAGTTTCAAGTGTACACGTAACAATCAATAACTGTGGACACTGCAAAATGATCACCACAGAGTTAGCATCAGTCACCACACAGTTACAGAATTTTTTTCCTTATGTTGAGAACTTCTTAAATTTACTCTCTTAGCAACTTTCAGTATGCAGTATAATGTCATTAACTATCTTCACCACTTACATCCCCAGGACTTATTCATTTTACGAGTGAAAGTTTGTATCTTTTGACCACCTTTATCCAGGTCGCCCACTCTACCAACCCCAAGGGAAATGCAAATTAAGACCACTACCATCACCTTACCAGAATGGCCAAAAATAAAAATAACAGTGTTGGTGAAGATGTAGGGAAACTGGAACTCCCATCCATCATATACTACTGGTGGGAGTGTAAAATGGTACAGCCTCTTAGGAAAACATATGGACAGTTTTCTTAAAAAGTTAAACATATGCCTACCATATGAGCCAGCCACCCCTGGCTAAGGGGAATTAAAGTATATATGCACAGGATGACATGTATACAAATGTTCATAGCAGCTTTATCTGTGACAGCCAAAACCTAAAAACAATCTGGATGTACATTCAATAGGAAACAGGATAAACAAACTGTGATGTATCCATACACTACTCAGTGTTAAAAAGAAACATCCAATGCATGCATACAACATGGGTGAGCCTCCAAGTCATCAAGTGGAGTGAAAGAAGCCTGGCCAAGGAGCAAATACTGAATTGTTCCATATATATATATACGGGATCAAATGCAAGCTAAGCTACAGTGACAACAAGCAGACCAATAGGCGCCTGGGAATGGGGCAGGTCACAGGGGAGGATTTTAAAAGGGTGCAAAGTAGGAAACTCTTGGAGGTGGTGGATTTGTTCATTTTCTTGATTGGGCTGATAGTCTTGAGAGTATATGTATATATCAATTGTACTCTTTAAGTGCCATTTACTGTATGTCATTTGTGCCTTTAAATTTTGTAAAAATTAAAAAAAAAACAGTTGGGGCAAATACCATTGCTATGCCCCATCCTCAAATTATTTTTGACCATGTTGTGTCTTAGAAGTACTTAGACAGTAGAGAAAAAGTAATACATACTTGAGAAAGTCCGTCTCCCTGTGAATCCTCATGATCTCTGTGCTTGTCAAGCTCTTTTGGCCAGTTATGTGTGCAAACCCAGGGAACTGAAATGAAGAACATATATAAAATCATGGTGAAATTCTGGCCAGTTATGTGTGCAAACCCAGGGAACTGAAATGAAGAACATATATAAAATCATGGCAAAATTCTCACCAGTTATATGTGCAAACCCAGGAAACTAAAATGAAGAACATACATAAAATCATGGTAAAAGCCCTGGTACGGTAAATTACATAGAGTTCATCTCAGTGCTTTGTCCCACGATATCCAGCAGTCATTGTTTTTCCCACCATGCTCCAGCCACACCAGCCTACTGGTGATCCTCACTTTGCTGAACTTGAAGTTACTCAGCCAAGATCTTTGCAGGGCTGGTTTCTGTTCATCTTGAAGTTTCAATTAAAATGTCACCTTTTCGAGGGGGCTCTATCTTTTTCATGACAAATCACTATTCTTAATTATTTTTCCCATTATTCACACGTTTATATCTGTCTGCCCCCATCCCCAATAAAATGTGAGCACCATGAGTACAGGGGCCTTTTTTGTTCAACTAGGTATCTCGGCTCTGGGATAGTGCCTGACCCAGGGTGAAAAGGCAGGGACGTTTTCTTAAAGTATGTTGCAGGAAGCATTAAAAACACAGTAGATCTTTAGCACCCAAAAGAGTTTCTTTAGCAGTTACCTGGGGCTGCTGGGGGGCTGGTCTAGAGCCCAATTCATCACGGAAAGTAGGGGCTTCCCGCGGACTCTCTGAGAAGCGAAGGTCTTTCAATGTTTTAAGGTCACTTCTTTCACCCATGTCTATAATTACATCAAAAATATCATCCTGTGAATATCTGAAATCATATGTGCATTCATGCAAATGTGTCTTCATAGTTAGAAACGTTTTAATAAGGGGCCACTGTTGTCACATTCTTTCTCTAATGTAGTAACTATGCAGAGAAGCTCCCACTCAGTTGAATTCATAGCAATAAGGAAAAAAGTGGGCCCAGACTGAGAACATGAAAATCTGCCCTGCCACAATCCCCAGCATTCTGCACCAGGCTGGGAGAATGGATAAATCCAGTTGCAAGATCAGCAGGAAATATGATGTGTCCCAAGGACACACTGCAACTGTCACACATCCTAACAGTTCCCACTCTGAGTGACCACTGCTTCTTACTGACCAAGAAACCCTGCTCTCTAAAATCAGATTATCAGAAAACTTTGCTGTTCAAAATCATATCAGTAAGAATGAAACATCCAACTCTTGCCTGGAAGACCCAGGTCACTGTGACATAGAGTTGTTGTTCAGTCGCTCAGTCAGTCATGCCTGACTCTTTGTGACCCCATGGACGGCAGCATGCCAGGCTCCCCTGTCCTTCACTGTCTCCCAGAGTTTGCTCAGACTCATGTCTATTGAGTTGGTGATGCCATCCAACCACAGAGAAGCAGCCTCAATGTCCAACCCTGGTGCAGAGATTCAGAGAAAGGTCTCTGGGCACCACCTTCCACATAATATCTTTGTTGTTTCCAAGGAAACAGAACCCTGGTCCCCTTCTCAGGCCCGTATCTCATGGCGACCATTTCCCACTGATCTCTGCTTCTCTTGCCTATCAGAACTCTTCTTTCATTTAAATTTCATCCAAACCCCACCTTCCCCCAGGAACTGTTGTCTGTACTTTAGTTGATGAGATTGCCACGGTTCCTCTACCATGTGGTCTCCCGTGTTGCAATGAATTGATAAATCTGACTCTGCCAGACAGCTTGACTCTCCCTCCTGTAGCCAGGACAGCATTAAAAGTCAAATGAGATCTCACTGTACTGTCCTGGTGTTTCTCAGTCAACCCCTCGGAAAACAAGAACACAAGCCCTGAACCTGTTTGGTGGTTTAGGATATTATCATATCTTCGTCCTGTCACTTCATACCTGGAAACTTTCCGAGGTTAACATTCCAACCCAGTTTACTTTCAGGATTCTTATATTTCTTCCTTCCTTTTGATTCAACAAATCCATTTTTCAGTTCCTAGGAGGGAAGAGACTGCAAATCAATCACCTGACTCTGCCTATTTAGATATGAAATTAAAAGTTCCACGGTAGAGATGGTGACACAGCCTGCACTTCTTTACTTGAAAGGGTTCAGAGTCGTTTTCACCAAGTGACCTTTGTCTCACTGTCTCTGGACACGCACACAGCTTTGACTCTGGGCTGCTTGCTTGGCAGCACGCTTGCTTGGGACGCCCCTTCCATGTCAAGCGGCCAAGACTGGAGGCAGGTGACAGCACACACAGGTAGGATATCACACTCTTGGGAGACAGAGTGACAACAGAGGGACCACCAGACTCTGGGGGCAAAGACAGGGTGGGGTCAGACCAAGACAGAACTTCTGTCCACTATCCTCCCACACACGGCCCTGAAACACAGACATGCTTCTCTCTGGCTTTCTTCTCCTCAGGGTCAGTCCCTCATGCTTGGCTGAAGCCTGAGCGCCTGCTGGTACATGCTGACTCAACCTCTGCTGGTTACCTCCCGGCCAGTGTAGACCCCTGGTCACAAGTGGGCCCCACATCATGCCTGCACCCACCACTCTGGTCCCACAGCCTCTTTGCTGCCCTCTGATTAATTGTTAGATTGAAGGACTCCCCCCAAAACTTCTCATCACCCCAATAAGCGTCTGAGACTTTCTGTTTAATTGCCTCACCATGGGCTGGCCCACCCTCTGACCCTGGGATCCATTCCACTGATACCCAGAACCCAAGGACTAGAGTTTCAAATGTCCTTTCTAGACAGGTGTGGTGCATTCTCTAAAGAGGTGAGGCTTTGTATCTGGAGATGAAGCTTTCAACACAACTGAAGGCCACGCCCACTGAGGGCTCCTACTAGCCTGATACTTCCATTCGACAAATACCTCCACCCTTTCCTACCTGTCCCCATGCAGGACATGGAATATGGCAGAATTGTTCTCTGCTGCCTGGGAGCTTATGGTACATGGGGGAGACAGACAAGGAGCAGAGTAATCACGTGATCAAAGCACTTGATGAAAGGAGGCCTGGGAGCTAGGGGAGCAGAGACAGAACACAGCATGCACAATCGAATTTGAGCTGGAACGTAAACAGGGGAGTCACAAAGCAGGAAAAGGATGACCGAGGACAGAAACTGGCTCTGAGAGGCCAGGCTGAGGGTTTCTGCTTTCTTCCGTAGGGTAAGAGGAGAAGACACAGGAGCTTAGATGGAGATGTCGGTGAGGAGTCTCTAACGGGCAGGGTGGAGGACTGACCAAAAGGTGGGAAACCAGCAAAGATACTGTGCAGTGGTTGAGAGTGACCCCAACGATAAGGACCTGAAAATGGATGACAGACTGACTCTGGGGGTAAATGAAAGGGAAGATGTTGACCACTGAGGAAAGGGACCAAGGACGTGGTGATGATCCAAATGCACCATGGTGTCAGTGCTCACCTGCTTTGGAGGGTCCTTGAGAGCATTTTCCACAGTGTCTTCTGGAGAGACTGGATCTGGTGGAACAGAGTCCACCTGAAATACCTTTGTGACAATGGCACTCTCTCTGCAGTCTCTGAAAATTATTCCAAACAGGAAAAGTCTGTGTGTCACAAAAAGGTTCAAAGACAAGGTGTCTGGCAATTAAGATGACTCTAGGATGAATTTATTATATTAATATTTTAAATTGGAGAGACCAAAATATTACCATTTCTATGGTCTTAATCTTATTCTTATTCAGTTATCTCTTGCTATGTAACAAGCCACTACAAAACATTACGTCTTAAAACACAAAGGTGTGGTGGGTTTGCCACCTCTTGTGTGGTTGCAGTCAGGAGTCAGCTTAGGCCGGAGTGAAGTAAAAGAACAACTCAGTCAGATGTCCAAAATGGTTTCTCCTCTCAGGTTCTAAGTATGGCCTGGGACAGCTGGGGACTTGTCAGTCATCTCTCTCCTTCCCTTTCTGTCTATCTCCTTTTCCAGGTGGTAAACTTGGGGTTCCTCATAGTAGTAGGTCTCAGGGAGGCCAGAGACTTCCTACATGGTGGCTGGCTTCTCCCAGCGTTTATGTTCCAAGAGACCACAGCAGATACTGCAAGGCTTTTTGTGGTTTGGCCTTAGCGTCATGTCTCGAGCATTTTCTTGGTCAAAAGTAAGTCATAGGGCCAGCCCAGATTCAGAAGGAGGGGCTACTGTGGGAGGCATGGCTCACTGGGGGGACTTTTGGAGGACTATCTACCACATTCACCATAAAGATGTCATACTTTAAGCCTGAAACTGTTCTGAAGCAAAGAATGAGGTTACCTATATATCATTCATTCCACATAAGTCATGGGAATTTTCCTTGTCCCAAATGTGGGTAGCATAATATACATTGCCCTGGGAGATTTTAACTGTTATTCCTCAAATACTAGCCAGTTTTCAATTTATTCATAATATTTCACAATTAATCTTGTTACTCCGTGATGCAATAGAAGTCCCATGAGAAACCAACAGAGAGGTGGCCAGAAGTAAATTCTGGAGGTGATTTCACCTCAGCACCAGAAGCTCATCTATACTCCTTATTTTTCTGAACAGTTTTACTGAGGTATAATGTACATGACATAAAATGCACCTGCTCTAAGTATATAATTTGATGATACTCCATACATTTATACAACTGTGCAACTACCGCCACAGTCCAGTGATACAACCACCTGTTTCCAGTTACACCTCACTCCCACCTCCCACACCAGGCAACCACTGATCTGATTCCCGTCTTCATAGTTTTGCCTTTTCTGTGCTGTGCTTAGTCGCTCAGTCGTGTCCGACTCTTTGCGACCCCATGGACTGTAGCCCTCCAGGCTCCTCTATCCATGGGCTTCTCCAGGCAAGAATCCTGGAGTAGGTTGCCATGCTGATAAATGTAATCCTACAAATAGAGTCTCACATGTCTGGCTGCCTTTACTTGTCTTTTTTTTCTCTGACATTCACCCACATAGGTGCATGTGTCAGCAATTCATTCATCTTTGTTCTTGAGTAGCATTCTATTTTACGGATGTACCACAGTTTGTTTATCCATTCCCCAGTGGACAGTCATTTGGGTTTTTCCAGTTTGGAGGTTACAATACTTAATACTGTTATGAGTGTTCACGTATGAGTTTTTATAGTATGAGACCCCGGAAGTTGGGTTTTCTCTTGTTTGTAACAGGGGCCTGACTTAGGCTTTGCTGAGGCATCCACTTCAAAGATGGTGCTCTTGAGTAAACACATCACCAGCCAGAGGACCAAATGAAGATCCAGCCACTGCCTCCCCATGGAAGCCCCTTTATTTTAGGGATCGTGGTTGGTTTCCATGACTGACCAATTGGGCAATTTTTCTCTTTCCTCTGTAAATTCTTGCTCATACATTTGAAATTCACCAGTGAAACCCTTGGCCCCCTGCCCTCGACCCTAATAAAAGCAGACCCTTGGCCTGTGATTTGTCCCTTCTTCTCTCCCCTACCACCCCCGTCTCTTTGTACTTGTGACCTCGCTGGGTGCCACATAACTCCCAGAACTTGTAGGTAATAAACTTCTTCTCTTTCCAAGTTCCCTGATGATTACTGCTGAGGGCCTCTTGGAATTGTAGTAAGAACAAGGACTGGTCCATGTGGACAGATACACTGGAGCAGAACCACTGGGTCAGATGGTCAGTCAGTTTAATTCTTTAGAAACTGCGACCTGTGGTTGTTCCATTTACATCCCCACCGGCATCATTTGAGAGTTCCACTTTCTCCACACACTCACTGATGCTTGACACTGTTGGCTTGTTTTGATCACCTCTAATCTTGAATATGTTCTCTGTAGGTATTTGCTTGAGATGTGTCCCTGGTGTATTGGGACACAGGTTTGATTGTTGTAATGCAGAATCAAAACAACAGTGGCTTAAACAGAGTAGCAATGGGCTATAACACACCAAGAGGTGTGCAGGGGAGCCACGGTGCCTGGGGCCTAGTGTTGACTTTCTACCCTGTTGTCCCATCATATCTAGGACATGGAACATGTCCTCGTGACCCAACGTGGCTGACCACCACAGCCACATTCCAGCTGGCAGGAACCATGGCCTGCCTCCTCCTACAGGGACAATCTAGAAACTGCCATGTCACTTCCATGTGCATTCACTGGCCACACCAGGTGACGGGGCTCTTGCTAGCTTCAGGGAGGACTGGGAAGTATCTTTCTTCTAGGAAACATGTGCATGTCCTGCTAAAAATCCAAGGCTCTTTTTTTTTTTTTAAAATAAACTTTACTTTTAAAAAAATAATTTTGTTTTGTTTTCGTTGTGCTGGGTCTTCGCTGCTTTGCAGGCTTCCTCTGGTTGTGGCGAGCAGGGGCTACTCTCTAGTTGCAGTGAGCGGGCTTCTCATTTCAGTGGCTTCTCTTGTTGCGTGAGGGCTTCAGCAGTTGTGGCTCCCGGGCTCTAGAGCACAGGCTCAAGAGTGGTGACGCATGGGCTCAGTTGCTCCGCAGCATGTGGAATCTTCCTGGACCAGGGATCGAACCTGTGTCTCCTGCGCTGGTAGGCGGATTCTTTACCACTGAGCCACCAGGTTAGCCTCTATGGTTCTTGAAGAAGGCAACACAGATTTTGGGAGCAGCCTGCAGCCTCTGCCGCATCCTCATGACCACACTTTGGTGTATTTGTCTGGTATGTTTAACTCTCAAATTTGCACTGAAAGCTCACAGCTAGAACACAGGGGATTTTGCTTGATCTGCCCAGGAACTTAATACTCTTATATCTCCAGTTGGTGTCTGCTTTCAGTGTCCTTTATCTGCTTTGCTCGTTGATTTTCATATTGGCCTTTGATATGTTTTTATCTGTTTCATTACCTTTTCTTTTGCAATTTCTCAGATTTCTTACATGTTGATTTTTTTTACATTTCTTACAATTCTTCAAACTTTCAGTGTCCCCAAACCTTTAAAATTCTTTGGTTAAGTGAACATTCAGAAATGAATAGACATCAGTTCCAAAACAGTTGAGAAATGTTTGCTGTGCTGTGCTCAGTTGCTTAGTCTTGTCTGACTCTTTGTGACCCCATGGACTGTAGCCCACCAGGCTCCTCTGTCCATGGGATTCTCTAGGCAAGAATACTGGAGTGGGTCACCATGCCCTCCTCCAGGGGATCTTCCCAACCCAGAGATCGAACCCAGGCCTGCTGTATTGCAGGCAGATTCTTTCCTGAGTCACCAGGGAAGCCCCGAGAAATGTTTACCATTAAGCCATGCTGAAGTTTTAAGCCACATTTTTAGAAGGAGAAAACAATTCTCAGAAATATACAACTGGTCTAAACAGCCACTACCTATCAGTGAGTGACAGTATTTAAGAAACAACATGACAAGTGGGTCCTTGCATGTTCGCTGGCTGGAGAGACTTATGGGTGGCTAACCTCTGGAGAAGCATGTGCTTTGTTGTTCTTAATAACAAACCAGATTTACAGATACAGGTATAGATGAACAGCTTGTTTAACTCATTCACTTCAGCATCCATCTCATCTGGATGCTCATCTTTGGTTCACGGCCTGTCATCCAAGATACAGTGTTCTCCTAATAAGATAACTTCCTCACATCACAAACATCTCCATCCAGGGACCATTTGAATCCTGAGGAACGGTCAGGTTTATGGCCTGGCTGGCTCTGAGCAGAAGCCTGGTTCCTAATCACTTGTAGATCACTGCCCTTTTCTATATCTGTGTATTTCGAAAAATTATTATTCATTTTTGGCTATGCAGGGTCTTTGTTGCTGTGTGCAGGGTTTCTCTAGTTGCGGCAAGTGGGAGCTACTCTTCATTGTGGTGCATGTGCTTCTCGTTGCAGTGGCTTCTCTTGTTGCGGAGCACAGGCTTAGTTACTCTGCCGCATCACTGAAGGTTCTTCTTGGACCAGGGATCAAACCTGTGTCCCCTGCATTGGCAGGAGGATTCTTAACCCCTGACCACCAGGGAAGTCCTCTGTGTATTTTTGCAACTGTCAAAATACTAGTGTGTCACTGTACATCCTAATTTTTTCCACTGATTATATCACAAATATTTTCCTATATCATTCAAAACTTCATGACCACAGGATTTCCTCTTAATATGTTAAAGACATTTCATTGTTAATAGTCTTATCTAAAGGCCTTTTTCTCCTTAGTAAGAAACTAATGGCCTGAAAAACCTAGAGACAGAGACTTGAACAAAGCTGCATGATTTCCATAAAGAACTATTTTATCACAATTAGATACAAGCATTAACTTTCAAAATTTTTTTGTATAGGTACTTTTCCGAAGCTGAGCACATCTGAAATACTAACAGCGTTTCAGAGCAGACACTTAGTAGGCACAGAACAAGATGGTGAGACACATAAACAATGTCCTTATGCTTCAGACTCTGCTGGAGGCTCTATTAACTCCTTTGCACTACAAAGTCATTGATCACGACTTCATTTTACTGTCACCTGAAGCTTATAAAGGGGGCTGCCTTGCAGCATGATGCACCAGAGTAGTCAGCTTATTCGTTTTTAATAACTGAGATGACTTGTTTCAGTAGAAATGGGTTGGCAAGTGGGAAAAGCCACAGATCCAAATTTTTAATAAAGAATAATCATGTGTCAGGGGGTTGTTGTTTTCATTTTATTATTAAAAAAATTTGTTTTAAATGCCAAGCAATCACCTTCACTGTAGAATTTGTAGCTTAAAAGGCCATGCGGTAGTTTAGCCAGCAGGGGGAGCCTGAAGTCTCATTTAAATTACCTGGCCAGCCCTGGTATTAGTCTTCGAGAAATGTGGCCAAACCTGTTTTGCGGCACAAAATGATTCCTCTATCACAGACAGACTAATCTGCAAAGCATTTGAGGATCTTTTTTCTCTACAACCCTCGGTGAAGTCTACCAAATTAAGTGGTATTTCTATACTTGAAACGGAAAAAAATTGTTGACTAGGAAAGAAAGGACAAAGAAAAGAATGAAGTAGCTAACGCCAACAAATCAAAATGATGGCAGCTTTGAAGGGCAATAAAGTCGTTACAAAATCAGATGGAGAACCACGGTGGTCATAGGCCATGTCCTGGGGAATAAAAGAACCATCCACTAAAAGCAGCATTTTCCTCAGAGCCAGACGAATCTCTTCGGAGGTCCCAAACCCTGAAAAGGCTCTTCCTTTGGAGAAGGAAATGGCAACTCACTCCAGTACTTTTGCCTGGAAAACCCCATAGATGGAGGAGGCTGGCAGGCTACAGTCCATGGGGTGGCAAACAAGGCAGACACGACTGAGCAATTTCACTTTCTTTCACTTTCCCAAAATCCCAGTGTGGATTTCAGACTAAAAACAGTAGTAATATACACGGCACTTCACTGAACTATACCCTTTTACCCATATGATCATTTCTAGGTCCATCCATGTGGCTGCAAATCAAGAATCTGTTTTAAACAAGTAACTGTTTATATGTTCTATCCATAAAACTTTTCTTCATATGTTAATTATGTATGTAAATATGTGTATTTTACAGTATAATTCAATAAAAGACAAAACACAAAGTTTACAGATGTATGCTGAAATTAAGATAACTTTTTCTTTAGTGTCTTTATAATCCAGCACCGATTCTCATTGAAATGAGTAAAGTTAAAACATAATAAATATAAATCATCCCAGTTATTATGCTCTTGACTTACTTAGTGACTGCGATAGCTTTAACTTGTATTTTTCCATCAGGCAGGGTAATAGGCTTCGAATACTTAAAGGTAGTGTTTTCACCATAACCAATTTTCTTTTGGAATTCAGGTTTGCTGCCATCCAGGGTATAATATATGTTGACATCTGGGGTGTCTGAAAAACCCAAAACAGGATATCTAGAATTAACACTAAAGTAGCAAGTCCCTGAATAAGGCCTAGGGATCAGTTATTTAATGATATTTAAACAAAAATATACTGTAAAAGTGAATAACAATAACTAACAGTAATAGAGTTCTTTGTGCCAGGCACTGTGCTTTACGTGAATAAACTAATTTTATCAGTACAACCTTATGAGATAGGTCCTATTTTATACCCACATTATAGATGAGGGAACTGAGTCCCAGAGAGGTTAAGAAATCTGGTAAATGACAGCAGAATTTTGATCTGACTTCTGGAAAGTCGGATCTGTTGACCACGCTCATTTCTTTTTAAAACAGGAGGGATTTAAAAAAAATTTATTTATTCATTTGACTGTGCTGGGTCTTAGTTGCTCACAGGCCACGCTCTTGAACCACTACAGCATTTTGCCCCTCCGACGGAGCACTGATACAAACCAAGCAGGGGTGAATTTTAAAACCACAATGTCTACTTTGAAAGCAGAAGCTAATTTTTAATTTTTGAGCATTGCTTAAAAAATGGTTTTGTTATATTTTATTTGGATTTGGTAAATGATTCTTGCACTTCTTGGGAAAATTGTAAAGGTAATAAATTCAGATGATCCAAGATTCAAAAGGTCAAACAAGGATATACAATGAAAACTCTCCCTCCAAGCTCCCCGCCCTCATCAGCTGCCTAAAAGCAACCAATAGTATCAACTGTCCTTCCAATGTATGCATGTAGCTTACATCCACACAAGCACATACATACATATTTTTTAATCTCCCCCTCTCTGTAGAGGTGGCATATCATGCCCTGTTTCACACCCTTTTTCTCTTCATTTAACATTGTATCTTGTATATTGTCCTATACTGCTCCATTAAAAAGCACCCCATTCTTCTTTATGGCTGCACTGCATTCTCTTCCTATGGATGAATCACTGGCCAACAGACAATCCCTACAGATGAACATAAAAACTGTCTTCTTTTCCTTTTCTTTCTTTTTCAGTTTTGCCATTGCAAATATTGTAATGAATAACCCTGCAAAGAGTTCTTCTTATAAGTCTATCTGCAAAATACGTAGGACTAGTACTGTTGTTGAGTCAAATGCTATGCCAGTTTGTAATTTTGGTTAATGTTGCCAAACTTCCCTCCATGGACATTGAAACAATTCACCCTGCTACCAGCAGGGAATGGAAGTGCATGTTAACCCACCATCTCCCAATCATATCATGTATGATCATTTTTTCTTTTATTTTGCTGATATTTCTTTTATATTTTCCCAGGTTTTAAAAAAAGTATCTCATAGCTTTAACTCACATTTCTTATATTTTGAGTAAGATTCACTCACTCATTCAACAAGTATTTACCAAATGCCTTTTACATGCCAGACACTGTTTCAGATGCTGGGCATACATCAGTGACCAAAGTCCCTCCTCTCATAGAGCTTCCATTTAAAAAAAACCACACAAACAGCAAACGACTACATAGAATCTGTTAAGTGGTGATTAAGTGCAAGGGAGTAAATAAAGCAGAGGATAAGCTCCGCCCAGCAAGCAAGTGAAGGGTGAATAGGAGCATATTCCCATATGTTTAAAACACACATATTTCCTTTCCTATAAAATGTCTTTTCACATCCTCTGTCCATTTTTCCTATTGGGATAGTATTACTTTTGGCACTGAATTGTAGAATCTTTTATTTATTAGACATTTCAGATAGTAGAGAAATTGGATACCTTGTCATCATTTGTCAATCATCACCCAACTTCTCCTGAGGGTTACGAGCACATATACTAAGACTTGAATTTTGGTTAGAGGAATTTTAAAATAGTATTAGCTTTTAAGATAAAGGAAGACACATAATATAATATGTATATTCTTAGTTGGACCTTTCAGTCTAGGAAGCCCAGGTGTCCCACCTGGTATACCATATGTCACACCATCAGTACATGTAGTTTGTATGCACATTAGTTATTCAAATATGTAACTGGAGTCTCAGAGTCTAGTTTTTAATTGAAGTCTTAATTTTTCTATTTAAAAAAAATTGAAATCTATTTTTCTATAATGTTGTACTCCTTTCAAGTGTACAGCAAAGTGATTCAGCTATACATATGTATATAGTCTTTTCTTTTTCAGATTCTTTTCCATTATAGACTCTATTATAGGATATTGAATATAGTTCCCTGTGTTATATAATAGCTTCTTGTTGTTTACCTATTTTATATACAGTACTGTGTACCTGTTAATCCCAAACTCTGAATTTATCTCCTCCCACCCTCTTTGGGAACCATAAGTTTGTTTTCTATGTCTGTGAGTCTATTTCTGCTTTGTAAGTAAGATCATTTGTACCATTTTTTATAGATTCAAAATATATGTGATATCATGTGATATTTGTCTGACTTACTTCACTTAATATGATCATCTCTAGGTCCATCCATGTGGCTGCAAATTAAGAATCTGTTTTAAACAAGTAATTGTTCATACATTCTATTTATAAAACTTTTCCTTCTCTTTATGTTTATTACATATGTAAATGAGTGTGTGTGTGTTCCTAGCATGAAAAAGAAACACATTCACTGCTTTATTTAAGCAGAAATAACTATGATGTCTTTTGGCATCACCATGAGCCAGAACCTGTGTGCCTCACATCACATATCAAGTCATTAATCCTCATGACTCTAAACTATAGATAATATTATCACTCTCTTACAGTCTAGAGGCTGAGACTAAGAAAGGCTGAGGAATGTACTGAAGATCACCAGATGTTTTCGAAGCCAGGATTCTTCACTCTCCAACCTGTCTGACTGGGAAGCCTGTGTTAGCAGGTCAAACTGATATCCGAGAAAAACACTGAGAATCCTGGGAAAGTCTGGGGAAGCAATGGGACATCCTAACCTGGCTAAAATAAGTCATGGCTTTGCTGCGATGCTTCCCAACACAAACGGAAGGTTGGCAAGAGCCAGCTGTTGTAACCTATATAAATACCACTCTACAAACCAACATTGTTTCAAATTTTGAAAGTTTTACCATCATCCCAAGATCCTGATTATAGAAAGGATGCAAAGAGGGTAAATCAACAACCAGATGAATACAGAGAACATGGCAGGGTTATTTTAAACAATTTCAGTACATTTGATTCTTACCTGATTTCATTTCCAAAAGCGTATTGTTATCAATTTCATGGTTGGCTTTTCCTGGCTGAGGCACCCGCAGGGGTATGATTTGAGGGACACACACTGAACCAGCTGTCATTTTCCCTCCTTACATTAAAAAGAAAGTGGATTAAAATAAATTCCAATGGACACCTATATGTGAACACTGAAGAGAAGTATCTCATTCAAATACAGTAAGACTAGTAAAAACTAAAGAGAATGTTGTTTTTCTATCATCTACAAATATCATTTTTCTTTTTTCTTTTTTTGGGAGACTCATTTCAGTTCTTTTGTCTTTTTTTAAATTGAAGTGTAGTTGATTTACAATGTGTGTAATATATAAATATAATTAAAAAAATGTTTTTTGATGTGGACCATTTTTAAAAGTCTTTATTGAATTTGTTACAACATTGCTGCTATTTTATGTTTTTTGGCTGTAAGGCATGTGGGATCTTAGCTCCCTGACCAGGGAATGAGCCGGCACCCTCTGCATTGGAAGGCAAAGTCTTAACCAATGGACCACCAGGGAAGTCCCCAAATACTATTTTTAATGGAAATAATTATTGTCTCTGCTGTATTTTTGCTGTTGAGATCTTGTGTGGGTTTTTGATTACCTGAGTATTTACCTCACTTTGGGGGCAAAAAGCAGGAGTGTATGGGATGGGGGAATAAAATTCTTTTAAGTGAGCACATTAAATGCACATGTCAGAGCAGAGATCATCACTGATGACCAGACCTAAGCAATCCCTGGATCATTACCAGTCTGTCCTGCCTCTTTTTAGTATACCACCTCTCTTGGCTTCAGACAAGACAGCACACAAGAGGAAGAGAAGTAACTTTGTATGTAGCATGAAATGTTCATTTAGAGCCAGCTCCCTTGGGAAAGCTCCATGTTCAAAGTCCTGCAGTTGTCATCAACTGGTTCGTGCCTGTGAAAGCTGCAAAAGAAACTTTAGAAAATGACAGAGGGTCACGCCTCACCTGGAAGAAAGCTGGCATGAATATAAACAGTGAGGAAGGAACACAAAAGTCTCTCACTCCATCTACTGTATTTATAAGTAATTAAGTACACGTATGGAGGTCTTAGTGATCTTTTTCTTGGGGATGGGAGGGTTCATAATTATTAATACACCAAGGATTCAGGGGGGAAAACCCATACCTTAAAACAGTCTCCTACTCCATCTACTGTATTTATAAGTAATTAAGTACAAATACGGAGGTCTTAGTAATTTTTTTCTTGGGTGTGGGAGTGTTCATAATTATTAATACATAAAGGATTTAGGGGGAAAATCCCACACCTTAAAATCCATTTACATCTCAGATGGTCTGTTCAAATTTCAATGATAATGGATGCATAGATTTTACTCAGTTAAAATCTACATTGAAACTCAATTTTTATACAGTACTTCTTGTACCCTCCCCTATTATTTACAATTTTCCAAATACTTACATAATCTTATTTATCAATTTGTGATTGGGCTTTTATTATTTTCTTTTCAGGTTTGGGTTTTTGTTATTCTAAACAATGCTGCCTTGGAAATTCCCTGACGGTGCAGTGGTTAGGATTTGATGCTTTCACTGCAGGGGCTCTAGTTCAATCTCTGGTGGGGGTACCAAGATACTGCAAGCCACGCATGACATGACGCAAAAAAAATTTTTTTTAATAAATAAATAAATAAAAAATAAAACTACCCAGAACGTCTCTGTGGTTTGAGGTTTGTCACAGACTATACCCCAAAGGTGGGATGGCTAAATTTAAGGGGTGAATTTAATGCCTGGTTGGATAGTTCCAGGTCGGAGGCTAAGAATTTAAATTGCAGATACATATACGGATAGCGCGACAGCCCCTGCAGAGGGGCTCTGGAGCGTGCCCATCCTCACATTTTCATTTACGTGAGAGGCAGTTAAAATTAAAAAACGGTTAAATATTAGTTCAAAATAAAAACGTCTGGGCGGGGGGTGGTGGTGCGGATAATTCCTGCGGCGATGTCCTTGAAAGGCTGACAGTGCGTAGGCCAGTGGGCCCCGAGCGAAGGGGATCCATCCGTAGACCGATCCGCTAGGCCCGACTGCGTCAACAGCATCCCCCACCCCGCCATCCCTCCGTTCAGACTGCCCCTCACCGCCCGGTTCCGGAACCCCGTCTGGTCCCCGTCTCCGTCCTTCAGGTGCAGCCAAGGACACCGCCACGACTCGGCTGAATGAAGGATGCCCTTCTCCTCCGCCCCCTCCCCCAGCGACCAGGACCCGATCGGGACCCCCTGGGTACCTCTGCAGCCCCCACCGAGGCAGCCCACCGCTCACCGCCCTTGGTCCTCTCCTTCACTGCGGCGGTACGGGTTACCAAGACGCTGCGAGCCGCGCCCCGCCCACCGGGAGCTGGGCAGGTGATTGGCAGGAACCCGCTTCCTAGCAACTAGCTCCGCCCCTGCGGTTGGCCCGGAGACAGGCGGCCGCAGAGCGCTCCTTTCTTCAGGCCTAACAGTAGGCGTCCGAGAACTTGCCTTCACAGAGGTTGGAAAGCGCTACAAGGTGGCCTCCCAACTCAAAATGAGAACCAGGCTCGTTCGTGCGACAGTCGCTGACTTTCTGGAAATACCAGAACGAAATACCAGAATGAAAATACCAGAACGGCGCGCGCGCTCATGAAGCGGCGCAGGCGCGACTTGGCCACCTCTAGGCGGCCCGCAAGGGAAGACCGCCTGCGACCTGAGGAAGAAAGCCCCTTGCGCCGGCCGGACCCTGTCTTCAACCCTGTCCCGCTTCCCCCGGCTGGCAGTCCGGCCGCCGGGAGGGGTCTCTTCCCACAAGGGCCCGGTACGGGCGCCCTCATGGCCGAGGTGAAGGTGAAGGTGCAGCCGCCCGACGCGGATCCGGTGGAAATCGAAAACAGGTAAATCGGCGAGTGAGGCTCGTTCCCCGTCTCTAAAGGCCCCCTTTCTCCCGGACCCTTCTCTCGTCTCCGGAAGACGGCACACTTAAGAAATTCAGAGCTAGTCGGACAGTTGACGAGATTGTGGGGCCGGCCTTTCCCTGGGTCTGTCAGGGAAGCTGTCTACTCAGGCGCACCTTTCCTTAAGGTGATCCACGCTCAGAATGAAGACTCGGCTTTTCCCTCCGGGAAAGTGTTAGTCGCTTGGTCGTGTCAGACTCCTTGCGACCCCATGGGGTACTGGTGTAAACACATTCTGGTCCAGGATCGCCCTTGTTACCAAGGAACTCCCGTGATGGAAGGTTTAACCAGACTTAGGGTGCAGTTTTCGATTATGAAGCAACAGACACCAGACAATTTGAGCGCGATATTTAAGTGAAGTTTTTAGGGCATCCAACGCATCTTACGCTTACCCAAAGCATCTCCCAAAGCATCTCCAATACTCTGGGCATCTGATGCGAAGAACTGACTCTTTTGAAAAGATCCTGAAGCTGGGAAAGACTGAGGCCGAGAGGGGAAGGGGACAACGAGGATGAGATGGTTGGATGGCGTCCCTGACCTAATGGACATGAGTTTGAATAAACTCCTTGAGTTGGTGATGGACAGGGAGGCCTGGTGTGCTGCAGTCCATGGGGTTGCAAAGAGTCGGACACGACTGAGCGGATGAACTGAACTGAACTGAAGCATCTTACAATTTTATATTCTCTACTGTGCCCTGCAGTGTTTAGGTTATCACAGAATTTATGAAGACCCCAGCTTTCTTAAACTGTTACTTATTAGTAACACATATGATGATCCTGTGACAAGGTGAAACTTGAGGTTTATTTCTGTTTGTTAGGGATAATTCCAAAAACAGGTCCCAGTTGTGGTGAATTGTCCAAAAAAAACTTTGACTTCCCTCCAGAAGTGTTTGATCTGCCTCCTGCTTACAGACTTATGGCTACCCAAGGCACTGTCTCTTCACTTTGTTATACTTGTTGCATCTGAGAAAATTGAAGCCTCAGCTTTAATGTGTTTTTCTGTGTTTTCATTTGATTTTTGTCCTAATTTAAAATTCATATAAATAAGAAATGCTTCTCTTAAATACAATAAAAATGCAAACATGTACTTCAAAAGCATCTTCCTCATTTTTAATGTGCTTTCATTCAGAACCATTGTAGAAACCCAGATTATCTGTCAAATGTGAAAAAAGGCACATTTCTAAACTGTTCTGCTTGTATTTTTCCCTTACTGCCTCTTGAACTAGGTAAAAACATGAATATCATTAATTCTTTTGTCCCTAGGATTATAGAATTATGTCACCAGTTCCCTCATGGAATCACAGACCAAGTAATTCAGAATGAAATGCCGCATATAGAAGCCCAACAGCGGGCAGTGGCCATCAATAGACTGTTGTCCATGGTAAGGTGAATCCAACTAGTTCATGTAATTATTTATATGTTGTGATTGTCATTACTTTCTTTTATGTGGAGTGAAACCATTCTCAAAAGTGTGTTAGGTTGTGACTGATAAGACTTCAAACTAGGAAACAGCTCAGACTGCCTGAACAAGGAAAGAAGTAATATGCGTTTTTACAAGACAAATGAAATAATTGTATTTTAACTGTTATATTTAGTAATTTGTCACTGAGGTACATACTGGCAAACATGTACATGTAGGCATAGTCTGTTCCCACCTTCTGTTTGCTTCTTGCTGCTAGTAAAGGCAAATATATGGCAAAGGCTTTGGATCAAATACATAAACTAGTATGAAGATTAAAAGACAAAAATGGAAAAATCAACTGTAACTACAATAAAGAGCTAAGGGATAAACATGTGATGATTGGGAAGAAATAGACAATTTCTACAGACCAGATTGTAATTGTCTGATTACTAATTCAATTTTAGTAATAAAATTGAATTATTAGTCAAAGCCTCCCAGCAAAGAAAAGTCCAAGACTAGATAGCTTCACAGGGTAGTTCTACCAAACATATAAAGAAGAGCAAATACTATCCTTATCAAACCATTCCAAAAAACTGAAAAGGAGGAAACACTCCCAAATTCATTCTACAAGGCCATCATTACTCTGATACCAAAACCAGACAAAGATACCAGTAAAAAAAAGAAAATTAGAAGCCAGTGTCTCTCATAAATATACATGTAGAAATCCTCAACAAAATATTAACAAGCCACATTCAATGATATACAAAAAGAATCATACACCATGAACAAATGGAATTTATTATAAGAATGCAAAGATGGTTCAGTATGCACAAATCAGTCAGTATAATACACCACATTAACAAAAGGAAGCTTAAAAGTCACAAGATCATCTCAACAGATGCAGAAAAGGCATTTGACAAAATTCAACGTCCATTCATGATAAAAACTCACCAGAGTTGGTACAGAGAGAACATACTTCAACATAATAAAGACTGTTTCTGACAACCCACAGAGAAAATTATCTTCAGTGGCGAAAAGATGAAAACCTTTCATCTAAAATCAGGAAGACAGGAATTCCCTGGTAGTTCAGTGGTCAGGACTTGGCACTTTCACTGCCAGGAGCCAGGTTCAGTCCCTGGTTGGAGAACTAAGAGCCCACAAGCTGTGAGGCATGACCAAAGAGAAAGAAAAAATCAGGAGGAAGAAAAGGAGGCCCACTCTTACCACTCCTATTTTAGTATTGGAAGTCCTAGCCACTACAGTCAAGATATGAGAAAGAAAGCATACAAATGGGAAGAAGTGAAACTGTCCTTACTTGCAGATGACTTGATGCTATATAAAGAAAATGCTAAAGTCTCAATCAAAAAAGCTATTAGAACTAACAAGTGAATTCAGTAAAGTTGCAGGATCAAGATTAATATACAGAAATCTGTTGCTTTCCTATACACTAATAATGAACTATCAGAAAGAGGAAGCTAGAAAACAGTCTCTTTTAAAAGTAACATAAAAGGAGTAAAACAGCTAGGGACAAACTGGTGAAAGACCTAACTTTGAAAATTATAAAACACTGATGAAGGAAATTGAAAATACTACAAAGTAATAGAAAGATACCCAATGGTAATGGACTGGAGGATTTAATATTGTTAAAATGTCCATATGACCCAAAGCAATCTACAGATCTAATGCAATCCCTATCAAAATGCCCAGGACACTTTTTACTGAACTAGAACAAATAATATGAAAATGAATGTGAAACAGAAAAGAGTCCAGATAGCCACAACAATCTTGAGAAAAAGAACAAAGGTGGAGGTATCATGCTCCCCGACTTCAGACTATACTACAGTATGGTTCTGGCATAAAAAGAGACACATAGATCAGTGAAACAGAATAGAAAGCTCAGATATAAACCCATCCATCCAGTTATGGTCCATTAATCTAAGACAAAGGAGGAAACAATGCATAATGGGGAAAAGAGTCTCTTCAACAAGTAGTACTGGACAAAATGGATAACCACATGTAAAAAAATGAAATTAGGACATTTTCTCACACCATATATAAAAACAAACTCAAGATGGATTAAAGGCCTAACAAAGATCAGAAACCGTAAAACTAGAAGAAAACATAGGCAGAACATGCTCTGACAGAAATTGTAGTAGTATTTTTAGAGAAATGCAAATCAAAACAATAAGGTATCATCTGACACCTGTCAGAGTGGCTATCATGAAAAAGACCACAGACAACAAATGTTGGTGGCAATGTGGAGTAAAGGGAATCCTTGTATGCTGTAGGTGGTGGGATGTAAATTGGTGCCACCACTATGGAAAGCAGTATAGAGATTCCTCAAAAATACTAAAAATAGAACTACCATACAATCCAGCAGTTCTACTCCTGGGTATATATATCAAAGAAAACAAAAAGACTAATTCAGAAAGGTATATGCACCCAAATGTTCCCTGTTGGCACAGTGGGTAAAGCGTCTGTCTGCCATGTGGGAGACCTGGATTCGATCCCTGGGTCAGGAAGTTCCCCTGGAGAAGGAAATGGCAAGCCACTCCAGTACTCTTACCTGGAAAATTCCATGGACGGAAGAGCCTCGTAGGCTGCAGTCCATGGGATTGCAAAGAGTTGCACACGACTGAGCAACTTCACTTCTCAAATGTTCATAGAAGCATTATTTACAATAACCAAATGTGGAAGCAACCTAACTGTCCATCAGCAGATGAGTGGATAAAGAAGATGTGGCAGATATAGATATACATACACACATATACATACAATGAAATACTACTCAGCTGTAAAAAAAAGAATGAAATTTGCCATTTGCAATAGCATGGATGGACCTGGAGGAGGGTATTAGTGAAATAAGTCAGAAAGACAAATACTATATGTTATCATTTATGTCTGGAATCTAAAAAAGAAACGAATATGTTAATAACAAAACAGCCTCACAGATATAGAGAACAAATTAGTGGTAACCAGTCAGGAGAGGGAGTGGGGAGGGTCATAAGAGGTGAAACAGGATGTGTTGTACAACACAGGGAATATAGCCAACATGTTATAATAACTTTAAGTGGAGTACAGTTTATAAAAACTTGAGATCACTATGTTGTATACCCAAAACTAATATAACATTATTTCAATTAAAAATAAAAAACAGTGCACCAGATTGCTGAACCCTGTCCTAACCAAAAGAGAAGAAGTGTTGGTGATTTCTAGTTGCTTCACCATGGTGAAGGTCTTCAGCTTCTGGAAGCATAGAGCAAGGGGTGCTGGGAAGTGTGGTGATTAGAAATGTTTTTGTCCTCAGATTCCACTTTCAGCTTTTTCCTTTCTGTCTGAAAATTATCCTCAGCAGTCACCTGTTGTCAGTCCTGCAATGAGCAGTGGTGAAGCTACTCAAGAATTTTAAGCAAGGGAGTAATTGTTAATAAATCACTAGTGTTGCTGGTTTTAGCTCTTAAACTATCCTCAAATTCGTTCCCCTGTTTTCACTCCTCCCACCCCTGCATGTGTTCAGACTCTTGGCTTCTACTTGAACTGTTAGGTGTATCTTTACAGCCTTCCTGGCTGCGTGTACCTCAGAGCAATCTGCTCTGTCTTAAAGGCAGTTCTGATCAAGTTACTCTCCCACCAGAAACCCTTCTCTCAGCTCTGGAGATTCAAGTCCAAGACTCCAGGGTTTACCACTCTGAGCCCCTGCCTTCCCCACCCACCTCATCTCCCTGCATCCCCTGCCTCACAAGTTCGTTTTCACAGGGAACAGTTTGTTTCTCGGTTCCCTGGCACGTCACGCTATTTAGTGTCTCAGGCCTTTCTTTGCTCATGCTGTCTTCCCTGGTTAAAAGGCCCTTCCTCCTTTCCTCAAACACTGACTCTCATCCTAAGACTCAACTCCAGGCAGCCCCCCTGAACCTGCAGGCTGGGCTAAAGTGCCTTCCCTGGGAGCCCATCCCCCGCTTCACTCGGCTCTGTCCTCATGCCACCCTATGGTATTGAAATCAGCTGTGGAGTTCTCTCTTGGAATTCATGTCTGTCCTCCCCACCCCAAAGATGTTCCCAGGACAGGTGTTCAGTAAATGTTCACCTGAATTAAACAACTGAATGAAGTTTCCAAAGTGGGCTTTGTCGTTCAATTTTTTCCACTTAGGGGGCCGGGGGAGGGAGGAAAAGGACTGCTGTTCACTGATATACCAACGTGATTCCAAGTTATGGGTCTGCCCAGCCTTGACTCATGGGAACCTCTCTCAGCAATGCTTCTCTGAACTGCGAGGAGCCCAGTGGTACAGCCATTGGCGTTCTCACAAGTTCAGATTCAAGGAAATGCAAGAGCATGGCAGACATGCTTAATTTTATATTTGACTTGTATAAAACAAAACTACTACAGGCCTTTTATTCATTGGTTGATCTTTCTGCCTAATTTTCAGGTAACACTACAGAAATCACCCATATCAGTAAATGTTACTATTAATGTTGTAAATTTTATTTAATCATTGTGTCAGCATATTTTTGCATGTATAGCCTTTATCTGAACTTTTTAAAGATGTTAACTTTATTATTTTTATATATATTTATTCAGTTTACTTGAATATGAATTTTTATTATTCTAAAGCTGCTTGTTTAAAATTCTTCATGCATTGATCATATAACCAGGCTAGGATCTAACATGTAGGAAATTGTTAGGTAAGAATCTGCCTGCAGTGCAGGAAACCTGGGTTCGATCCCTAGTCAGGAAGATCCTCTGGAAAAGGAAATTGCAACCCACTCCAGTATTCTTGCCTTGAAAATCTCATGGACAGAAGAGCCTGATGGGCTACAGTCCATGGGGTTGCAAAGAGTTGGGCATGACTGGGCAACTAACACTTACTTACTTAATATTTGGGGAAATGGTGATATAAAGAGTTAAGTTTAAAAAAATATATGTATCACGTGTGATATGTAGGGAAAATCTTAAGTACTCAAGGGAGGAACTGACAACTATACAAGGTAGGATATTTTAGTCTGTAAAATATTGAAGAATGCATTAATGCTTGCCATTAAATTTGATATGTCTCCAAAATAGTTCACTGATATTTTCTTTCTTTTAAAAAAAACAAAAAACTTTAGGGTCAATTGGATCTCTTAAGGAGCAATACAGGACTTCTGTATAGAATAAAGGATTCTCAGAATGCTGGGTAAGCACATGATTTTTTATTTTTAATATTGTAAAAGTAATATATGTTTGGGTGGGAAAGGCCAGTACAGAATTACATTATGTAAACCTGTCCTTCAAATCATCTCACTTCCCACAGGAGTTCCATTTCCCAGAGATAGTGGCTCTAAATAATTTGGTATATATCCTTCCTTATAGGTATATATAAATATATATAGATGATTATATATTTATATACCATATATTTATATATAATCTCTTTTCTTTTTTTTTTTTTTTAACAAATTGGATCATGCTATCCATACTGTTTTGCAACTTGTTTTTTTTCACTTACTGTATCTTGGACATCTTTTCATTCTGGTACATACAGCCCTGTCTCATTCTTTTTAAGGTAAGCCCTCCTTTTGGTAAATAAGTCAATGTGATTACCTTGTCTACTCATTCATTTAAGTGGTCATGTAGATGATTACATTAGCCTGTATCTCTTTGCTTATTTAATTCTGCTTTATTCCCCTACAGTAAAATGAAAGGATCAGATAACCAAGAAAAACTAGTGTATCAGATCATAGAGGATGCAGGAAATAAAGGTAAGCTTTAGAGGAACAAGCAGAAAAAACGTTATCTCTAGGACCAGATATTAGGGACGGAGATCCTGGCTTCCCAGAGTGTAGAGCAGTCAGTTCAGCCTGCTGCCCTTTGTGTTCAAAGAAGAAAATATCACACACATACTCACACACACATATATATACATATTTATAATGTACATATTTTGAAGGACGCCCAAGAGTGATGCTGTTGTTGCATGAAGGGAGGCAGGAACTAGATGGCCATGGGCAGAGATGGAAAGAAAGTTCTGAATTCTGAACCATATACATGTATTACCAAAACAAATAAAACTGAAGGGTTTTTTTTATCCTCACTCTCTAAATTTTGGAAGCCTTCATTTCTTCCTCTTATCTATTAATTGTGGATCATAACATCTCTTTGGTTTTTGTAGGAAACCACAGGACACCTAGTGCAGCATGGCAGTGTCTGATGTAGCTCCCTCCACAGCTGTTTAGTTCCTCTCCTGCCACCCTCAAAGAACGGGATCTAAATTGCTGTTACTACAGTTTTAAGACCTGTTTGAGTCATTGATATTAGCTTCAGCAATTATGATGTAACCTAAAATTGTACAATTCTATATGTGTTAGGAAGTTAAATTACATTTTAAAAATAAATATGAAGACAGCATTCTCTATTTAAAACAAAATCTGCCTAGCCTTTTTGTTGGGAAGAAAATACAGCAAAATACTTTTACATAAATTCCCTTTATACATATAATACTTATTTCCTTCTTTGAAAGAAAAATCGTAGCTTTCTGCACAGGTTCTTAGTGACTGTAAGAGCTATAATCTTTCTATTTTCCAAGTATAGTGGACATACATACACATAGATGCTCTCATAAAGGTTTTTTTTTAATTGCTCTCCATTGAGGATGGCAGCTGACCCTGACCCAAACTTAAGTTTGTTTTTTACAGTATATGATCTAAAGTGAAATTTATAGAAAAAAGAGGCTGGAATGTAAGAGGGCATGGAAAGGCCAGTGTAAGTTAATTCAATGACATCAAGATTTTTCTTCCTTTAGAAAAATGTCCCTTATCATATGATTTTAAAAGATGCCACACTAACCTTCTAAGAAATTTCCAGTTAGAAAATGGAACATACAACTTTCTTGCATATTTTTGTTACTTTATCTGAGATTCTTACCTGTGCATCGTTTTTCCTATGGCAGTGCTCCAGGATTATATACATATTTTGCTAGATTTACAATGAGATATAAGCAATGGGTAAGAAACAAATCCTATAGTGTTAAACTTATTTTACTTTACTTTCTTACAGGAATATGGAGCAGAGATATCCGATACAAAAGCAACTTGCCATTAACAGAAATTAACAAAATTCTGAAGAATTTGGAAAGTAAAAAGCTTATCAAAGCCGTTAAGTCTGTGGCAGTGAGTAACAGTCTCTTTTCTTCTCTTGAATGTTCACTGTACATATACTGCTCCAAGGATATTTCAGGTGTTTATCGTTCTTTTGGCTATGTCATGATTTAAAACAACTGATCAAAAAAGATTTTTAAAGTTGTAGCTCATATTGGACCATTTGGAGACGCTGCTTTAGTCCATTAGCTATAACACATGTACTCTGATAACGTCAGGTGTTAATAGGGGAAGCCAAGCACAAGGCGACTTGGTATGCTGTCCTGTAGTCACAGTAATTCTGTAAATCCCACACTGGTGTGAAATATAAAGCTTTGGGGTTTTTAAGTCTTAGTTTTGGAAGACTGCTTTGTTGCCTTTTAGCCATCTGCTGTGTGTGTGTGTTTTTTTCCCTAGGCCTCAAAAAAGAAGGTGTATATGCTCTATAACCTGCAGCCAGACCGCTCTGTGACAGGTGGGGCTTGGTACAGTGACCAGGATTTTGAATCTGAATTTGTGGAGGTGCTTAACCAACAGTGTTTTAAATTCCTACAAACCAAGGTGAGCCATAACTTAGGAAACATCCTTCCAAGTGTTTTTTCTTTTTTTGTTTGTTTTTTTAAGTTTTTTCATAAGGAATGTTTAATCATACATATCGTATCTTATAGGAATTGAAAATACTGAAGTTGGTCCTTTTTCCTAAACAAAATAGGTCCTGTTGTTGATTATCTTCTATAGAAATTGTGTTCAGAAGGTACTGGTATTGTTTATGAAATTTATATTTCTACCCTTATAGGCAGAAACCGCACGAGAAAGCAAACAGAATCCAATGATACAAAGAAATAGTTCATTTGCTTCATCACATGAAGTGTGGAAGTATATCTGCGAATTGGGAATCAGTAAGGTCAGAGCCCAGTCTCTAATTTTCATCTTATTTTTTAAAAGTTTTGCTTCATCGTAGGGATATGGTTTACAGTGTATTCTAAACACATCTGGCCCAGACCCTCTTCTCATGTGATACCTGTGTACATTCTACAGAACCCGCAGAATGTAGAAACCACTGTCCTAAGCCAGGCAGGAAAAGGCAGTCCTTGCCGTCAGGCACTTTCTGAACTGCATGTCCTTGAGCTTGGGCTCCAGAGCAGCAGAGTGGAAGCCTGGCCATGCATTTCACTACCAGATGCAAAAGTCTGTTCTGACAAGTTCTTGACTCTCCTGGGGACATTTCAACATATGTGCCAAACATCCATCATTAGTATCGGTTGTCATTTATTGGTAGTTTCCTACTTATGAGATGTAAGTGGCACTGTCAGCACATTCTTTCGAACATCTGTACATGTGGACACTGCTTGATTGCCCCTCACCATCAGAGAAGATGCTGAAGTGGCTATTTGGACAAGTCATTTTCATTTCTGCTCTCCAGTTCTCTTTTATTTAAAAAAAAGAACACAGGAATTTGGACTATCTGCTGTTTAAAGTACCTTTCTGCTTAAGCATTTTTATAAATCTCCATCAGATTCTTGCCAAAGAAATGTGGCAAAATGTCTAGATCCTCCTTAGGAGGGCAAAGCTCAGCAGTGAGCTCAGAGCTCTATCCCTGGGATCTGAGTGGTCCATTCTCACTCTGGCCATTGTTGAGCTTCTTTGTGCCTTCAGTTATTCTAGCATAATCCTTCCCCACTTCATCAAGAATTGTGACCTTTTACTGCTGTCAACACCCTCCAGAAGGATGATTGCTTTTTTTGAGTGCTTTCTAACATACTGCTTTTGTAGGTGGAGCTGTCCATGGAGGACATAGAGACCATCTTGAATACACTCATTTATGATGGGAAAGTAGAGATGACGATCATTGCTGCCAAAGAAGGCACCGTTGGCAGTGTGGACGGACACATGAAACTCTACCGGGCGGTCAGTCCCATCATCCCGCCCACAGGCTTGGTCCGGGCCCCCTGCGGACTCTGCCCAGTGAGTTAAAATGGCTTCTCTTTCTACTTTACTGCCTGAGAGTGCAAATCCCACCTAACTTACCAGCAAGAGCTGTTGACACCACCATGTAACCTTGATGACAGACCTTTAGTGAGCACGTCATCACCTTACATTCTTTCCTGTAATAACCACCTTAAGGAAATTGGTTTTCTGCTCTTGATCCCAAAATGCACAATTCTTTTCTTAACCTTTTATTTTTTATTGGGGCATAGCTGATTAACCATGTGATAGTTTTAGATGCACAGTAGAGTGATTCAGTCATACTTATACATTTATCTATTCTCCCCCAAACCCCCCTCCTATCCAGGCTGCCGCATACATTGAGCAGAGTTCCCTGCAAAATGCAGTTTTTGCTGAGGGCTAACCATTTCACTTAAGTAGGAAGGGTAATGGGGTTTGGTGAGAACCTGTTGTTGGCCAGACATGTTTTTGAAAATGTCTATGCTGTCATAATCGTCCTGCATCCCTTAGAGTTAGTGGTATTAGTTAGGGGCTAACTAAGCCCCCCCCCGAGGGGGCTTAGGGCAAGGAAGATTGAGAGCCTTCAATTGACTTGACAACCAGGCCTCACACCGGAGGTGACGTGTTTGCCCTTGTAGCACACCCACACTCGTCATTTGTTCGTTCCTACGCGTGCTGCAGGCTCTGTTCCTGCTCTTGGGGCGTGTTTATTCTCGGACTGCCTGTCTGCTTTCTATTGTCTACAGCTCTCATGCTCTGGTTTCAACTCCCAGAAAAAAGGCTACTCTGTTGGGAATTCTGTTTAGCACTTTCACAAAAAGGAGTGACTAAATACGAAACACTTGATTAGTCAAGATTAAGTCATTCGTGTGTGCAGATCTCCGATCCTGGACTGTTGCCTGCCTTCTGCCCAGTGGGCAGGTAGACTAGTCAGCCTAGTGCTGTGGCAAACGGTCTCTGTCTCACTCCATGACCAGAGCAGGTCCTCTTCCAGGATGTTCTTGGATACAGGCCTAACCTTTCACTTTGAAAGTTTTGTTTTTAATACCGCTTTAAATAAATGCTTGGAATACTGGATATTTTGTTAGAATTTTTAGTTGTAGTTGATATTTAAGACATTACCTTTAATATACTAATTTTAAAACCTGAGTTTGAATGTAACCGTTTTTCTTTTCTAAAGGTTTTTGATGACTGCCATGAAGGTGGTGAGATTTCACCATCTAACTGTATTTACATGACAGAGTGGCTCGAATTTTAATAGAGAGCTATGAACTTTGCTGACGTCTTGCAAATGAAGTTACTTCGGGTGCAAATAATTTAACTCATGATGGAACATCACACTCCCTTGAAAGCATTCAAGGTACAGACTTATTGCTACAGAAAAATATATTTTTTAATCTATGAAGACTAAATTTATATTGATAGTGTAGTCAGCAGGGTATGAAACAGATAATAAGGTTAGTGGAGAAATCCATTCTTCAGTAAGTAAAATACTTAGAACCTCAGGAAGACCACCTGTTGGAACTTTTGAGATTTCTGATGATTCACGGGAAAAGAAGCCAGCAAGTCAGTATTCACCAAGGACTGTGATAATGGCTGGAACTTTAAAATGCCTGTTTTAAAGGCATTTATCAAGGTCTTCATTGGGAATTTTTTACATATGGCTCAGTGTCACCATTTCTGTTTTCTCCATGGTTTCATTGAGAAGAAACGAAAAGTGGGGAAGGCAGGAATAGCAGGGGAGGATGCAGACTTGGAGCATGAGATGGGAGACAGTAGAGTATCCCTTTCCACACACTACTGATGCCTTTTTATGTCAGAAATATTCTTTCCAAGGATTACATTGGTGTACTTACCTCAAACCCAAACTGTGACTGTTGTCAAGGACATGTTTTCAGTGCATAAATTCACTCATTTGTTCATTCGTTCATTGTTCTCATCCTAAAGGGAATATCTGCCCTGGCTCTTTTTTGTTAAAGTCTGTGGCTCAGTTGTATTATTTGCTAGAATTTTCCCCTAGATTCTTATTTAACTAAAATTAAAACTAAAAATAATCCATTGCCTTTCATTCCTTTTGTTGGGGGAGGGAGTATCATTCTTCTTTCCTTATCCTATCTTCAATTTGTTTGCATATTGTCTCAAATATTATGGTATAATAGGTCTAAACTAAGCAAGAAGCTGTTATAACTGTCCTTAATTCCAATAGCACTTACAGTCCCAATCCTCAGCTGAATAGAAAAAATAGGTCACTTGATGTTTTGTTGCACAGAATTCAGCTATAGGGCTTTTTCAGATCTCAGCTGTCTTACTTTCAGTCTGTAGCACCACTTAAAGGTTTCTGTGTCCAGGCCAAAAGCCAGGGGCCAAGGGAAAGGAAAGTTACTACCAGGGCCTGGGTTCAAACCTGTTTGGAGAACCATCACAAGTGTTATTTTAAGATAAATAGTAAAATAAAACTCAGCTCAGTAACCAATTTGTAAGAACCATATAAATTCTGTAGTGAGCTCTATAGAATTAGCATTTGATGACACTGGTGTTTGAAATAAAGATCATTTCAATTACTGGGTATGTGTAAGATCCAGAAGGGTCTGAGAGCCCGAAACTACAGAGGGCTTCTGTTCCCCTGAGAGTGGAATGGTAAGATGAGTATCTGCCTTCCTGGGAACTGGCCTGTCAAGAGTCAGAAGTGAAAGAAGGAACCAGTTTGCATTTTAAATATAGATTTTTTTTAAAATATAGATTTTATACTATATCTTAAGGGCCAGAGATTGTTTAAAGTTGACAATCTGTGGCTAAACCAGAAGTATTCCTTGCCTACCAGACTAGAGAGTCCCTTTAAACTTTTTCCCCTTAGCCTGTTTTTCATTATGAATATTAAGAAAGGAAGAGGTGACTGAAAAATACAGCATCTCAGATGTTGGTTACATGGATATTTACAGGAATAAGTTCTGACCAAACAAACTGTGGGGCTCTAAGCTCACAACAACATCACAAAGTCCAACTGGACGTGAAGTCTACTCCTCACAGCTGATCTCCGTTTAGTGTGTGGCATTTTGCTCATCTGAAAACAGATATTCCCTGGAGTCTGTCAAGGCGAGTTTCTGCTTTATACTGATCTGCATGTACAGAGTCAAACAGAAACATGAAAGGTCACGATCTAAGAGTTGTAATGAGTAGTTCGTGTGGGATTCTGTCATATAACTTCTCTGATCTCAGTTTGGTGATGAGTAAGTTTTATGGGGCTGTAATTTTTATCGTGATCAACTAAGCAAACCAGTCAAAAGTAACTCAGTGGAGTCACTTCGACTGTGGTGGTGGGTGAGGGACAAATGTGTCACGAGCTCTAGCACAGTGCTGTCCAGGAGAACCTTCTCTCAGGACAGAAATGCTCTGTATCTTTGTCCAGCAAGGCAGCCACTAGTCACCCATGATGGCAGAGCACCTGCACTGTGGCTTCCAGGAATGAAGAACTGCACGCTGTCTTGCTGGCTCCCTGGGGCTACTGGCTGCCATGCTGAGCGGCACAACTGGACCGCCATATGCTCCAAACTCAAGTTACTTTTATAGGAATGAAGAATATTGAAGTTAATTATTTCTCAATTGTATATATTTGTTTTTTTTCTACAGAGAAAGAGTACAAAAAAGTATTATGAACTGTTATTTGTATAAGTTTTTACTTTTAAGAAAGGACTACAAAAAAAGAAAGGACTACAGAAAACAAGGCAGAACATACACAGAACAATTACTACTGCCAAATAATTCAAACAGAATCAAACTTTGATTACAGGCTTGGTCATATCAGTGCCAAACAACCTCTCTTAAGAAAATTATTCAACTGATTTATCTACTTGGCTTTTCACTAACTCATCAGATTTATTTTTAGTTATAAAAGATACATTCAGTGCAGCAAACTCAAAACATCCCCGGCTGTAGAAAGTAAACAAGAGACGTCCACCACACCATACCTACCAAGATTCCCAGCCCCCTAAGGTAGTTACTGCTGAAAGCTTAAGACTCTCTCCTGACTTTTTTAAAGCACATTTAGAAATCAAGACTCTTCAGCTTCAAATGATAGCTTTGAATCTTCATGAGGTGTAAACAGTGGGAATTCACATTACTGAAGCAAATGTCAGGTGTGAATTTACTGGAAAGTGTTTGAGGCAACACTTAGGGATCATCATAGCCAAAAAACATTGGAAAATGAGAAGGGGTTTTTTGAGGGAGTGTGATTAGAAGAAAAATCATGGAATGATGCTACAAGATCTCAAGGCCCATGGAAACTGAAAGGTAGAGCACTTTACAGAACAAAACTTGAGGTGTGGAAAGATCATTTTTTTTAAGACTTTGTAACAGAATCCAAATTGTTCCCATGACTTCGTCCTTTGACATGATGTCTGTTTCTCAGGCTTTTCTCAGGCTTTCCAGAGAGGCATGTACAGCACCTGGCTAAGTGAATACCCAAGGCAGAGGTCACACAGGGATGGCCTGGATCTTGTGTCTCAGTGTTTGTAAATTTATTTACACTGTAGCAGCCAACTAACATAACCCGTATGTCTGTGGGTTGAGCATAATTCATGTACATATGGATTATATATATATATATATATACACACACACACACATACACACTCAATAGTCCCTAAATATAAGACCCACTGTATAAATTTGTTTTTCTTGAAAAATCAGAAAGATTAGCAATACCTTGGCAAATTCCCACGTGGCGACAGGGCCCAGGAGTTCTCCCTGTTCGTTGCCCTGTTGCCCTCAGCAGTCTGGCCTGATCCTCGCCGACCCAGTCAGCTCTTCTCATGTTCCCCACCTGCCCCTGCACACCGCTGCCTCCAGCTCCTTGTTTGTCACTCTTGACATGTTTGGGGATGAGGGGTCAGGTGTCAAAGGGGAAGGCCTTGGTCTGGGTTAACCTCTGGGGTCAGCTCCCAACTGAGGAGTGTTCGGAGCTCTTCACTAACACTCTGGACCTTTAGTCATGTTTTCTTTCCCCGACAAAAGAAAAGTTTTATGTCAGAGAGCACTGCAGCTCCTTCAACATAACATGAAACCTGTTTTAATCAGAACTGGGGGGTCAGGAAACCTGGGTTTTGTTTCTGTCTTACTCACTTTGGACAGGTAAGGGTGGTTAAGCTGTCCCCTGTCCCTTGCCAAGTGGGAAAAAGAATATTTTAACTCATAGCAATTTGAGGAGATGTAGATTCTGTTGAGAACAAAAATGCTGTTTGAAAATTGAAATGTGTGTTGTTTTAGGCATTCTGGGCCTTAACTGAATCTGTTTTATGTGTCAGTATTCATTTGATAATAGAGACTGTTGATTATTAATAATTAATATTAGTTGCCCTCCTCCCATGTTGTTACACAGACAGCAGGAACCATCCTGTCTACGCTGATACCTTTAGCATGGACCTGACTACACTAACCAGTTCATGAAACTCCGTGTTCTGGAAATGGCTGCGGTCAGTGAATTTGTACAATTTGGCTTCCAGACTGTCGGCCACTTCTTGTTCTTCCTTCCAAGGAAGGAAAGGGTCATCGGTGGAGCCAAACTGCACAATGTGAGGGCAGTTGGCTTTGATCTTCTCCCACTGCCAGGGCCGGCTGAAGTAGCCTGTGAGAAAAACAGCGAGCCTCTCAGTGCCCTGGACCATTTCCACTCTAGCCAGTGTGGTAAAGACCACAGCAGGGACATGAAGAATCTGAGCCCCACTGTGAGTCTGCAGATCTGTAGGGCTTGATACCGTGGCTACTTGATGAAGAGGGAGGGTGTGGTTCGGGGGCTCAGTTCTAGACTGGATTACAAGCTGGCCCACCGCCCTAAGTGCCTACCTTATATTTAAAGTATTGGTGGTGAGTATTTCTTACAAGTGATTAGGTGTCTTGTTAGCCTGTGTTGTTTTATCATGCAGCCCCTTGTCTACAGAAGAGGCTCTCCCTGGGGTCTCTGCCTTCAGACTTACCGCTTACACGCTCATTTGCACCCCCCAGGTCAGATGTGTACGCAAACACTAACACGATAGCATACACCCGGTGGGTCTTGGCGTACCTGGAGAGTCAGGAATGACGTAGCTTATGTCTAGTGTTAAATGTAATTCCCAGAAAGGCAGTAAGCCACCCAAAGTCACTTGACTCAGCTTATGGAAAGCACATGCTGCAGGCTGCTGAGCTTGGTATGAAAAAGCAAAAAAAAGCAAACTGCAGAAGAACTAGGAGCCCAGCAGGCAATTGCCTCACCTGGGCTACCTGAGCTTCTACTCAGTTCTCAAAGTAGTGCAGGCCTCGCCTGGAATAAACACAACAACTGTAGTCATTCATCTCAATGTGTGGGTGCATCCACCTTCAGCCCGCACTGGCTTTACCTGGTTGGTTAACACACAGATTCCCTGGCTCGGCCCCAGAGCATCTGATTCAGGAGGCTGAGAGCGAGGCCCAGGAATCAGCACCAGGCTTGACACCTCCCCAGCCCAGGTGACGGGTGCGGGTGGTCTGTGTCCTGTAGAACCTTGCCTCTCACACGATCCTCCACGCTGTGCTCTTACTCATTTGCATTGTGTCACATCTGTTTCCCCCCCAGCAGGTCTGGGCCTTCTTGCTGTTCCCTGTTCCCTCGAACCGTGCCCAGCAAGCAGACACTCAGCTGACTGTGTAGATAGTTCCCTCACTGAGCAGAGACTGGGCTAAGGAAGGGGCTCCTGCCTTTAAAAGAAGGCAGTCGGTTATTAGCAGCGGCCTGAGAAAAATTCAGCTGGCCTTGAGTTGGTACAGATTCCGGTGTAAAGTGATTTCATTTTCCAGATACCGCCTTGCAGCTTGTGAACACTATGACTGTAACATGATTCTGCAGGTCCACATCAGAAAGCATTCTCGTAGCTTCAACAGGTGTGGCTTACAGGTTATGGAACCTGGCAAGATTTCTCTGACAAACAATTCATGTGACATCCTGAGAGACTGAGTGGGACAAGAGGCCACACCAAACAATAATCAATTTGTCATCCAGCCTCACAAATAAGGAGGAAACCCAACCCTAACAGGCTATTCAGCCAGCTCTGTCCTTACTCTAGGCCTTAGAAGCCTAAAGGGTGATGTTCTAATAGGGAGCAGCAGGGATGTGCCTGTGAACCCCGAGGACTGGGGGTGGGGGTGGTTAACAGCCTCCACCCTTCCACAGGCATTTATTGAGCACCTACCATATGCCAGATACTCCTCCAGGCACTGGGGTTTTGGTATCAGAATAACAAAGTCCCACCTCATGGAGTTTACATTTGAGTGGCAGGAGACAGACAAGAAATGAATAGGATGTCATAAGATGAAAAGTGCTATAGATAATAAGGGTCATCACAGATATAAAGGGGGTAAAATTCAGTGAGGTGAGGTTGCTGTTTCACAGGGAGTGATTCCAGAAGGCCTCACTGGAAGGTCACGTGGAGCAGAGACTTAGGAGAAGGCCACACAGGTTGTCTTGGGACTAAGTCCAGGTAGGATGATGGCCAGCACAGGCCTAAGGAAGGTGCGTGCTCAGAGTGTTCAAGGACTGCAGTGAGGTCTATAAGCCAGGCTGGGGGCAGCCAGGGAGGGATGGCAGAGATGACACGGGTGGTGGTAGTGGTGAAGGCCGAGACGTTCTTCTGGGGGGGTTGGGAGCCACTGGGGTTTGGAGGTGCTCGTGTTTTAAAAGGATCACGGTATCCGTGTCTGAGTGGATTAAATTTCTTTTTAATCCACTAACCAAACCAGGAAGGAATTAGGACAGATCATGTTATCAATTCTGAGGGCAGCACTGTTTCCTCTGCAGTGGAAACTTAAGACATGCACCAGCTATTTCCCAGGCAAGCATGGCTGGAGCCCATGGCAGGGGCGGGGGAAGGGGGTGACATTCAACAAGGACTGAACCTCATGGCCGCGATGGCCCTGTAGCTGTGGCCAATGATGATGGTCCCCTTGTCACAGTGCAGCTCCGTCTCCATGAAGGGCAGCCAGATGCTCTCTCGTGCTGTGACTGAGGTTCAGGGGAAAGGAAGAGTCTGTCACTCAACAGGGGCAGTCTTAGTCCAGTCCTGCCCACCCTTCTAACAGGACTGCTCAGTAAACTGCAGGACCCCAACAGGGGATGGGGCTGTTTTCACAGAGCCAAAGTTTTCTGTGTTGCTATTGGAAAGACTCAAATCTGTAGTTTGGGTAAATAATTTTGTTTTTATTTTTTTAACATGTTCTTGTAAGGAAATACTAAAGAAAAAAATAAAATACAACTCTGAAGTTTTAATGTAACTTTCCAACTGAAATCCTCTTGACAATATTGTCTCTCAAGTTGACGTCCACATATACTGTTTCTTTCCAAGAAGGAAATTCCTGAGACAAGTGATAGACATGCTCAGAACAAAAGTGGCAAGGTTACATTTTCTAATATTAGGGTCTCATAGAGATGCTATAACTTTTGTCACATCTCTGCCTCAAATGAAAAACCCATGAATTCTGCCTGAAAATATTTGCCTTATAGAAGGGAAAGTCAAGTTGCTTACAAAGTTGAAAATTAAAATTTACCAACCCTGGGTGCTCTTCTTGCTCCTTCTAGAACTTTCTATCACGTCTTTTGGCCTGTAGCCTCCTCTCCCCAAATACTTGCCATCATTCATCCTGAGGTATGTATTCTCTTCGGCTTATCTACCAGAAAATGGCAAGATAAAAACCCAACAAGAGGAGGCTTTTTAAAGATACATTTAAAAAACTTACTTGGGTCAGGCATGTTTTTAGACAAACACTGGAAACCAGGTATCTACAATACGAGGGGGAAAGAAAAAACTATTATAAGGAACTTAATTACAATTAGTAATGGCTTATAAGAGATGAGACACATGATATGAGCTTTATCAATTCAATAAGTATTTGCTTCTATTATGCAATGAAGTGGGTTAAATGCTATAGGATTAAATATGAACAAGCAGTCCCTCCTCATGAACTGCCCCCTGTCAGTAGTTCTCTATCCAGCCAGCTCTGCAGATCGCTATATATGCATCTACAAATCTCCATTTATCATCACTGGTGTATGCGTAGACAGAGGGCTCCAGACAAACTCAGCTGGAGCCAATCCGACTATGCTCCAGGGAATAGGTAAGATGTGGCTCACAAAGCTGGTACAGAGAGTGGGAGATCCCATCCTCCTGGGATGGATCCCATCCATAATCCTGGGATTTTATTCTAGACCTGCTCTAGGGGTTGGCAACTCAGCAAACAGTCATTGCCTAATTACAGAAGAGGGTTTAAAAAAAAAAATTCAATCTGCAGAAGACAACACACAGATGCCATTGTTATAAAACTCACAAGCCAAATTTACCATTGTATTGTTTAAAGCATACATACGGAGGTTGAAAAGCACATTAATTTTTTCTGAGTGGAGTAAAGTTAAAAACAGATAGGCCTCGCTGGTGGCCCAGACGCTAAAGCGTCAGCCTGCAATATCAGAGACCTGGGTTCCATCCCTGGGTCGGGAAGATCCCCTAGAGAAAGAAATGGCAACCCACTACAGTACTCTTGCCTGGAATAGTCCATGGATGGAGGATCCTGATGGACTAAAGTCCATGGGATTGCAAAGAGTTGGACACAACTGAACAACTTCACTGGTTCACTGGCTCAGAGGGCAGGGAAATGGGATGGAGGGACATACAGGTGGCTCTGAAGGTATTGGGAAGGTTCTAGATTTCAGCTTGGTGACAGGACTCTCTGGTATTGATTACATCGTGCTTCATGATGAACACACGTGTTACGTACATCCTTTGTATATATCAACATTATGAATTAAAATATTTAAAAGTCTGAAGCACAGAGCAGAAGAGACAGAATTATCTGAACCTGCAGGAGATACGGGGAGCGGGCGGTCTCTAGTTTCTACAGGTGAAGCTAGGACTCTAGCCTCAGTGAAGCCCTCCAGCCTGCTTCACCAGCCCAATTTCCAGCCCTCCTTGCAAGGTCTAAGACAGGGCGGCAGGGCTTTGCACGAAGGGGTGGGAGCGAGGCGCCCTGCGGCGCCAGGCCGGCGCTCCCAGCGCAGCTCGGCGCATCTCCTACCTGCTCCAGCTCCCTCTTCACCCAGCCGTACCACCCGTGGGTGGCCACATCCTCGCCCCCATTCCCCGGGACGATCACCGCCTTGCAGGGAGCAGCCATGAGTGCAGCAGACCTGTGGTGCTCAGGGGAGCCTGATCAACCGGGGAGCCTGCCCCGTGGCATTCTGGGAATTGTAGTTCCGGGGTGGCAAGCGCGTACCCCTGTGAGCCACTGGTCCACTCGCTGCCCTAGAAGCGCAGGCAGACCTTGCGGGGTTCCAGCAGATGTAAACCACTAGCGCTCTCATCCCCCCAACCCCCCTTATTTGGAACAGAGTGTGGTATGCCAAGAATGTGTTATCTCTTACCTAAAATTACTAATATTTCTATAGAAAATGTGTTTTCATTTCCTAAAAGCAGAACACAACCCATTTTATTAGTTGAGGATTCCTGATTTCAACATGGTTCTTAGAATAGTCAGTATCAGTCAATAACAGTCAATAGTAGCAGGGGCATGGGGGGAAAAAGAATTAGGACTCAAAGACTAGTTAATTTTAAAAAAAGAAAAGCTAAAAAAAAAATGTTTTGCTGAAACCCTTTGGGAGTTCTGGGTTTTGAGGGGGGCATGAGCCACTCATTACCTTGTATGGCCTTCAATAAACTTTAATCCGGACTCTGATGTTTCACTATTGTTTGGCCTAACTGTGTATCAAGCACATTAACTTGTGTTCACTAGCCTGTCTAGGGGCCTGTATATCCAAAACAGTTAATGTTTCATCCTGGGTTTTGTACTGAATTCTTCTCAGGGTGTACTGTAGGTCAGAGGCGGTAGTGGCTCATGACTGATCCCTGTAGAACTGGATGGCAGACAACATTCTTTATTTTACATTCTGTTCCTCTCTATGTCTTCATGGCTGTAACCAAGAAAGGTCTTGGGACTTCCCTGGTGTTTCAGTGGATAAGAGCCCACCTGCCAATGCACGGGACATAGGCTCAATCCCTGGCTCAAGAAGATTCCATGTGGCATGGAGCAACTGAGCCAGTGCAGCACACCTACTGTGCGCCAGTGCGCCAGCCCCAACTACTGAAGCCTATGCACCTAGAGCCTGTGCCCTGCAACAAGAGAAGCCTGTGCCCCACAACTAGAGAATAGCCCACATTCATTGCAACTAGAGAAAGCCCAGGCACAGCATGAAGACCCAGTGCAACCAAAAATGAAATAAATAAATAAATATTTTGAAAAAGAAAGGTCCTTAGTACAGCCACTATGGAAAACAGTGTGGAGATTTCTTAAAAATCTGGAAATAGAACTGCCATATGACCCAGCAATCCCACTTCTGGGCATACACACCGAGGAAACCAGATCTGAAAGAGACACGTGCACCCCAATGTTCATCGCAGCACTGTTTATAATAGCCAGGACATGGAAGCAACCTAGATGCCCATCAGCAGACGAATGGATGAGGAAGCTGTGGTACATATACACCATGGAATATTACTCAGCCATCAAAAAGAATTCATTTGAATCAGTTCTAATGAGATGGATGAAACTGGAGCCCATTATACAGAGCGAAGTAAGCCAGAAAGATAAAGACCATTACAGTATACTAACACATATATATGGAATTTAGAAAGATGGTAACGATAACCCTATGTGCAAAACAGAAAAAGAGACTCCTATGTATAGAACAGACTTGTGGACTCTGGGAGAAGGCGAGGGTGGGATGATTCAAGAGAACAGCATCGAAACACGTATATTATCTAGGGTGAAACAGTTCACCAGCCCAGGTTGGGTGCATGAGACAAGTGCTCGGGCCTGGTGCACTGGGAAGACCCAGAGGGATTGGGTGGAGAGGGAGGTGGGAGGGGGGACCAGGATGGGGAATACATGTAAAAAAAAAAAAAAAAGATACACTATGGTTGTGAAAAAATAAATAAATAAAATGTATGATTTACTAAAAAAAAAGAAAAAGAAAAAGAAAGGTCTTCACCTTTTGTTGTGAGTGAAATGGTTTACCAACTTTAGAGACAAATTAGCTTATTACATTTCTTCAAGGAGTTTTGTTCTCATTGGCTTACATAGGGGAATAGAATTTGCCTCCCCCAAATATGTCTCTTGGTGTATTAATTATTTTAAGCTGGTTATTTTCTAAAAAACAGCAGACTTGGAAAAAAATTTAGCCAGTAGGAATTATCCTTTTGTAAGAAACAGTTATATTTGTAAGAAGAATCTCCATTTGTAGGTTGTCTCCCTGCTGGTACTAGGAAGAGGATGACCACATCTCTAGAAAATTATGAATGAAGAAGGCAGTGAGTTTAATCTGCCCAACCACATTGCCCTTATTTACTGTGTGACCTCTGATAACTCACTCCTCACCCTCAATATCCTCTTTAGTCTTTAGTTGAGAGTTCAAAAAATACATCTATTTCTGCCTTATTGACTATGCCAAGGCCTTTGACCGTGTGGATCACAATAAACTGTGGAAAATTCTGAAGAGATGGGAATACCAAACCACCTGACCTGCCTCTTGAGAAACCTGTATGCAGGTCAGGAAGCAACAGTTAGAACTGGACATGGAACAACAGACTGGTTCCAAATAGGAAAAGGAGTATGTCAAGGCTGTATATTGTCACCCTGCTTATTTAACTTATATGCAGAATATATCATGAGAAACGCTGGACTGGAGGAAGCACAAGCTGGAATAAAGATTGCAGGGAGAAATATCAATTACCTCAGATATGCAGATGACACCACTCTTATGGCAGAAAGTGAAGAAGAACTAAAGAGCCTCTTGATGAAAGTGAAAGAGGAGAGTGAAAAAGTTGGCTTAAAGCTCAACATTCAGAAAACTAAGATCGTGGCATCTGGTCCCATCACTTCATGGCAAATAGATGGGGAAACAGTGGAAACAGTGACTGACTTTATTTTTCTAGGCTCCAAAATCACTGCAGATGGTGACTGCAGCCATGAAATTAAAAGACGCTTACTCCTTGGAAGGAACGTTATGACCAACCAAGACAGCATATTAAAAAGTAGAGACATTACTCTGTCAACAAAGGTCCATCTAGTCAAGGCTATGGTTTTTCCAGTGGTTATGTATGGATGTGAGAGTTGGACTATAAAGTAAGCTGAGCGCAGAAGAATTGATGCTTTTGAACTGTGGTGTTGGAAAAGACTCTTGAGAGTCCCTTGCACTGCAAGGAGATCCAACCAGTCCATCCTGGGGGAGATCAATCCTGGGTGTTCATTGGTAGGACTGATGTTGAAGCTTAAACTCCAATACTTTGGCCACCTTAGGCAAAGAGCTGACTCACTTGAAAAGAACCTGATGAGGGGAAAGATTGAGGGCAGGAGGAGAAGGGGACGATGGAGGATGAGATAGTTGGATGGCATCACCAACTCAAGGGACATGGGTTTGGGTGGACTCCAGGAGTTGGTGATGGACAGGGAGGCCTGGCGTGCTGCGGTTCATGGGGTCGCAGAGTCGGACACGACTGAGCAACTGAACTGAACTGAACTGAGGATGGTTTTTAAGGTGAGGGTTTCAATCATTTTGATAGTTACTTAGTTAACCTGGTCTTTCCCATGTATACATGTTATTAAAATTTTGTTTCATTTTCTCCTGCTAATGTCTCATATTGATTTAATTTTTCAGCCAGCCAGAAGAACCTAGAAGAACAGAGGAAATTTTCTTCCTTCCCACACTTATCAAGATAACTACACAGTCACATAAATCAACTATTCCTAAAATTCAGTATTCCTAAAGTAAGGGAATTCCAAAAATAAATAAATTTCTAATACTTTAAATAAGACAGATTGAAAAAAAATCCTTCTTACAGAAATTTCTAGTACTAGGAATCCAGGTTCAAATAACTCAAGAAAATTTTTGGCAAATGATAGTTTTCCAATGTTTGGTTAAAAAAAAAAAACCAGCTATGTCTTTCTGTAAGAGAGAAGAATAAACCTGACTCAATACTGGATTTGTTTCTTTTACTTTAAACTTTGTATTCTACTGCTTTTGCTTCAATTTAATCACTAAAGGGAAGTTGTCTACAAGCTTAAAGTGTCCATAACGGCCCAGATTAGGAACTCTGCTTCCCATGCCTGTGTGTTAAGCTAAAATACCTTTCTTAAATTCACAGGAAACATCCTGACCAGACCCACCTGTGAACGGGTGCAGGAAAGAAGAAATCAACACATCCCCTCCTCAACCTGGTGGGAACCAGTCTTCTCAGTCTGCTGGCTTTCAGAATAAATTTTCTATTCTTTGCCCCAACAAGTGGTCTCCCGATTTATTAGCTTGTTGTGCGGGCAAACAGCATGAGCTTGGACTTGGTAAAATTTTTGCACTGTGAAATATAACACAAATGTGTATCACCTTAATTGTGTCTCCTTGCTCAGAGAATAATTGACTTGAATGTCCTAAAGTTACACCACTTTAATTACTTAAAAAAAAAAACCCTAACATTACTCTTACATAATGGTTTAGAAACATGAAAATTGTAAATTTGTTCAATAAAACTGACCCATTATTCAACTTTTTTTCCTGCAACTAATTTTAGAGAGTTCTAACAGATTAATACATCTCTTAAAGGAGCTTTGTTCTCATTGGCTTATGTAGGGGAATAGAACTTGCGTATCTTGTGGAAGCTAAGTTCCCCAACTAGCGACTGAATCCAGGACCTCTGCAGTGAGATCATGGGAGTCCTAACCACTGGACAGTGAGGGAATTCCTGAAAAATTTTCATATTAACAGTAACTTCACAGTACATCAACTTGAAACTTATTTCTATGATCCGTTGGTCATTTAAAACTTTGTACTAATATTAACTTGGTATTGGAGAAGGCTCTTGAGAGTCCCTTGGACTGCAAGGAGATCCAACTAGTCAATCCTAAAGGAAATCAGTCCTGAGTGTTCATTGGAAGAACTATGTTGAAGCTGAAACTCCAATACTTTGGCCAACTGATGTGAAGAACTGACTCATTTGAAAAGACCCTGATGCTGGGAAAGATGGAAGGCGGGAGAAGAAAGGGATGACAGAGGATGAGATGGTTGGATGGCATCACTGACTCAATGGACATTAGTTTGGGTAAACTCCAGGAGTTGGTGATGGACAGGGAGGCCTGGCGTGCTGCAGTCCATGGGGTCGCAAAGAGTCGGACACGACTGAGCGACTGAACCGAACTGAACTGAGCTAACTTGAGCTAATTTACTCTAAGAGACCTTGCTATGATCTAAGAATAATTTTAAATTTATATAATTTTGCTTATTTTTGTATGTTACACAGAGGCGGAATCTCTGAATTAGATTAACGCGCTCCGTTTTGCCACTTAGAGGGCAAACGGTAGTGATGGTTGTAGAAAGTTGCATCCTATATCGTTAGGAGTTTCGTTAATCTCTTAAAATGCTTGACTACGACAGCTCCCAATTATTCACCTTTTCATGGAAGGATGACAAGGATAGAGGAGAACTGTTCACTAATGCCAGGCGCCGCAGAGCCGTAATGCACCTGCGTAAACCAGGACGGGCACACCCACAGGACAAAGAACACCTGTAATTATACACCTGTTCACCGACGCGACTCCTGCGCGCACGCAGCCCACGCTCCCTTAGCTCCGCCCCCTCGTGCGTGCCGACACCTCCTTCCGTCCAACTTCGGTTTCCTCTGCGAGGAGCCCGCCCTGACCTCTTCCGGGACCAGACGTCATCGTTCTCGCTTCCCGGTAACTAAGGTGATGAGGGCACTTCCCACTGAAGGGAGCGGACGTCTTATTGGACGGCGGCGAGCTCCTGAGGCGCCCTGGTTGCGCTAGAAAACAGTTCTGTAGGCGCCGGTGTTCCGTGCGACAGAAAGGTTTAGAGGTGAACGTGGAAAAACGTGTGTTCTGAGGAATTGTGATTTTGAGGCCCGAAGCACGTCTGGCTTGCCCTGTTTCAAATGGCGGCGCAGCCTGTCTGAGCGTCTTCCTTCCGCTCTCCCGCCCCCAGGCCATGTTTGATTGGCCAGCGTGCGGCGCCGTGGAGTGACGCACAAGGGTGCTGACCAATCGGCTTAGAGCTGAGGTGGACTTGGTGGGAGCCGGATCCCGGCTTTTAGCAGCTGTGGTTGCGGAAGGCTGCGGCCAGGTGAGCTCCTCCGGCCAGGTGAGCGGGCAGCACGGGTGATGAGAGGCTGAGGGCTGGGACAAGAGTCTCTTCTGAGGGCAGGTGGGTTGCTCCTGGGGCGAGGCCTTTTCCCGGCAGGCGGGGGAACTGAGGGGATCGGTGACCCACGGGTTTGTTGAAAGTGGCGCGGTCCCCGCCAGCTGGGGCGGCGGGCCGGCTTTTGGCGCAGGATCCCTCGGATTCGGGGGGGGGGGGGCCTGGAAGGATCCAACGTCCATTTTAAAGTTGAGGAACTCGAGAATTAGGTTAAATGATTTACGCTTCGTAAGGGAGCCGGAGCTAAGAACCCAGGTCTTCAGACTCCTTGCTTAGCCTTAGCTGTGTCCTGAAAAGTCACGCCCTTAAAGTGAAATGAATGGTACAGATTTTTTTTTTTTGGGGGGGGGGGCAGATACATATACAGGATCTTTACAGTTTTACTTTTTCATAATTCATCCATTCAGCTAGTAACCCATTCTGAAACTTTTCCCCTTTGAAAATACGATGTTAGGGGTCGACTCGTCTCTAGAAAAATGCACTGTTGGCTCATGCACACAGTTTTGCATGTACTTTCAGAGGATTTATTGACCTGGTTAAGTTCCTTGTTGGCTGTGAGCCCAGAGTTAAGAATCCATGCTCTTGAAAGAGTGAGGGGAAGAGAGGCAGTGGGAAATGGACAGTGCAGGTTTTAATATGTAGATGCTTGGGGACATAGGATGGAGATATAGTATCTATTAATGAAATGTTTTGAGAAGGAAAATGGTCACTTAATGAAGCCTGCTGAGGTGCTTGCAGAGAGTGCTTTCATTACCACATAAATTACCTTTTGCTGCCCAGGAGGTTGCGGAAGTGTTTCTTGTGTATACAGTGCCTCAGTTGCACCCTTTTGCCAGAAATAACAAATGTCTTGATTTAATTGGAACAGACATTTCGAATTTCTATGATCTATATTGTGTGTAGCAGAGTAATCGATTCATTCACATATATAAGCTGTATATTATTCTCTTTGTCTGAATTATTTATGGTACATCTTAAAGTAATTGGAGACAGTCATTATTTAGCATTGCATAAATGAGCACTAGAGGTCACTTATATAATAGATTCCTTAATTTGCCTTTTTTCCCATTGTTGAACTTTTTGTTCCCTTGAATCCTACTTAATAGCTGGACTGTATGTTAGCCTAGATTTTAGTATGTAAACAGGATGTATAGAGCACTCAGGGGAATTGGCATTATCTTGGTTTGGAAAATGTACATAATCTGAATGGCTGATTTTATTGGAATCTTTCAAGGCATGAGCATAAGCGACTGTGGTGAGAAGATAGGTGCTGGTGAGGTGTGTATGTAGCGTAGTAGTCCACTGGCCTTTAATTCTGGTGATCCCAAGAAGTACTTTGGGTAAGAACTGGGGGCTGTTAACTCCGTGAGTAGCATTTGAGCATCAGTATCTAGGTCTTTTCTCTGTAGTTAATAACGGCAAGAGGGAAAATGGCACAAAACCAAGATCACTTGGAATGTAAATTTGAATACAATGTTTTACTCAAATAGAGTCAGGAGGGAAGGGGGTCAGGGAGGAAGGTAGCCAGCTTCTGAAACAGAGCTTGAACACAGGTTTGAAATCTGCTTGACTGAACTGATAATGTGCTGTTTGAGGAGATTTAAATGACTCTTACTCAACTGCATGCAGTTCAGAGATGACCAAGAGATTGTAAACCCCCTGCCCCTTTTATTTTTTTTTAAGTACTAGAAACGGGGATTTCAGAAAGGAACAGGAAAGGTAGCCGTGAAGTTAACTGACCCTTAGGGGATCAGAGAGAAGTGAGACATTGGCATCCTCCAGTGACAAGTTCTTTTATACTTTAGTGTTTAAAGAATGTTGCGTTAGGTGGTCATCTTTTTTTTTGAAGTTCAATGGGAATTTCACATACAATTAAGAGTTTATCTGTATTTTTTTTTTAGACAATGGCCACATATCTGGAGTTCATTCAGCAGAATGAAGAACGCGATGGCGTGCGTTTTAGTTGGAATGTGTGGCCTTCCAGCAGACTTGAGGCTACAAGAATGGTTGTTCCCCTGGCTTGTCTTCTCACTCCTTTAAAAGAACGTCCAGACCTGCCGCCCGTACAGTATGAACCTGTGCTCTGCAGCAGGCCAACTTGCAAAGCCATTCTCAATCCACTTTGGTATGAGCTCTTTTAAAAACTAGTAAAAAGGATGACTGCAATAAATTCCGACGTTTACGTGATTCTATTGAAGTGATTCATTTGAGCAAGATGTCAGATCTGAGATGAGTAGTGAATAGTGAAATACTTAGGTAATGAGTGCTTGTGGGAATCCCCCGGCCTGATAACTCCAGATAGAATTAGAACTTATGGGGTGAGGTGGAGGGAAAGGATTGCTAGTTGTTTTTCCCTTCTGGTTTGCAGTTTATTTTTGGTTTAACCGTTGATTTTATTGGTGTCGTTAAAGCTTTTTCCAGAAAATTCCAAATGCTTTAGACAGTTTGTCGCACCTACCTGGTATGGTGATCCCATACAGCAGGAAGAAGTAATAGGCAGAAGAAATTTGAGCTCTTAAAAGATTTTATTGTTAAGTGTAACTTTTTTTTTGCACCTGGAATAGTGACCTGTGATCGCTAAATGTGGGCACTCTGAAAGAATTTGTAAACAAATGAGGAGTGTCTTAAATACTCTTTAAAGCATAAAATTTTTATATAATGGAACTTTTTTTTACTTCATTCTCCTTGCTTTTACTTGATGTGCCCATGTATAAGATGCTGCTGCTGTTTTATTTTATTTATTTTTTTGCTGCTGCTCTTTTAAAATAATAGCCCCTGATATTAATTTTGTAAATGTAGAAAGCATGGGGCAAGCAACAAGTTTTAGGAAGTGTATCAACCCAGAAGCCTTCCTGCCCAGCTTCTGCAAGTGAGCTAAGTGTTGTGGTTCAAGTCTGAGGAGTTTTTCCTGTGTAAAATGTACTTTTTAGTACTAAAATTTAGTAGTTTCACATGTCTGAACAGTAAAGATGTTAGGAAAATTATAAACAATGTTTAGATAACGGGGCCATAGGAAGTAACGAATAAATTTTGTAGCTCATGAACTTCTAAATATTATCTAGGAAGTCAGAAAAGAGAAAAAAGGGGTTTAGTAGCCATTCATTGTTGCTGCTTGAAGGAACCTTTCTGTGTCCTCAGAAGCCAGAACTCAAGCGGCAGAGAAGGTGTTGCATGCCTTCATCCAATGATGCACCCACATAAGAACACACATCTCTCTGAGATTAACTGAGCTTGAAGTTTACACGTAAATGTTTTCTAGCTTAAAACACATTATTGACCAGAGACGTATTAATGCCAGAGGTGTTCGTTTCTACAAAAATCCCCCGCTTAGTACTGTGTTAAAAATGAAAATAGTACCTGGTTGTAATATTTTATCTTTCTCACAGTCAGGTTGATTATCGAGCAAAGCTTTGGGCCTGTAATTTCTGTTTCCAGAGAAATCAGGTATGTGAACATAGTTATTTTAAAAGTATTCCTTATGTTTCCTTTCGTTGTCCTACGCTGAAAAAATTGAGGTGAATTTGGGTCTTTCTTGGGAATATTGAATGTTGAACATCCGTGATTTTTCTTTTGAATGGTCATTCCGTTTCTTTATTTGTGTCTTTGTCATTTGCTGTGGAGAGGACATAGAATTCTTTTTTTTTTCTAAGTACGCTCTCTGTAAGCACTGAGTATGTTACCCTAGAAAACAGATAAGGTGTTTATGTTACATTTGACTTCAATTTATTTTAATTGGATCCTGGATTTTCATTTTCTGACCCTTCTAACTTTTAGGGTCAAATATCAGTATTTATCTTGTTTTGATTTAAACATTTTTAAGCTATTAAGCTAAGAGCTCCCAAATGATGAGAGACTTCTCTTTGACATGAGCTGTGCCTATGAAGAAAATGTTCTAAAAGTGGATTGTGATGATTATTGCACAGTTCTGTGTGCATTTACTAAAAATCACTGAATTGTGCATTTTAAATGTTGGTAAAGCAGTTAGCAAATAATTATGCTCATCATAATATATACTGTCCTCGTAGACCTTAAGATACTAATAATCTACTTATTCTTAATTTGATCATAATTATGAGTCTCATGCTCAGTGCACACTGAGTCCAGTGATAAAGGACCAACCTGCAGTTGGTAAACTGAGTATAAGCTTGGGAATTAGAAGCAGGTACCATTCAAGATTTTTTTTTTTAATATTCATTTATTTTGGCTATGCTGGGTCTTAGCTGAGGCACATGAGCTCTTCATTGCAACATTCAGAATCTTTAGTTGCAGCATGTGGGATCTGGTTCCCTGACCAGGGATCAAACCCAGGTCCCCTGCATGGGGAACATGGAGTCTTAGCCACTGGATCACCAGGGAAGTCCCACCATTCAAGATTTCATGGGCGATTGAGAAGTATTTGCAAGTCTTAAAAACATTCCTACACCCTGTTACACTCAGAATTGATGTCCGTTTAATTTTATTAATTGTGGAAATTCTACTGGATCAGAAAGACAGTGTCAACAGAGTAAAAGCCAGCTCATACAGTGGGTGAAAGTATTTGCAAATCGTAAGTAAGGGATTAATATACAGAATATTTAAGAACTTGTAATGGTCAACAATAGGGAAGCCCAGTTCAGAAATGGCCAAAGGACTTGAAGAGATCATTTCTCCAAAGATGATAGACGGATGGCCAATAAACACATAAAAAGGTGCTCATCGTCACTAATCATTATTGTTGTTTACCAAATGATCCAGTTTCCCACCTCTGGATATATACCCAAAAGAACTGAGAACAGGATCTTGTAGATATACACTCCTATTTATAGCAGTATTATTCACAGTAGCTAAACATTTCACCTGACTTCAGTATCCGCTGCTAGATGAATGGGTAAGCAAGTGTTGTGTATTCAGTGAAATAGTAATCAGCCTTAAGATGCAAGGATGTTCTGACTTAGGCTACAATGTAGTTGAGCTTTACTGATATTACTGAGTGAAATAAGCCAGTCCTAAAAAGGCAAAAGTATGATTCCCCTTAAATGAGGTACTTGGAGTAATCAGATTCATAGACACAGAAAGTGGAGAGATGGGTGCCAGGGGCTGGATGGGGATGGAGCAGAGATTGTTTAACAGGTTCAGAGTTTCAGTTTTACAAGATGAGAAAAATTCTGGGGATGGATGTTGGAGATGGTTGTGCAACGTTATGAGTGTCTTTAAGACTCTGAACCGTACACTCAAAAAGATGGTAAAATCAGTATGTACGGCATCATACCTCAATTTTTAACTTGGGGGAAAGGAAAAGCAACATACAAGCTATGAATCTAAAATGTCTGCAGAGAGAATAGACATCTATGACATTATGTTAAGCACCAAAAGGCAGGTTGCAAAATTGTGCATACAAGATGATCTCAGCTGTGCTTAATTAAGTGTGGAAACCAAGATGTTGACAGAGGCTGCCTCCAGGTGGTGGGAATGTGTGTGGGGGGTGTGTGTGGGGGGAGGGGCCGGTTGTTTCTTTATTCTTAGATTTTTTTGTTCAGTCATGTAGTTGTGTATGACTTTTGTAACCCCATGGGCTGTAGCCTGCCAGGCTCCTCTGTCCATGAAATTTCTTGTACTTGCCAGGTTCTCTACAATGAACATGTATTACTTTATTGATCACAGCTAGAATAATAAACCTAAATAAAAGCTTTAGATGCCACATAGATAATTGATAAGACAGCTAAAATCTCAGGTGTTCATTGATAGGCAACAATTAGGAAATGGTTTTAATAGTGTGTGTTTTAATTATTTAGAAGTTATAACATATCTGAAAACTGCATTTTAAAAAATGTTCCAGTGTGATAGGGCAGTATTAATAGATTTTTGCACTTTAGTAACATGTTCTACATTTTGTACTTTCAGAATAAATACATAGTCATTAAACTATTACAATTTTTATAAATGAAAGATAAAAGACATAGTGTAACTTTCAGCCCTCATGAAACATTGCTCTGTCTTGTTCTTTCCAGTTTCCTCCAGCTTACGCAGGCATATCAGAGGTGAACCAGCCTGCTGAATTGATGCCCCAGTTTTCTACAATTGAGTACGTGATACAGGTAATTGTCATGCATTTAAGGAGTAGTGTTAAGTATTGAGTTTTTTCTGAAATACTCTTGTCTTCTGTGTCTGTTGCCCATATGGACGATTTATAGTCGATTTACACCTTGACTACTCAGTGTGTGGGCACAGACGTGTCCCTGGGCCTTGGTTCTGGCTTTTCCTCAGGCTGGAGCTCTCTCCCTGTATCTGCATTGCTCCCTCACTCCCCTCCAGCTTTTTGCTCACAGGTTCCTTTTTTTTTTTTTAATCTGTAATGTTACTTTCTTAACAAGGCTGCCCTAGCCTCCCAGTTACTGGTGGAGCTCCGCCCCCCACCCCGCCCCACCTGCACAATCCCGCTCCTCTTCTCTGTTCCCAAAAGTTAGCTCCTCAGGCAGATAGGGATCTCTGGCCTTTTGGTCCGCTGATGTATCGCAGGACCTGAAGCAAGGCCTGGCATTCAGAATGTGGAATAAATTGTTGGATACAAATAGTCTTTGCATCTAGTTGGTTTTGATAAAACCTGTCTTTTAATGAGGTAAGTTTATGGACGGGGAGGCCTGGCGTGCTGCGATTCATGGGGTCGCAAAGAGTTGGACACGACTGAGCGACTGAACTGAACTGAGAGGTTTGTTTCGATGTTCTTATCCCTGACAAGCGTAAATAAAGAGTTCTTATTTAATACGTACCTGTTTTAAAAAGAGCAGGTCACGTCTGTCTGTACACTGACTGTTATACCATTTTTCTCCACATCCAGCGAGGTGCCCCATCCCCTCTGATCTTCCTGTATGTGGTGGACACGTGTCTGGAGGAAGATGACCTCCAAGCGCTCAAGGAGTCCTTGCAGATGTCCCTGAGCCTCCTCCCTCCGGACGCACTGGTGGGTTTGATCACGTTTGGGAGGATGGTACAGGTTCACGAACTCAGCTGCGAGGGGATCTCCAAGAGTTACGTCTTCCGGGGAACGAAGGACCTCACTGCCAAGCAGATCCAGGTCAGTGCCTGGCTTGTCCTCAGGCAGGAGCAGGGATAGTTCTTAAAGTTTCATTAAGAAAAAGGAAAAAATTAGGAGCCATTCTCTTGTTGTGTTATGAGAAATGCTTCTTTTTGGTTTGTGTAGGACATGCTGGGCCTGACCAAGCCTGCGATGCCCGTGCAGCCAGCGCGCCCGGCTCAGCCGCAGGAGCGCCCGTCCGTGTCCAGCAGGTGAGCCTGGCCCCATGGGTGGGGGGGTGGTGCGCGGCGAGAGGGCCTTGTATTTTATTTTTAAAGGGGAAAAAAAGATTAAGCCTAATCAATATTTAATGTTTAATAATAAGCATAATACATCAATGTATGTTTAAAATTTATAGATAATTATATAAATATATGTGTACACATATATCCTGGGGCAGTTTTGCTCAGGATGCTTTTCCTTTTAGAGTTGTATCACCATAGAGGTTATGAGAGCACTGCACACAGTCATTCCCCTCTTCTTAGACATGTGGCTGTTGTCCTTTTTTTCTAATTTTGACAGCACTGCAGCTTTCGGGACCTCAGTTCCCCAACCAGGTATTGAACCCGGGCCACAACAGTGAAAGCCCAGAATCCTAACCACTAGGCCACTAGGGAACTCGCCCTGTTTTGTACAGCTGGGGACACTGAAAAGGCTTCTGTCCTGAGACAAATCTGAGACTCAGCACTTAGTTCACATGGCCTGCTGTGCTCCTAGAACAGCTGAGGGCTGGGTTAACAGTCGGCCAACATAAGGTGATGGTTACAGCCTCTTCTGTGAGAAACCAGTGTTTCTCCCTGATGACTCCAAGTGTTTAAGAGAAACATGGAGAGAGTCTTCAGAACGATTGATGATCCCTGCTTGTGAACCTTACGTGAACTGAGTTCCTGTTAGGCATGTCTTTAGGATTTTTTTTTTTTTTGCCACTTAAACTTTAATTAAACTGATTTGCTCCTGTTTGAAATTGATTTTCTTTCCACATTACAGGTGCAAATCATTATATGTTAGGCTTTAAGAGATTGTCCTGTATAAAATTGCTTAGAGTTTTTTGTGTTTGTAGTTAAGAGACAACTTTGAAGAAAAAAAAACTGCAAGTTTTTTCTACTGATACTCGTTTTGAAGAGCAGTAGCTATGTGTCACGTGGGCCGAGGACCAGAGTACTTTATTAAATCAGACTTGACATTTCCATTCAAAATCACGCAGGTTTCTGCAGCCCATTCACAAGATTGACATGAACCTCACTGATCTCCTTGGGGAACTACAGAGGGACCCGTGGCCTGTACCTCAGGGGAAGAGGCCTTTGCGATCCACTGGTGTTGCCTTGTCCATTGCTGTTGGCCTGTTGGAGGTAACTCAGAATTTACTGCCCTGCCAAACCTTGCAAGCTTGCTGGCAGAAGGTGTGTTCCTTGGCCTTGTTTGAAAAATCAGCTGTGACCCCAGTCAGCTGGCTTTGTTAGTTTATCAGAACGTACTTCAGTGATTATTATTGTCTACACTGAAGGAGCCCTCAGTGTTTTGAAAATTATAGAAAGTTTTCGTGAGAAACACAAGACCATTAGGGCAGTGGGATCACAGTAAATTAATGAAAGTTCTCCAGAGCCTTAAACTGGAAGTGAGAAGCTGCTTGTATATAGAGTCGTTTGCTCTTTGCTGCAGTGTCCTCAATGTTCACGACAGTTCATGACAGCCGAGGGAGCGCGTGTTTGTAGCATCTCTGTGGGAAGTATGCTTGGGGCTGGTTGTGTGTCTCTAACATGCTGCCACTCACTGTCACAGGGCACTTTTCCAAACACGGGAGCCAGGATCATGCTGTTCACTGGGGGACCCCCCACTCAGGGACCTGGCATGGTGGTTGGAGATGAATTAAAGGTTCCTATTCGTTCCTGGCATGACATTGAGAAAGACAATGCCCGCTTCATGAAAAAGGCAACCAAGGTAGGTGCTCCTGGCTACGGGCTGTAAGTGTAGTCACCCAGGGTGGGGCTTCGGCTGCTCAGGAACGGCCTCTGCTCTGCCCAGGCCGTGCTGTGTGGCAGGCAGGCTGCCTTTGCTGAGGTGACCTGCCAGATCTCGCTGACATTAAGTATCTGCCCCAGTTCTGAGACCTTGGTTAGAGTGGATGTGATCAAACAGGGGACATGAGGACAGTTTCCTTTATGATATCCATATAAAAAAAGTATGGCTTCCAATATCGAAATACTTTGAGGATACCTAATGGGGGATGTCCCTCTTCCATGAAGATGGTTTTTCTTTCTCCGCAGCACTATGAGATGCTTGCGAACCGCACTGCTGCAAACGGTCACTGCATTGATATTTACGCCTGTGCCCTTGATCAGACTGGACTCCTGGAGATGAAGTGTTGCCCAAATCTTACTGGGTATGTGGACAGTGAGCCCCTGAGTAAAGTGAGACTGGTGGTTCTAAGGAAAGAGAAATGAGGGGTACAACCGTGGGGAGGGCCCAGGCTAGCTCACAGGAGCATTTGTTTGGCTCCGGGCTGCGGTTTCTGGGCTGGGGAGGGTGGTGCACCTCTCAGAGGAAGAAGCTGTGATCAGAAGGAGGTCAGGCTTCCCTAGGAACCTGTGGTTTCAGAGGAACTTCACTTCTTAGAGTTGTTCAGACACCCAGGCAAGATGGCAAGCATGAAATGTGTGGCCTTTAGCATTTCCTTGTGAGAAGGGTAGGGAATAGGTCTGAATGCCAGAGAAACTAGGAGCCCCTCCCCTGGCTTCCTGACAGCCTGGAGGGTGCAGTGAGGGGTGGGTTGAGAGCACAAGTCCTCACCTCGGGTGGATGGCATTGTGGAGGCATGGTCCTCAAAGCAAAATGAGGCCCAACCAGCCACCTCAGGGCTCCATGGGGCCTGATTAGAAATGTGCACACTTGGGCCTTACCCCAGACCTCCTGAGTCAGAGACTGAGGCTCCAGCCTGGTGGTCAGTTTTAACAAACTCTGGGGATTTTGGTGAGATCCACAGACGTGCAGTGCTGGTCTGAAGCTGCTGCACGTCAGAATCACCCACGAACATTAAAAGCTACTCTTGATTTGAGTCCTGTTTCTAAAGTCAGATTTAATTAGCACAGGGTGCAGCCTGGGCATCAGTGTATTTAAAGTTGCCGAGAAAAAAAAAAAGTTGCCGAGAGTTTCTGACGTGCGGGGTTTGAGAACCCCAGCGTGTTCCAGGTGTAGCTGAGCACACGCAGCTGATGATTGTATCATTTTTGTTTTAACTTTTTAATTGAAGTAATTAAGATTCACAAGGAATTGCAAACATAGTACAAAGAGATCTGTCCGTACTTTTCATCCAGCAATTCCCAATGGCTCAGTTTAGTTGCTTAGTCTTGTCCGACTCTTTGCCACCCTGTGGACTGCAGCACACCAGGCCTCCCTGTCCATCACCAACTCCCGGAGTTTACCCAAACTCATGTCCATTGAGTTGGTGATGCTATCCAACCATCTCATCCTCTGTTGTCCCCTTCTCCTCCTGCCTTCAATCTTTCCCAGCATCAGGGTCTTTTCAAATGAGTCAGTTCTTTGCATCAGGTGTCCAAAATATTGGAGTTTCAGCTTCAACATCAGTCCTTCCAATGAACACTCAGTACTGATCTCCTTTAGGATGGACTGGTTGGATCTCCTTATAGTCCAAAGGACTCTCAGAAGTCTTCTCCAACTCCACAGTTCAAAAGCATCAATTCTTCAGCACTCAGCTTTCTTTATAGTCCAACTCTCACATCCCTACATGACTACTGGAAAAGCCATAGCCTTGACTAGATGGACCTTTGTTGGCAAAGTAATGTCTCTGCTTTTTAATATGTTGTTTAGGTTGGTCGTAACTTTCCTTCCAAGGAGGAAGCGTCTTTTAATTTCATGGCTGCAGTCACCATCAGCACTGATTTTGGAGCCCAGTGCTGGCATCTTACATAAATACAGCACAATGTTACAACCAGGAAACTTGACTTAGTCTATATAGTTAACTCCATTATGGACTGGACTTGCCTTTCACCAGTGTTTACATGCACTCATTTTAAAAATCTCTGTGTATGTCTAGTTCTGTGAGGTATTTGTCATCTCTTGTAGGTTTATATGTCATAGTGATCACGATACAAGCGCTGTTCTAAAGAATTCTGTTTCATGTTTTAAAAATAATGTCTTTCCTGAGTACAGCTTAAACTGGCTGTTACCATTAGCAAGCAGTATATTGTCAGTAGCACCTTTATAGACATGCTTGCTTTTTTCTTTTTGCTCTAAATTGTTTGTCAATACCCAGGAAGCCTCTGAATGGCTTTCAGTCATCCTAAAGGTTCACTTTCTTTTTCCTTTTTTCTTCCTAGAGGCTACATGGTGATGGGAGATTCTTTCAACACTTCTCTCTTCAAGCAGACATTCCAAAGAATTTTTAGTAAAGATTTTAATGGAAATTTCCGAATGGCATTTGGTGCTACTTTGGAAGTAAAGGTACAATAGATTTCTAAAGATTTAAGGGAAGAATAGTGTTCCTACTTATTTAGTAGTTGGCCTTGGGGAAACCTCACCCCGCAGGACATGGGCACTTAAAGAGAAGAAGTTCCCAGCAAAATGATCCCACCATCCCTGGTCGCTTTGCTTCTCAAGAATGACCTGTGTATTTATCAGTGTTTGAAACACGGAGTTGTCTGCTTTCCCTGCAGGTTCTGCCCTGTCCTAGGACAGCAGGCCTTAGATTACGGGTGGTAGGCTGAGCACCCACTCAACCACTGATTCGTGCATAATACCTGCCTGCAGACCGACCAGTGCTCTTAAATAGGGTGGCATCATGAGTGTGGCTTTTTATTTTCCACACAGAGACTGTAGACCTATACCCTTGATCTGAGTCACTGAGAAAACATTAAAGTGACCATTAGAAAATACGATGGTAAATATTACTTGTGAATTGGTGATAATGAGTAAATCATCTTGGTTAGACTTCAAAAAACATCATCAAATGTTTGAGGTTTATTTAAATAGATGTCAGCAAAGAATGGACTTTGCTGACATGAATTCAGATTTAAAAATCCGAGTATGGCCTTGCCATTATGTCAGAGTCCATGAATTAAGTATATTTAAAGATACACAAGACAGCATGTTTGCTGACTGACAGTTGTAACTAATTATAGCAGGTTCGTGGCATTGGAAAGAATGTAGTATTATTGGTGGAATTGCTGTCCTCTGTGTGCACAGTTGTTTCGACTTTGAGAAAGCAGGACATGTGGCATCATCTTTGGAACAAAGATACGCTGCTTCTCAAGGAGGGTTTTATTAAAGTTCTGGTCGGTTCACAGCAGTCATGGAGAACCGTGTAGCAGCTTTTGTGTACTAGAATCCCTGTAGGGTTTTCTCTGGGTGAAGTGATAACCCTGCCATTTCTTCCTCTAAGTTTTAGGTGTGTCCTTTGTAAGAGGGTGGTTCTTAGTGGTTAACTGTGTGCTTTTGTATAATTCTGTCTCAGACCTCAAGGGAGCTGAAGGTTGCGGGAGCCATCGGACCCTGTGTGTCTCTGAATGTGAAAGGACCATGTGTGTCAGAAAATGTAAGAAAAGCTCCATCACCTTTCTCTCCTCTGTCCCAGATTTGGCCGCTTCAATGGGTTGAAGCTGGATGACCTTTTGTTATGTCACCTGTTGGCTTATGTCTGTGCAGAGGGGAGGAGGGGTAGTGTCATCTCTGTCTTTCTGTCCATCCAGCTAAATGGTCAGAGAGGAGGAAGGTGAGGCTCGCAGAGGTTCATTGTCCTGCTCGGGGTCAGAGCTGACATGGAGGAGCCAGGCCAGGTCCCCCTGACCTGCTACTCCTGCTTGGGTGGTCGTGCCAGAGAACCACCAGGCATTCCATTCCATGGAGCACAGCCCTTGAGAGAGAAACTCATGTGCTTATTCCCATTGGAAGGGCTGCCTTTGTCTCACTTCTCAGAGACCATTCGAGTCGGCTGGGTGGTGGTGACACTGTGTGCCTGCAGATGTTGGTGTTCTCGAGTGCACGGAAGCAGCTCAGCCTCACCAGCTGGAGAGGTGGCCTTGCTGGTGGCCTGCTTCCTCTGTTCACACTGCGGCTACCAAGGGTACACCAGTGGTCCAGCGAGGCCTGTCCAGGCTGGCTCTGGGCAGGGTGATGACGTTTATGTCCTTCCCCACCATCATCTTCAACTCAAGGGTGGGTGGGAGGGGTGGGTGTGGACTCCGGGTGAGGGTGGGTGGGACGAGGTACTTCACGGATCCAGGACTCAGCGTCTCTGTTGGGGAATAAAGGAAATGATGGGACCTACTGTATAGTACTATCGGGAAGATTCAGTGAGCAGCCCAGGGGAAGCACCAGGGTTGCCCACACTAGATTTCACCCTTCACATCAGAGTTCTGTCCTCAGCAATGAACGTTTCACTAGTGACTACCTAGAGCTAGTTTGAAGTTGCCAGAGGCAAGACAACTTGAGAGAATTTTCCTGTAACCCTCTGGGTGAGGTGGGTTGCTGCCCCAGGCTCCTCTGATGAGTCCCTTGTCATCACCAAGTACTAAGGGACTTGTAGTCCTGTTTCTCAGCGGGGCCTTGGGAGGCTTCCGTGTTCCTAAATATTCCCCATAGACTTAGAATCTGCCTCAGTAGGTGTTGTCGATTAGTCCAGACTGATGAGCTGCTTTGGGGTCCAGCAGGGACCAGCCATGACACTTGTGGATGGGGATGGAGGAGGCAAAGGCGAGGGAAGTACAGTTTTCAGACACACTGGGAAGTTTGAGAAGAGTGTAATCCTGTTTCCCCACCATTTAGAGTCATCAGTCCTGGACATTTTGTCAGGATCATCGCTCTATCCTCGTGTTGGCCACATTTGAGTTACCTATCTGATATCCTCTACTTGCCATATTCGCTATCCTATTTTGCGCTTGAAAACACATCGCAGATGTCTTGAGTCTGTGTTTCAGCGTGCAGCTTCTGAAGACAAGGCTATTCTCAAGACTAGGAAAGCAGTTTCCTGATACCATCTAACACACGGTCACGTTCTGTCCCTACTTTCTCTCCAAGTGCCCTTGCAACTGTTTTCCCTTCTAACCAGCATTGCTTCTGGGATTATGTATCCTCAGTCTTCTAAGATCTAGAGTGGACTTGCTGTCATTTTGTTTATGCTTTTTGGCCTGTTGTTTTGTTTGACAACGTCTGTTGAGGAGACAGAGCCAGGTGCCAGCATCTTCTCTCCTTGAGTGTCACGAGGTTTCCGCGTGTCTGTTTTCTCATTTGGCTTGTCTTCTGTCATATTTCCTGTGAAGTGGAGGCTAGACGGGGGCTGTTTCCTTTTTGCCTCAGCAGGAAGCCTGTTGAATGAGCTGATAGCGCAACACGAGTATCTTGTTTGCCAGCAGCTGTTCCCCTATGGCATTAGGTTATCCTTTGATAACCCTGCATTTCAGTGTATTTGAATCTCAGTAAAATGGTGATCTCCTAGTTCCATCTTTCCATTTTCTTCTGATCAAGGCAGATCAGAAGATGCTTACTTAAGGAGTAAATGCTTATTTAAGGAGTTTGTGTATTACTGAGAAGTCCTTGTGGGGCTCTGGATGGTTTGAGACCACGCTTAGCCCCTGTTGCTATAGGGGAGGAACAAAAATTGTCCTTTTTCCTCTGCCCATGTCGGTTTCATTGTTCGGGACCTGACAAAACACAGCTTAAAAGAGAAAAGCAACTTTGTTAATGTGTGCACCGCACATATACCCAGCACGTATGTCTCTAGTGATGGATAACTGCAAGGGGTGGTTAGAACTTAGGAGTATGTTACTTCTTAACAGAAGAGCAATAAATCTGTAGAAGAGGGACAACACAGAGGAAAGGGACTTTGGATCCGGAGGAGTGGCAGATGGAGGAAATGTAGATAGATGGGGAAACTCATGAAAAAGGAGGGTTTTTTAAGCATGAGTCATTACACATTCTTCCCACGCCACCTCTGGGCTGGTGAGCATCTAGCGTGTCCTTGGTGGTTACTTCAGAAGCTCCTGCCTTCTTGGCAGGAGGAGGATGGAGAATTTTTTTACGTCTGGTTTTAAAAAATGACCTTCAGTTTAAAATAATCCCTAGGCCAGCATGGCATGTTTTGGGTGTGACGGTACTCTGAACCACGTGGATCTGAAGCTTGAATGAGTTTCACGTATTAAAAATGGAGTTGGACAGTGAGGGGAGAGATTTGAGAGAAGGGTTAGCAAGCCAAGAAAGGGAGGTGGGCAGGCCCCTGTTATTTCCTCATCCTCATTCCTGGGGGTGGCCTCACTGCCCAGCAGGAGTTAAAGGGAAGGTGAACACCCAGACCTTCGTCCATCTCACGATCTTCACAGGAAAGTCTCATGAAGCACTGCGAGCTGTGACCTGATTTCACTGTGACTCTTCCCTCTCCTGCCTGAGCGTCACCTTCCTCAGATGCTGGTTCTGTGCCCGGGGACACAAGCTCCCGGCCCAGCTCCGTAGAGATCGGACTGATGTCAGCTGTCCTCAACTGACACTGTACACTGCGGGTGGATTCAGAGAAATGTACGAGAGGTGTCATGACTCTCTCTACGCACAGTTGTGTTGCTCTCCAAGGGTGGTTTTCCGTATTCTAATGAAGTGTTGAATGTATGTCTCAGACCCTGGTTCATGGTTCTAGGTGTATGATAACTATAGCTTTTCTTCTCAGTGTTATGCTTAAAGCTGTGATACCCTTCACACTTATCACTGGGGAGCCGTTCAGTTGTTCAACATAATGTAGCCTTCACACGGCTAAAATCTCAGTTCTCTTACCACGAATTTATATGTAGCTTTTGCATAAGGGAATTGAGTTAAGAATTTATATTTGACAGCTCAAGTTCTGTAATTATTTCTTAGTCTAGTAACAATGGAGGAAGCACACAAATTGTTCAAGCTAGGCAGGTGGTTCTTTTCTCTTGTAGTGATTCTTCCCTGTCCCTGACTTGATCCTCTCAGTTGACGTCAGTGTTCTGCACTATCTGTGTCTATGTAGAGATACGTCTCACTGATGTAATGAAAATTGATTAGAGTGCCCATTTGAAAAGCCTGATTTTGGAGCACTGTAATAAGTGTTAAAGTTTATTCTGGCTTGTAGTTTTACTTTTTTTAGTGAAATTTAGATTTTCTTTATTTTTTGGCTATGCTGCGCAGATGTGGGATCTTAGTTCCTTGACTGGGGGTTTGAACTTGTGCCCGCCTGCAGTGGAAGTTCAGAGTCCTAGCCACTGGACTACCAGGGAATGCCCGAAATTCAAGCTTTCGTTTGGAGTGAGATAGTCTAAGGGGCCTGCCCTTCTCAGAGTCAGTACTTATCATTAGCAGTTAATCACTGTAGTATCTTTCTTGTCTTACTTCTTTTTAATTCCTCTTCTCACCCCTAGGAACTTGGTGTTGGTGGCACGAGCCAGTGGAAAATCTGCGGCCTTGATCCCACGACGACGCTTGGCATCTACTTTGAAGTAGTCAACCAGGTGGGCTGGATTTCTTTGTGAATAGTCATGTCTCTGCATTGTGTTTTCTGGTTTATTACAGACTGGGGTTTCTGGTTTCTCTCTCCAGAAGCTGATGCTACTTTGGGCTTGTGTTGGGCCTGATACCAGTCTGGCATCATCTTTTTTATTCTTTTGGGGGTTTGGTCAGAGTCAGACAGGAGATTGCCCTTGTCACTTTGTTCCTCTTCATCAGAAGAGGAATGGCTTTTATCAGCCATCATAGTGTTGGTGAATTTCTGAGGGTGTCAGTTTTTCTCCAGTACTTTACTGTTTTAAACTCAGACATATACGGAAGCATGAGTAGAATTGTACAGTGAATATCCCAGTAGCCACCACTGAGGTTCTGTAATTAATATCATGTCTAGCCTTCCCTCATTTCCTTCTGTTTGGCTGGACTTTGAAGCAAGTTACAGTCACCAGTGTCTTTCCTCCCTAAACCCTTCAACATGTATATCATTAAGTCGGGTTCAGTGTTTATTTGAATATGGTTCTCTTGTTGGTTGGTTGTTTTTTTTTGATCCCTGGGTCGGGAAGATACCCTGTAGGAGGGAACGGCAACCCACTGCAGCATTCTTTTAATTTTTATCTTTAGTTAATTTTTTAAAAAATTTATTTATTTGTAATTGAAGCATGATTGCTTTACAGTATTGGTTTCTACCAAACATCAACATGAATCAGCCATAGGTTTACCCATGTCCCCTCCCATTTGAATATCCCTTCCACCTCCCCTGACATCCCACCCCTGTAAGTTGTCACTGAGCCCCAGCTGGTTCTCTGTTTTTGAGATAAGAATTATAAACAGTGAAAAGCCCTGATCTTAAGTGTCACATTCAACATGCCTTGAGAACCTTGCTGTCACCATGGTGTTGGTCGTCTTAGGATGCACCTGCAGCCTTTGTGACCGCTTCTGTGGTGTCCTGCACTGACAGTAACAGGGTGCTGGCCTCTTGCCCTACAGCACAACGCCCCGATCCCGCAAGGAGGCCGAGGCGCCATCCAGTTCGTCACGCACTACCAGCACTCCAGCACCCAGCGGCGCATCCGTGTGACCACCGTTGCCCGCAAGTGAGCACCCCAGCTTCCTCTCTGCTGAGCCCCTGGTCTTTGCTGTGGAGGGAATCTAGTATCTGGTTGTTCATCTCTGTGATCCACTGATTGCATGGTCCTCACCAGCCCTTGCTGGCTCATTTGATTAGAGCTGGATGGAGACGGGGTGGGGGAGGAGGCAGCATTGCAGCTTACTCAGCTTAGAAGATGCTTCTTTAGTAGGGATAAGTTCTTTAAAAATGGTATTTCATTATTTTATTTATCAAATAAGTGACCCACAAGCATACCGTCCTTGTAAAAGATTCAAACAGCACATAGTTATGTAAAGAGTGGGCCTCCCTGCCTCCCCTGAGGTGAAGTACAATTACCATGCTAGCTTCATTGTCCACAGTCCCATTTCTGGGCAGTCATGTACCACATGTGTGCGTTATATACACGATGGCTTTTGTGTTGGTGCGCGTAAGCTTCTCTCATTAATGTGTCAAGGATACCTTTCTTGTCAGTACATAAAGGCCTCAACCTCATTTTTGTTTTGGAAAAAAAAAAAAGCTTTTTTGAAGTAGTTGGTAAAGAATCTGCCTGCAGTGCAAGAGACCTGGGTTCAATCCCTGTGTTGGGAAGATCCCCTGGAGGAGGGCATGGCAGTCCACTCCAGTATTCTTGCCTGGAGAATCCCATGGACAGAAGAGCCTGGTGGGCTGCAGTCCATGGGGTCGCAAAGAGTCAGACATGACTGAGTGACCAAGCACACTATTAGAGTCAGGTGTACAACAGAGTGGCCTCATGTTTTTATAGGTTGTAACTCCATTTAAAGTTATAAAATATTGGTTCTAGTCCCTGTGCTGTACAGTATGTCCTTGTAACCAGTTTATTTTATACACAGTAGATTTTACCTCTTATGCTCCTCCCTTCTTCCCTTTCCTGACTGGTAACCACTAGCTTGTTCTCTATTTGTGAATCTGTTTATGTTTCGTTATATTCATTTGTTTCATTTTTTAGATTCCACATGTAAGTGAAAACGTAGAGTATTAGTGTTTGTCTTTCTCTGTCTGACTTGTCTCAGTAAGCATAGCACCCTTTAGGTCCATTTGTGTTGTCGGAAATGGTGGAATAGAATTCCTTTTTTTGTGGCTGAATAGTATTCGTGTGTGTGTGTGTGTGTGTGTGTGTGTGTGTGTAAAAACAGAGATTAAGAAGAGGTGCGTGTGTGAGTGTGAGAGCCGGCCCTCACCCTGGAATGTTGGGTCAGTTGGGCAGACGTGCAGAGCCAGCTGAAGCACATTGAAGCGGCGTTTGACCAGGAGGCGGCGGCAGTGCTGATGGCGCGGCTGGGGGTGTTCCGAGCTGAGTCGGAGGAGGGGCCGGACGTGCTCCGGTGGCTGGACCGACAGCTCATCCGGCTGGTGAGTTGGGGGCAGTGGCACTGAATTTGGTCTTGGTCTCAGTTCTACTTTTGAGAAAAGATAACTCACTTAAACCTATTATTTTATATATTCCCTAAAGAGGAGTTTTACCAGTTGCTTACCTCACACCAAGCACTGAGAAGGGTGTAAAGGAAGCGTCAAATACGCATTTCCCCTCCAGGGCTCACCTTACAGGTGGGAAGAGGCTCCACACAGGCTCTTTAGACGACGGTGCAGACCTGAGTGTGTTGAGGGTTGACTCAGGAGTCCCTGTGAATGCTGGGCTTCTGCATTTTCCCTCCAGACCCTGGAGGGTTTGGGGGGAAGTTGGGGTGCGGCACTGCCGGCCTGTGGGCACAGTGTGCGGTCAGTATGTGCGGGGACCTGCAGAGGCCACGGTCACAGGTGCCTCACGAGTGTGCAGTGGGGGAGCGGCTGTTCGCGCGATGCCCTGGGTGTGGACTCAGGGGAAGGGGCAGGTGTGGTTCTGAAGCAGAGGTGTGTCAGCAGCGTGACACTTGTGTTCACACCACCTGTCACCATGTAAGATCCATTGGAGGGTGAAAGGGCTGCTGTTGGGGAGGCCCATGGAGGATTCTTCTGGCTCCAGGGGGCGGAGGCCAGGATGGTGGCGGTACGGTTGGAGGGGAGAGGAAGTTTGGAATCAGGATGTATGCTGAGAGGAGGATTGATTGAACCTGGTCAGACTGTCTGTGTACTCAAAGAAGAAAATAATCAACACAGAATCAGGTTTTAAGTGTGGGTAATTGTAAGAATGATGGAGCGCTGGAAAAGGGGAAAGGAGAGCACCTTGAAGGTGGAGGAGAGGAATCTTTTTTTTTTTTTAATAGTTTATTTTTAGTGTGAATTTGCAAAGCATGTCCAAGGAAAGTGCCCACCTGTAGTCAGGAGAGGTCCTGAAGGAGCTCAGGTCAGAGGTCAGCACTGAATCTGGAGGAAGGACACGGGTGACACTGGCCTGGCCGTCGAGCTGTTTGTAGACAAGGAGGCAAGGATGGGAGGTGAGGAAAGGAGTGGAGGAGCCCGCCACAGTGAGGGGGAAGGAGGGGGACGGGCTGTTGGATGAGGCAGAGGAGGATCAGTCGCTCGATGATGGGGTTCAGGAAATTGCTGCTCTAGTGTCTGGCTAACAGGAGAAATTGAAGAGGCTGGGGGTCCCCTGGCTCACGGTGGGAGAGGATTTGGGATGGTGAGGTCTGTGCAAGAATGTGATGCAGAGAGGCTCGTTTCCAGAGATGGTCTTTCTCCAAATGGTGGGCAGTCGGATCCTCTGGTGACCAGAGGATGTGTGAAATGAAGAGGAAATAGAGCAGGAAGAGAAAACATTCATAAATTTGGCTGTGAGAGGACAACGGAGTGATAGAGAGATAGGATGTTAGGCTATCCTGCTCCTGGAGGTTTTCCTATGGAAAAGTCGCCTGGGATGCCTCTTCGAGCCCCTCCCAGTCGGCCCTGCATGGGAGCTGTTAGGACGGGGGGCTCCAGCCCCTCCCAGATCTCTCCCCTTCCCCGCACAGGTGTTGGGTGCAGCGCTGGGCTGAGCAGGAAGGGGCGGAGGTAAGGGTGGGGCGTGGCCCTCTTCCCAGGAGTTTTCAGGTAACTCACTTTGTTGTTATTTTTTTCCTGTTTTCTTGCACCAGTGTCAGAAGTTTGGACAGTATAACAAAGAAGACCCTGTGTCATTTAGGTTATCAGATTCCTTCTCTCTATACCCTCAGGTAAGTAATACCTGTTGTTAAAATAACAAAAGAAGAAGAAAGTCATATACATAAAACTCACTGCTCTCGGGGTAAAGTGAAGACTCCGTTTGTTTGGAGACTTTCATCTGTAGGTGATGAAGGTCATTCAGGTCAAGGTCAGCTGGTACCTGAGCCCCTTGGGAGACAAAAGGGACACCCAGAGAGCAGGTGCACAGACGTTGGGGAGAAGGCAGAACAGGCCCGTTGCTGTGAGGCTGTGGCATGAGGGCCAGGCGCCTGTTTCGTTTGGTGGCTGGGAGCCAGCCCCGTAGCTGGGCCTGGGGTGTGTGGATCGGGCCCCTCACAGATGCAGCTTCCCCAGAACGGGAGGCAAGCTCAAGGTTTTCCTCCTTCCCTCAGGGATGCCTTAGTGAGGAATAAGTAGGAAGAAGCTGACTTTCATTTTTAAGGGAACTTGTTAGGACTTTGGTACACAAACGGGTATTACCTTATCAGATACTCGGTTTGGTGAGTGGACCTAGATTTCAGTCTTTAGCTTGTGTAGCTTGGACTCTCGGGCTGCAGGGAGGCTCGAGAGCCCAGCTTACTGGACGGGCTGGCTGTGTGGTTCTGACGTGTGTCTGTCCGGCCTGTGTCTGAGCCGTCGAGGCTAGAAGGAGGCCCACAAGAAGACAAGCTTCTCCGCCTTGGCCCTTCCATGTGGAAACTTTGACTCCCCCAGAGAACCCCCTCTTTTTTAGAAATGTTTATTTCTAATTGTAGTGAAAACCCCACAGCATACGATTGACCCTCTCACCCATTTTTAAGTGTACAGTTCGGAAGTGTTGAGTATGTTCGATTGTTGAGCAGCGAATCTCGGCCACTTTCACCTCAGGAAAGAACGGTCATCTTTCAGCTCTCCCCTCCCTGTTCCCCGGCCCTGGGCTGCCATCCCCGCCTCAGCTCACCGCCCCCGGAGGCCTTGGTCCTGAGGGCTGGTTCTCCTGTCTCCGGGCGGTGGCAGTTCTGCTCTCTGGGGGTCTAGGAAGGTGATAGCTGTATGCTTTGTTCTTTTTTCTTTGTAAATGCAGTTCATGTTCCATCTTAGAAGGTCTCCATTCCTTCAAGTCTTCAACAACAGCCCTGATGAGTCTTCGTATTATCGGCACCACTTTGCCCGGCAGGACCTCACCCAGTCCCTCATCATGATCCAGCCCATCCTGTATTCCTACTCCTTCCACGGGCCCCCAGAGGTAAGGGCCCTGGGCACTAGGAATCGCCTGATACGGAGTGCTTTTACTCTAGCAAGTTCACTCTTAGAGCAAAACTATAAGAGAGACATCTTTGAGTCTTTATAGTAATTTAGCAGCATTTTTGAGTATTAAAAAAAAATAACGTGCATAGGAAAAAGTCACAGGATGCATAAAATTAGAAAGCAGTCCAGATGTTCAATATTAGGGAAGTTAAGTAATCAGAAATATTCACAAAGTTTATGTAACAGAATAAAAAGTAAATCCTTATGTTAGATTAAAGGTGATTTTTAAAAAGCCACCAGGAATGAAAAACTATAAAGAAATAAACCACAATGTCAATATTTGTTGTTCTTTAGTAGAAATTTTCAGATTTTCCTTAGTGAGTTTAAGTTTATTATTGAAATAAAAGTCATAAATATATTGTTAAGTGAACTTTAAATCTGATATTAAAGGATGTTCTTTTTCACGTAGGCATTGTAGTTCTCTGTCATCTACTGCAGTAGATTTGTGAGAAATGTGTCTCTGATAGAATTTATTTCTAGTACAAAACAAAATTTGGAATTATTTCTGGTTCCTAGAGCAGAAGATAACATTCATCTTGCTTCCCAGTTGATGAGAGATTATTTAAATCTCTTTTTTGTACAAAGTTGAAACCTAGAGCTGCCCAGTTGGAGCAGAAAGTGGGAACTTGGCACGAAGAAGGGGTGAACCTCCCTGCGGTGTATATTCGGCCCTGCAGCTGCCCGGGGGGAAGGGGGGTGGTTGGCTCTGGGTGGGGGTTGGCCCCGGGCCGGGGGCTGGCAAGTGGCCATGTGGGCACCAAGGGAAGACCCATGCTCTTCTCTCCCTGTTGTTGCAGCCCGTGCTCCTGGACAGCAGCAGCATTCTTGCTGACAGAATTCTACTCATGGACACTTTCTTCCAAATCGTCATTTATCTTGGTGAGGTAAGACCTTGGTTATGGTATTTGTATACTTAATAATTAAAAATAATAATTTCAATATTACTTGCTATAAGTAAATCTCAGGTGGTCCTTTTACATTTTAAAAATTTTTTTATACAATTTTTAAATGTTACTTTTCTCACATTGTTAAATACATCCTTGAGCTCTATCCTGCCCCTTCCTTCTCCCACTGGGTAATCGCTAGCTTGTTCCCTAGATCTGTGTGTCTGTTTCTCGTTCGTTATGCTCACTAATTTGTTGTATTTTTCAGATTCCACATATAAGTGAGCTGATTGAGTATTTGTCTTTCTCTGTCTGACTTATTTCACTAGCATAATGCCCTCCAAGTCTATCCATGTTGTTGCAAATGACAAATTTTGTTCTTTTTTTAGGGCTGAGTAGTATTCTGTTGTGTATATATCCCATGTTTTCTTTATCCATTGTTCTGTTGATGGACACTTAGGTTGCTTCCATATCTGGGAAGTTGTAAGAAGTGTGCTATGAACATTGGGGTGCACATATCTTTTGAATTAGTGTTTTTGTTCTTTCAGATATATGCCCAGGAGTGGTCATATATGATGATAGTTCTGTCTTCAGTTTAGTTTTTTTTAGGTGGTCCTTTTAAATCACTATGATTGATTGCTTTCTGAGTTTTCAGACAAAATCAGTTTACTTTTTCTCAGTGAACTTTTTATATTCACACTGTCCTTTCGGAGTTGCATTAGAGTCACTAGTAAACACTGCTGAGTTTGGGACTAGAGTGTTTATCTGAGATAACATGGCCCAGTGAACCTTATGCCAGGTCTGTGGTTCTCAAGGATGACTGTGGATGGTGTTCATTTCTTTCTCAGAGAGGTTTGTGCTCTAAGGAAAGGAGGGATTCCTCAAAAGAAAATCCTCTATGTTCAAGGATGTTTTCTTTTTTTCTATTATATATTGATACATTCTTTACCTTCAGTTCATTTCTTTTTAACAACTGACTTGACTGTCTGGTGTCTGTATATTACAAGTGATTTCAAATGTCCTGCAAGGAAGAAATGGTTTTCTAATACTAACAGGCGTTTTATAACCTGAGGCTTTTTTCAGATGGGAGTATCCTGGTCAGATCTATCTATCTATCTATCCTGGCTCCCCTCTGCAACCCATCTTTCCTGACTTAAGACCTTGTCACTAGAAACAGGTCCTGGGTGGAGTGTTAGAATGTCAGGGCCATCGTAAGACTGTCATTACAGGATCTCCACAACAAGTTGTGATTTGTCTGTTTGCTGCAGACCATCGCCCAGTGGCGGAAGGCAGGCTACCAGGACATGCCCGAGTATGAAAACTTCAAGCACCTCCTACAGGCACCTCTGGATGACGCACAGGAGATCCTGCAGGCGCGGTTCCCGATGCCGCGGTACATCCACACGGAGCATGGGGGCAGCCAGGTGAGCCAGCTTGGCCTGCTGCTCTGCCGGCCTCGTGCACGATGCCTCCTGAAGGCTCTAAATCCACACAGCCTGGTCCGTATTACGTGGTGACCAAAATCAACAGGCAGGTCAGCTTCCAAATGTGACTTCTTTCTAAATGAGTGGTCAGAATATGCTGGTTTGGAAAGGAGAGGATTAACAGAGTAAAATACACCTCGTGTTTCAGGAGCCCAGTGAATGGAGAGCCTTTGGGCATAAACTGAACAAACGGGTTCCCGTGTGGTAAAAAAGCTTCTAATTTAACCAAAAAAAAAAAAAAGACCTTTTTTCCTGTTAAACTAATATTAATGCCATTTTAATCTTTAAATCTACTTTTTGTTTTTTTTTTTAAGGCTCGATTTCTTTTGTCCAAAGTGAATCCGTCTCAGACACACAATAACCTGTATGCTTGGGGACAGGTGAGTAACTGTCAGGAATTTGAGGAGGGGCCAGGCTACTTTTTTAAAATTTTGCTTTTAAATTCTACAAATTGGAGGATTCTCTGGCGGTACAGTGGTTAGGATTTGGTGCTTTCACTGCCATGGCTCAGGGTTCGAGCCCTGCCCTAGAACTAAGATCCTGCAAGCCACAATGGTGTGACCAAAAAAAAAAAAACCCAAAGTGAGAAAATTAAATGCTACAGATTGAATCCCTTTTGGCCCAGAGATAGTAATTTGGGTGTTTTGCTTGGAAAAAAACTTTGAATAATATAGGAATTTTCCATTACCAACATTTTCAGTTTAAATAAGGCTTAAGTTACCCGAGAAAGTGGTCAGAAATAATAATTCATGACTTTTGATTACACACCATTCTGAGTAGCCTGATGAAGCCTCACACCTTCCTATTCCCTCCCACCTGTGTTCTCTTTGTCTGGTGTATCCACACCACCTGTCTGTTAACACCTGTATAGGAAAACCTTAGTATATGCATGGTTCCATTCTACTGGTGTGTGGTTTCAGGCAGTGGAGTCTTGGAACCTGTCCACTGTGGATAAGGGGGGGACTGGAGTCTACTGTGTAGGCTGGAGGCGGGGAGACATGTGGATCCTCTTCGGCAGTGCACAGTGGAGTCCGCTGGGATCAGGCCAAAGGACTGGACGCTGAACTGTGACCTCCATGTGCTCTGCTCAGAAACACGCAGCATCTCCCCCAGCCCTCCACTTCTTGCTCTGTCTTCCCTCTGCTTCTGCTCACCACTCCTCACATCTCTTCACTTCTCAGCACCGGCTTCCTTCTTTATTTGATTGTTCCTGGCATTTATGTCTCCCTCAAATGAATCTTGTTTTTCATTGTACATTCTTAGAGAATTCTTGGGGGTGGTAATTGTAAAATTTATATGCACTTGTAAGAACACAGAGAGACCCCCTATACCTTAACCCAGTTCCCCCAGTGGTAACATCTTGCAGAGCTGTAACAATATCATAACCAGGACATGGACATTGATGAGGTCAAGATACGCATTTCCATCACCACAGGGATCTCTTGTGTTGCCTTTTATAGTGACACTCGTGTCCTTCCTGCCTCCACCCTTTCCCCAACACCTGGCAGCTCATCTTCTGGTTTCCATTTCTGTAATTTTCTCATGAAAAAGGTTCCACAGGGAACTATATTCAACATCCTGTAATAAACCATAATGGAAAAGACTGTGAAAAAGAATATATTTACATATGTATTTATAGCTGAATCACTTTGCTGTATAGCAGAAACTATCGGGAATCAGTGAACGTATATGAAACCACATGGCACATAATCTTGGGGGATTGGCCTTTCTCCCCTCAGCGTGCTTATCTAGAGATCCAGGTTGTTGGATGTGTGGATAATTTGCTCCTTTATTGGTTGAGTAGTGTTCCATGGTGTAGACATACTGCAGTTTATCATTCACCCATGAAGGACAGCTGTGGTGTTCAGTTTCTGGCCATAAGGAATAAAGCTGCTGTAAACATTCTTGTACAAGTTTCTTGAACGTTAAGTCTTCATTTCTCTGCAATAAATGCCTAGGAGTTCATTAGTTGAGTTGGCTGATAGTTAAACAGTTGTTAAAGAAACTGCCATACTCTTTTTCCAGAGTGACTGTCTCCTTTTATATCCCCAGCTGCATCGTTTCTATCCTTGTCTGCATATGATGTTGTCATTATTCTTATTTTAGCTATTCTGACAGATGTGAGTGGTATAACATTGTGGTTTTGATTTACATTTTCCTAACAGTGATGTTGAACATCTTTTTTGGTGCTTTCTCATCTGTGTGTCTTCAGTGAAGTCTGTGTCTTTTGTCTATGTTTTAATTGGATTTTTTTTTTTAAACAATTGAGTTTTGAGAGTTAGTTATATATTCTTGATGCTAATCTTTTGTCAGATTCATGGTTTGCATATGTTTTCTCTTGCTTCTGGTTTGTGTATACATTCTCTTCACAGGGTCTTTGCAAAGCAAAAGTTATTTCTATGAAGTGCATTTTTTTTTTAAATGGATTGTGTTTTTGATGTCAGGAAATCTTTGTCTTACCCTAGATTCCAAATATCTCATGTGACTTTTTTTACTTTAAATTTGCATTTCAGTCTGTGATCCATTTTGAGTTAGTTTTTGTATGAGATGGGATTCTTAGGTTTATTTTTTGTTTATAGGTGTCCAATTGTTCGAGTACCATTACTTGAAAAGGCTACCTTTCTTCCATTTATTGCTTTTGCATCTGTGTCAGAGATTATTTGGGCATATTTGTGTGAGTCCACTTCTGGGGCTTCTGTTCTGCCCTGTTGACCTCTGTTTCTGTCTCTCTACTAACACCATACAGTCTTGGTTATTGTAGCTGCATAGTAAGTTTTGAAATCAGGTAGATTGGTTTCTGTCACTTTTTTTTCAAAACTGCCTTAACTATTCTGATTTGTTTGCATTTCCATATGAGTTGTACAATAATCTTGTATCTATCTTTTAAAAATCTTGCTGGAAGATTGGTAAGAATTGCATTGAACCTCTCTTGTCAACTTGGGGAGAGTTGGCACCTTTATTGAGCTTTCCTGTCTGTGAACTCAGTATGTCTCTCCATTTATTAAGTCTGTTTTTATTTATTTCATCAGTTTTTGTTGTTTTTTTTTCTTGAGTGACTCTTAGTGATACTGTATTTTTAATTTCAATGTCCAGTTGTTCATTACTAGTACAGGTCTTTAACTTACTATGGTATTACACGTGAACAAATGCATCGTAAGTTGAAATTGCATTTAATACACCTAACCTGCCAAACATCATAGCTTAGCCTGGCCTACCTTAAATATGCTCAGAGCACTTATATCATCCTATAGTGAGGCAAAACCATCTAACACAAAACATATTTTATGATAACACAAAACGTATTGAGTATCTCATGAAATTTATTAAATACTGAACTGAAAGTGAAAAGCAGAGCAGTTGTCTGGGTCAGAATGGTTGTAAGTGTCTTGGTTGTTCACCCATGTGATCAGTGTGGCTGACTGGGAGCTGCCCAGCATCACAGGAGACTGGGGCTGTGTATCACTAGCCTGGAAAGAGACCAAAACTCAAAATGTAAAATGCAGTGTATGATTTCTACTGAATGAGTATTGCTTTTACGCCATCATAAAGTCAAAGAATCATAAGTAAGCAACTGTAACATAAAGTTATTTTTGTAGACTTGTATCCTGTGACCTTCCTGAGTCAGTTACTACTTTTGAGAGTTTTTTGGTAGATTCCTTGGGATTTTTTACAGACTTCTGCAAGTAGGAGCAGTTTATTTCTTCTTTTCCAATCTGAATACTGTTATTTCCTTTTCTTGTCCTCTTATCTATTTTCTGGGTCATTGATTTCTGCTCTAATCTTTATTTTCTTCTGCTTGCTGTGGTTTTATATCCTTCATTTTCTAGGTTCTTGAGGTAGGAGTTTAAGTTATTGATTTGAGACTTTTCTCTTCTTCACTATATGCATTTAGTGCTTCTAAATCCCTTTGCAGCACTGCTTTTGCTATGTCACACAAGTTTTGATTGTTGTATTCTTGTTTTCATTCAGTTTGATACATTTTAAAATTTTCCTTTGAGAGTTCTTTTTTGACTTTTGGATTATAAGTGTTGTTTAGTTTCCAGAGATTTCCTTTTTGCCTTTAGTTATTGATTTTATTTTGATTCCATTGTGGTTAAACAATATACCTTGCATTATTTCAGTTTTTAAAAAATTTGATGGTTTGTTTTATGGCCCAAGATATGGTCTGTTTGGCCTATATGTTCCATGGTTACTTGATTGGGTATTCTGCTGTTGGATAGATTTACAGATTGTTCTATAAATGTCAGCTAGGTCTTGTTAGTTGATGGTGATGTTGAATTCTTATATACCCCTGCTGATTATCTGTATAGTTCTATAGGTTTTTGAGAGAGGATGTTAACGTTTCTTACTCCTAATGGTGAGTTTGTTGCTCTTTTGAATTCGGTCATATGGGAGCCAGCCCTGGAGGAGTCCTGAGAATTACACAGAGGACGAAGTAAGAGAGCATGTGCTCAGAACTGTGTAGTGGCAGGGATGGCCAGGTCCGAGTGGATTAGGGAGGGTTTTGTGAGGAAACTATGCTTCACTTGAAAAAATTAGTTAGCTCCGTAGGGGATGGGGATGGGTGGCAGGAATATTCTTGGCAGAGGGACAGCACTTCTAGTTTCCTGAGGGGAAAGTCCCTAATTCATGGATTCTAACCAGCTTTTAAGGTACCTGCCAGTAAACCCTTGTCATTTTATTTCAGGAAACGGGAGCGCCCATCCTCACTGATGACGTTAGCCTGCAGGTGTTCATGGACCATCTGAAGAAGCTGGCTGTCTCCAGTGCTTGTTGAGCTAAGGATATAGGCTGGAAATGGAAGAAAACACTGTCACTTTGTGTTCACAATTTTTTATAAAGGCTTAACATTCCTTTTACTTTCCTGGTGGATTTTAATAAATAATCAAAGGAAGTGTTAGTAACTCTTTAGATTTTAATTTATTTGTATTCCTTATCTGTGCCCTTTTCTTACTCCATAAAATTATAAGGTCATAAACATTTTCATATTGGTAGAGGTTTATATGCTTTTTGTATCCTAACTTTTAGAGTCTGTATAAAATCAGAACTAATGTATTTTGGCAGCTTGCTTACATGAAAATCATAATGATCAGAAAGGAAATAAATCTGAAGAAAGCACTGGTTAAAATAATGCTAATACATATTTTATTTCTGAAGTCTGTGTGTAAGTCTTGAGTATGTTTTATGTAAATTCTCCAACAAGTAATTCCTGAACTTAATCTTCATTTACTGTCCAAATATTAACAGATAAGGAAACTAAGAAATACGTGCAGCTGTTGAGGCCAAGTGGTCTGGAGTCGCACTGTCCCTCCCTCACCTGAGATACAGAGAACAGATGGGTGGTTACCAGTGGAGGAGGGATGGGCAAGGGTGAAATGGATTAAGGGGGGTCTGTTATATTGTGATGGAGGGAAACAAGGGATTGTGGTAGTGAGGTCACTGCAATGCATACAGAACTTGAATTATAATGTACATGTGAAACATGTTATAAACCAATGTTACCTCAATTATAAAAATTCCAGCTGTTCTACCCAGTGGAGTTCATTCTTGTTTTGAGGTTATGTCTCCTTCTAACATAGACCCCAGTGGCTAAGATGGTAAAGAATCTGTTAGGATGCAGGAGACCTGGGTTTGATCCCTGGGTCCAGAAGATCTCCTGGAGGAGGGCATGGTAACCCACTCCGGTATTCTTGCCTGGAGAATCCCATGGACAGAAGAGCCTGGAGGGCTACACAGTCCATGGGGTTGCAAAGAGTCAGAGATGACTGAGCAACTAACACACAACTGCTGTGACAACTGTCATCCAGGAATTTCTTTTGTTGGACTCCTCTGTTAATTTCCAGGAGTAATAAGGACCTAATCTATGGCACAGATTAGCTATAGCATCTATAGCACATCTATAAGGACCTAATCTATAGAGAAACTTTACTCAATACTCTGTAATGACCTATATGGGAAAGAATCTAAAAAAGAGGGGATCTATGTATATGTAAACTGATTCACTTTGCTGTACACCTGAAACAACCGCACTGTAAATCAACTATATTCCGATAAAAATAAGAAGTGTCAGGGGGTTTCCTTGGCAGTCCAGTAATTAAGGTTCTGTTTTCAGTGCAGGGGTTTTGGATTCATCTCTGGTCAGGAAATTAAAATCCCACAAGCTAAGGGATCCAAAAAAAAAAGGGGGGGACCCCCAAACCAGTGCCAAGCCTTTGTAAGGCATGCCGTTAGAATTATGCAAGCTCCAATACTTTGGCCACCTGATGCAAATAACTAACTCACTGGAAAAGACCCTGATGTTGGGAAAGATTGAAGGCAGGATGAGAAGGGGACGACAGAGGATGAGATGGTTGGATGGCATCACCGAGTGGATGGACATGAGTCTGAGCAAGGTCCGGAAGTTCGTGATGGACAGGGAAGCCTGGCGTGCTGCTGTCCACGGCGTCGCAAAGAGTCGGATACGACTGAGCGACTGAACTGAGAGGTCTGCTTGAGAGATGCTGTCATAAGGCCCCGTCACGTGGAAGGCAAGGTCGTGGGTTCCAGGCAAAAGACGGAAGTCCCGAGCCCAGCACCACACCTCCTGAGTTCTTTCCGGGCGGGAAGTCCGTACTACACGCCCCAGGATGCACCGGGGGCTAGCGCCGGAAGCGGCTGTCCAGAGCGGCTTTTTATTGGAGGCGGCGGCGGTGACGTGGCCCGGAAGGCCCGCCTTCACCCGAGACTCAGAGGAGTGGGGTCTAGGCGGCGGCGTCATGCGGCCGGCACAAGCTCTTAGTTGGTACCGGCGGATGTCAGTCGTTTACGGACTGGGCGCCTGGACCCTGCTGGGCTCCTTGATTTTCTTGAGTCAGAAAAAGAGCAAGCCGCCAGGTACGGCTCTCGGGCAGGACCTTCGCAGACGCGCGGCCTTGCGTGGGCCGTGTCCGGGCTGTTAGCGGAAGTGGCTTCGCGGTGCTGCTTCCCCAGGTTTATTCTACAGAGCGCCGGGGCGACTGTTTAGAGCTGCTCGGTATCATGGAACCATGCAGGAAAGGCCTTTTAGAGCCTTTTCCCCCGACCCTGCGGAGTTATTGAATGAGGCCATCCCTGTCCTCAGAATTTGAAGAATCTGCGAGGTTCCCGGTGAAATGTCAAAAGACACTAGAGGGTGGTTTAAAGAGGCGATGCTCCTATAGCATCAGTCCTCCTCCCATTCAGCGAGCAAACGATTTCAGGACTTGGGCCTGCCGAAGAGTATTGAAATCTTCCCAGTAGATTCCCTACCAAAGAGGAAATACTCCAGCTTTCAGAAATGGGCTGTAAATCTAGTTTCCTCCAGAGTAGGGGTTGCCTGGGGCTGAAGGCGAGAGTTGGTGGGGAGTGACTGCTAAAAAAAATCAGGGTTTTCTTTTTTGTGTCTGATACTCTTAAACTTTATTTGGTGCTGATTGCACAGATCTGAAAAGACTAAAAACTACTGAATTATATATTTTAAGTGAGTTAAATGTGTATATGAAAAATATATTTCAGTAAAGCTTTTAATGTTAAAACTGTGCTGATGATTTCGTTTGGTGTTGAAAATTACCGGTGGCCTGAAAGTACACACATCCAGTATTGAGCGTTTTAAAACATTTATCTCTGTAGTGGTCATTAAAAAAACAAACAAAACACATTTATTTATTGACTGCGGGTGTCTAGGTTGTGGCATGTGGGATCTAGTTCCCTGATTAGGGATTGAAATGGGACCCCTGCATTGGGAACTCCGAGTCTTACTGTATGGACTACCAGGGAAGTTCCCTGTAGTGGTCATTTTTTTAAAAAATTACTTTAAAAATTTCTTTTAACAGAAAATGGTGTCAGGAATCTGATGGGGCGGGGTAATTCTTACCTTAGTTTATTTAATTTTCAAGACTCTACTAATAATTCTAATGACTGTTGTATAGTTAAAAGTTAGTGATCAACTATGCTTTAATAAAAAAAGATAAAAGTTAATAATGCAGATGTTCCTTTTTTCTTTTTCTTTTTTAAGGTGATAAAGTAGAACAAAAGGATGCCTCAAGAAACGAACTATCTGAGCCCCCAAAAGGCTTTTATGTGGAAACGATTGTCACATATAGAGAAGATTTTGTTCCAGTTACTGCCAAGATCATCAACTATTTGAAATCATGGACTAGTGGCCCTGGACCAAAATCATGATTGACTGCTGAACTCTGAAAGCAGAACTTTGGTTCAGCATATACATTTGAGAGATACCTTGATTTCCACTTTCCATTTGTGAAAAGTGAATACATTTAAGTTTGCTGTAAAATAAAAAAATAGGCAATAAATAGCCCCTTGAAGAAAAGTAAATTGCATATTCAGCAATTGTCCTTCTGTATTCACAGGAGTGAAAGATTGAAGTGAAGTATCATATTGAACTTTGTAAACTTGGTTTTCTGAAATTAGTTAATGTAACTTTATACTTCTTTCATGTTGCTGTCAAACAGAGCTTTTGTGGTCCCTTTAAGATTAGGTTTGGGAAACTGCCATGTTTACTTTGGGACTTAGAGCAGCCCTTCGTGCACTATGTGGGTGCTTGGTAAGTGTATTAGGAATTGGGTCATAACTCCTGGATTCAGTAGACTCCCTCTGTTCTTTAGGAGCAGCACAGATACCCTCATCTTTTCAGCTGATGTGGATTAAATCCCAGCAGTGGCTACAAGTATTCTAGAGATGGGGGTACAAAGTGAGGACAGCAGGGTCCCTGCCCTCTAGTGCTGCAGGGTTCTCTCCACTGGTCGCAAGTGACAAACCTATGTAAATGCACCTAAATCAGAAGGAGATGTATATGAAATATATGTATGGACATGGAATTCCCCGGCAGTCCAATGGTTAGGACTTGGAACTTTCACTGCTGGGGGTCCAGGTTCAGTCCTTGGTTGGGGGAACTAAGATCCTGCCAGCTGTGTGGTGCCAAAAATGGAAAAGAAAAGCTCCGTTTAACTTGGAAAAGTTTCTCAGACTTTCTTTTCCTTGATATTTTGAAGGATTCTTCTAGTTACTCTGTAATTGTTGTTCAGTCACTCAGTTGTGTCGGACTCTGTGACCCCATGGAGGATAGCATGCCAGGCTTTCCTGTCCTTCACCATCTCCCGGAGCTCGCTCAAACTCACACCCACTGAGTCAGTAATGCCCTCCAGCCATCTCATCCTCTGTCGTCCCCTTCTGCCTTCAACCTGCATTCTGTAGAATGCTCTTTAATTTAGGTTTGATCTTGCTTCATGATTGGATTCAGATTATATGTTTTTGGCAGACAATACCACAAAAATGATACCATGTCTTTCCTCAGTGCAGTATCAGGGGTATATGATGCTTGTCTCACTACCGGTGATACTATTTTTGGCAACTTATGTGTAGTATTTAACATTCCAGCATACTATTTTGTAGTCTTTTCTGGCCAAATGACTGTTCCTCATTCTCCACTTGAAGTGTTCTCTTGTAGCAGAGGAAAAAGTTTTCCTCATTCTCAGGTCTGAAAAAGTGAAGTGATAGACAAACGAACAGGAGAAAAGCATACAAATTTATATAAAGTTTTCAGCTACCCACTCCAGTACTCTTGCCTGGAGAATTCCATGGACGGAGGAGGCTGGCATCCTACAGCCCGTGGGGTTGCAAAGAGTCAGACTGAGCGACTTTCACTTCACTTACATGACGAGAGTCTTGATAAGGAGATGAAGACCTAAAGAAGCAGGCCTGTGTTTTGTGTTTGTTTTTGTTTTGTCATTAGGTTTGATGAAGCATGAAGAATCATGGAGGAACATGACAGGTTAAGGAATATGAGGTAGGCAAGTAAACTGGGGGAAACTGCAAAGCTTGTTGGTTCAGATTCTTCTTGGTGAGCTTTTGTCTTTGGCAATAAGGCTGCTCCTTCCCTTCCGGTACAGAGGGGGCACCTCTCACATGAGAGTTTGTGACCTGTTTCAAGAGAGAAGGGTTGGGGTGACAGGCTGAAACCTGGGACCCTTGACCTGAGTGCTTGCACCTGGACAGACGTCAATTCCAGCAATAGGATACAAAGAAACTATAAGGGACCACAAATAATGGCACCCATGCACAGTCACAGTGGGGCAGTTAATGTGGATGTGTGCTCAGTAGACAAGTCGTGTCTGACTCTTGGGACTCCATAGAATTTCCCAGGCAAGTATACTGGACTTGGTGCCATTTCCTTCTCCAGGGGATTTTCCCTGACCCAGGGATGGAACCCGTCTCCTGCATTGGCAGCTGAATTCTTTACCACTGAGCCACCTGGGAAGCCCAGAGTTATGAAAACTAAGATACAAAAAGACCATAAACCAGTTGCCATTTCTGAGGTGCTCAGCACAAAAGCAGGGCAGGGCAGACCTGAGTTTGGTTCAGGAACATCAGGAACCCCATTCCTCTGTAGCCACCAGCACTAGCAGACTGAAGAAGACACACTCAGAGGAGTTTTTTTTTAATCTGTGACAATGATTGTTAGGGTAATATTTGTACAATCCTTTGCAGCTTTCCAAGCACTTTTACACAGTGTATTGTATTCAAACCTTCTAATAATCCTGTGAGAGAGGCAAAATATCAGGATTAGAGAAGGAATTAGAATTACAGAATCATGTATCTCTGCAGGAAACATGACACAGGTAGATCAAATGTGTACTTAAACAGTTTGTTGTTCAATTGCTCAGTTGTGTCCGACACTGCAGTCTCACGGACTGCGGCACGCCAGGCTTCCGTCCTTCACCATCTCCCAGAGCTTATTCAAACTCATGTCCGTTGAGTCGGTGATGCCATCCAACCATCTCCTCTGTTGCTCCCTTTTCCTCCTGCCTTCAATGTTTCCCAGCATCAGGGTCTTTTCTAGGGAGTTGGCTCTTCGCATCAGGTGGCAAAGTATTGGAGCTTCAGCATCCGTCCTTCCAATGAATGTTCAGGGTTGATTTCCTTTCAGTTCGGTTCAGTTCAGTCGCTCAGTCGTGTCCCATTCTTTGCGACCCCATGAATCGCAGACAGGGAGTGTCCATCACCAATTCCCGGTTCACTCAAACTCATGCCCATCGAGTCGGTGATGCCATCTGACCTAAACAGTTAGATGGCTATTTTAGGCAGCAGATCCCCTTCTGTCTGGTTTCTGAGGAGCTGCAGAGGCAGGAAGACAAGGGAAAAGGAATTTGGGAGGATCTGGGGTCAGAGCGGTGGGAAAACGGCAGGAGGAACACGGTTAGGATTAGGGATCAGGACAAAGCTGGAATGCAGGGATGACTGGGAGGATGTGAGCAGAAACTTGGCACCTGTGAGTCTGCCTAGGAGTGGGGGCCGGGAAAGGGGTTGAGTCTGGGCGGGGCTCAGCTCTGGTTGGGCAGGAATGGGGAGTGGGCGGGGCCCACTGCGGGGTGGGGCTACACGGAGGGCGGGACCAACCTGCGGTGGGCGAGGCCGGTGGGGCCGCGCCGGAGCGCGCTTCCGGGTGTCCCCGGCAGAGGGCGCCGGCCGCCGCGCCGCCCGCGGAGTTCCCGAGGCCGGAAGCCGCCCGGCGCCGCCCCGCTCGCCGCAGCCGCCGCCATGAAGGCCGTGGTGCAGCGCGTCACCCGGGCCAGCGTCACAGGTCAGTCGGGCGGGGCCGGGAGGAGCCGCCCTGACCCCGCGCCCGGCAGTCCCTGCCAAGGGTTCTCCCGGGCGCCGCCCCCGGGCGATCCCAGCCCCGTGGCCCCGAGTTCCCCCCCCGCCCCTCCGTCCCCCGACCAGCGGCGCTCTTCAAGGGCCGCCGGGTCTCCGCTGAGGGACGCGGTGACCGTCATCTTCGGCGGCGCTTGCTTTTGTTCGGAGCGCGGGCGGCCGTGCCCCCGGGCCTCCCCCGGCCCGCCCTTCCGCGGGGTGTTGCTGGACTGCGCGTGGGGGGCGTCTCCGGAGCGCGCAGCTCCTCCCCAGCCTCTGCTCGGCGTTTGTGCCTTTCTCTCCCCCGCCCCCCGCCCCGGGTTTTCTCCGTGTCCGGGTCCTCCTGGAGCTGGACGACCCGCGAGGTGCGCGCTCCTGACAGGTGTTCGCAGGGGCTGGTTCCGAGCGTGTCCGCCCCAGTGACCCGGGCAGACCCTGAAGCGTCGGGAGGTGTTTCTTCTTTCTGCCAGTCTCTCGTGGACCGAGCCACGCAGCCCTCAGTCTGTCTCCTGGTCACTTGTGGTCTAGTGTGGACATCAGGGGTCCAGATGACTAGTGGGTACAAGGGAGTCGTTTCAAAAACTCAGAGAAGATCATAAAGATGTTAACATTTTTTTTTTTTTTTTTGGAATAACATTGTCTTCTAGCCTTTACTATTCTTATTGGCAGAATTCTAGTATTGTTTCCCTTCAGGCACTTGTAGATAACCCTTCCCTCAAGCCAGTGTATATACCAAACGCGTGTTTTTGTGTCCAAGATAGTATAGCTCTAAGAACAAAACAGCAAACTTCCCTAAAGCTCAAACTCAGTAAAACCATATATTTAGATCTGAGATTCTACTTTTCAGTCCTGCAACATGATTTCTAAGGTGTTCTGGTAACTGGTTTGCGATATGGTCCTGGAGTAACTGGGAATAGTATAACTCTGGGGTTTATTGCTATTTTTTTTTTTTTTTTTTTTGAGAAGAATTTTGCAGTCTGCTCAATGTGGTCGTCATGAGCAGCGAGCAAACTTGGCAGAATGTTAAGTTTTGGTCCTAACGGACGACTCTCCATTCTGCCAGTCTGATTAAAAACATGATTCTGTGAGATTAGCTGCATAGTTTGAATGATTTTCATTTACTATTTAAATTATATGGTTTTAGTTAAAAACAACATAGAAACCATCCTGCATGTTAAAAAAAGAAAAAGAAAAAACATGCAAGAGTGCTAACTGTGGGTAGGAGTTAATAAGATGGAATTCTCTCACAGTGCTGGAGGAGCCTTTGGTTAGCCAGGCCTTGTACTTGAATTGCAACAGAGTGATTTTCTGATTCCTTTAGAATGTGACTGGCTCTACTGCCATGTGACCTTTCCTGAGTGGCATTTTATTTCAAAGTTTCTAAAATGTCACTTCCGATTTTATGAGTGACAGAGTAGAATATTAGGAATCACATTATGTAGTAGCCTCCTTTATGAACATGGTTGGGCACATTGATGCTTTAGCATGGTTATTGTGATCATCTAATTTTAAAAGCTTTAAAATGATGGAACATTTCAGACATATTCATATGGTTACGTGGTTGAACCAGTACAGTAACCCCCATGTTTATCACTCAGCTTTCTTTAATCTTTATTGGAGTATAGTTGATTTACAATGGTGTGTTTCAGGTGCATAGCAAAGTGAATTAGTTACACATATACATACATACCTCTTTATTTTTTTTTATTTTTTTCATTTATTTTTATTAGTTGGAGGCTAATTACTTTACAGTATTGTAGTTGTTTTTGTCATACATTGACATGAATCAGCCATGGATTTACATGTATTCCCCATCGTGATCCCCCCTCCCACCTCCCTCTCTGGGTCTTCCCAGTGCACCAGGCCTGAGCACTTGTCTCATGCATCCAACCTGGGCTGCATACCTCTTTTTTAGATTCGTCACTCAGCTTTATGAGCTGAAATCTGAATAGATTCATAGAATGTTGGAAAGAGATTGGTTGGGTTTGAATGGGTTAATTAGGTGGTGAATTCTCAAAGAATAGGTCTTGGATGGTGCCAACATACATGGCATCAAATAAACTAAATTTAGTTTACTTATAAACTAAATAAATTTATATTTATACAAAATTAATTTATATTGCCTAAATATCTCAGGTTTTTCCTAGCCCTGTGTTTTTTCCCTTAGAAATCCATTTGTCTATAATAAAACATCCTTAGGGAGGGGCATAACTTCCCCAAAAGGAAAGTGTCATTTCAAGGCTTTGGTACATAATTTGTTTTTTAGGACAATACCACATTATGAAAATGTTGAAACTCTTCACATAGTGATTTGAAACACTTCGAATAGTGATTCTACTTCTGAGGATCTGTTCTAAGAAGTTAATCCTAGTTATAGAAAAAGCTTTAGAGGGATGAACCAGCGGAGCCCAGCGGTTTCTTAGGACAGTGACACTGCTCTGTATGATAGTGTTGTGGTGGATATATGTCATCATACATTTGTTCAAACCCATAGAATTCACAGCACCAAGAGTGACCCTTGATGTAAGCTGTGGACTTTGAATGATGACGTGTCCATGGAGGTTCATTGTTTGGAACAAATGTACCATCTGATGAGGGATGGTGGTGGTGGGGGGACTGTCTGGGGGCAGGGTATATGGGAAGCCTTTGTACCTTCTGTTCAGTTTTGCTGTGAACCTAAAACTATGCTATGCAGGAAAGTCTGTTTTTAAAAAAAAGGACTTTAGTGTCCAAAGATTTTCACCATCGTGTTATTTATTGAAGTGAGAATTTGAAAGCAAGCCATTTATCTGACCAAATAGGATGGTTAGTCCATCCATGGATAGAATGCAGCTGTTTCACTGGATGAGCTGCAACTAAAAGATGTTTAGGAAAAGCTCATAACATGGAAACATGCCCATGTGCTGTTAAAAGATGAGACACAAAAATTTATATACAATATTATTCGGTAGTTGAGAACAAATATGGAGTAAAATCTGTGAGTAGAGGAAATCTCAAAAGGAAGTCAATCAGTAACATACTAAAGTGCTTGTCTTTGGGTGTTCTGTGTTCTTTTCATCTTTCCTGTTTTTTAAAAAAATTTTTATGATGCATATGGCATTACTTTAATGGTGGACATAGTTCAATGATCATTTTTTCAGTTTTTAAAATATACTCTGGGGAAAATTTTTAAAATATTGATATTGTAAGAAAATAATACTGATTTAACTAAAGAACAAATAGAGCCAAAGTTTTCTAAAGCCATACAAACAGGCAAACAACTCTGAGTGTTTACTGCTTATGTCAGGATAGATGATTTTGGTTTCATATTTTGAGTCAGTGGTTCGTCACTCATTGTCCATTATAAAAAAAGCACAGAAGAAAATATTAAAATGTTTGGTTTTTTTTAAGCATAAAAATAAGAGAAGTTAAGCAGTAAAAAGAGTTATTTCACAAATAAGTTGAGGCATGTACTTTCCTGGTTTCTGACTGTCAGATGGTCCTTGTCAGATACCTGCAGGAATAGGGGGTTTCTTATTCTTCCCTGAGCTTGCAGGATGTGGGACATGGCACAGCCTGTGATGCCTTGTCAGGAATATTTATGGATATTATTATCCAGCAGAAGCAGACAGCAAAAAAATGGCAGAGTTGACCCTTCTCTGGAACATTAGGTCAGTACAGAATAAACTAACGGAACATCAGTAATCTAATGAGCTTCAGTAACAAGTTGGCCCTAAAATTGAAAATTATGAAGATGAACATTTGAAATATGGCTTTAGTTTGACCCCTGTGATAATGTTTCTTGCCTAAGTAGTGTGCCGCCATTGATAAAATGTTAGTATAGTGTACTTGTTCTTTAGTCCCTAAGTCGTATCTGACTCTTTTGCAACCCCATAGACTGTAGTCTACCCAGCTTCTCTGTCCATGGGATTTCCCAGACAAAAACACTGGAGTGGGTTGCCATTTCCTTCTGGGGATCTTCCTAGCCCAGGGATGGAACCTGCATCTCCTGTGTTGGCAGGTGGATTCTTTACCATTGAACCACCAGGGAAGCCCAGAGTATACAGTTGACTTTGAACACACACAAATATTTGAAATAGAAATCTGTGTTCAGAGAATTTTCTTTTTTGTGGGTGGGGTGCATCATTCAAAAAGATTTGGAGGTCATTGGCTTATAATGCAACATTAGTAATAAACTGGGAAATAATAGAAGTTTGCTGACTTGAAGCTTAACTTTTAAGCTGTATTTTTTATGTATATTTCTCTTTTCTGCAGTTAGTAGAGAAATCATTTATTTTCTATGACACAAATGTTTTTGCATTCTCTATTGTATTACCCAGTTTACTGATTTCCAAGAAAAGCAAGTATTTCCTTTCTGAGAACTAACAGAGCTAAGCTGGATTCTCTGGAGAGGAAAGCTCTGTTGTTACAGATGGACAGACTCATAGACATTTTCAGGTGTCTCACTCATGGTAACAGATGAACATGAGGCCTGAAAATCCTTTGTCACGGTTGTTCACTTCACAACTCATTCATTCCAGATGTAAAATCAGAATGGGCAGCTATGATCATCATACTGAGTTGATATAAGCTCTTTCATGTTTCAGTACCTATGGCCTTTGCCAAAGAAATTACAAGTGCAGTGTTTTACGTTTTTCTGTGGATACTCAAACGTGCTTCATGGTTCTGAGTTTCTTTTCGCTTTTGTTGCCTTCCCAGTTGGAGGAGAGCAGATAAGCGCCATTGGACGGGGCATCTGCGTGTTGCTGGGTATCTCCTTGGAAGATACGCAGAAGGAACTGGAGCACATGTAAGAGACATCTTATCTTACATTCCACATCACTGCTGTCCTGGTGGGACACGTGCTGGTTGTCCAGCTAGCTGCCTAGCTTTTTATATAATATATACACACAGGCATATACATGTATGTATATATAGGCACTTCTCTGGTGGTTCGGTGGCTGAGACTCCTTGCTCTCCATGCAGGGGGCCCCAGGTTCAATCCCTGGTCAGTGAACTAGATCTCACATGCTGCAGCTGAAGATCTTGCATGCCAAAAAGAAGACTGAAGATCCTGTGTGCTACTACTAAGACCCAGTGAAGCCAAATAAATAAATAACAGAACTTTAAAAAAAGAACACACACACACATATGGAACTTCTGTAGTGTCTTGCTCCTGTAAAGTGAGCCTCTGTCACTTTCATCTGTGTCCCTTTCGATGCAGTGTGCCCACCTTTGTGTCACGGACGAGGAGGGCAGGGAAGAGCCGTCACCTGGCGGGTGCCCTCCATAGCGGGCTGGAGCACAGCTCAGCCTCTGTCCCTGCGTGCTCTTGCAGCCTGGAGCCATTCTCCTAAGGCAAACACTGAGCCTCTTTTCACATGAATAGTTTATGCTTCCAGTTTGAGCTGCACTGTCTGGGCCCTGTTACACATGGTCAGAAAGGCTCAGTTGTTCACTGGACACGTGAGGATCTGCAGGTCAGTGAGGTTACGTTACCTGCTGACGGTCGTGCACGTGTACTTAGCACAGAGCCTGACTCCAGACTAGAACCTGGGCCGCCCGACCTGGAAGCCGGTGCTCTTTCTTCTAAGGTGGGAGCTTTGTCACTGTTGTTGCCTGACTGGCCCGTCCTCACGTTGCCTCTCCCCAGCACTGCCTGGCACACTTTCTTCCAAAGCTTGGATCTGTTTTCTCTCTGCCCTTTGGTGCCCAGAGCAAAGGTGCAGCAGTGCCCAGTAGTCCCTTTTGTGTTAGGTTGAAAACCAGACTTGGAACCGAATTCCCGCTAAGGTGTTGCTGACTGGCAAGGGCCATTCAGTACCACTTCAGGAATGTCGGTGTTTCCATAGCTGTCCCTTAGATACACAGGAGGCTGGGAGTGGTGTAGTGGTTAAAAGCTGGGGCCCAGGTCCAAGTCTCTCTGTGGCTCTGACAAAATGGAGAGCTAGTACGTAACTTTGTGGTTCAGAGAGGACTCAACAGAAGGTGGACCTCGGCCATGGAGAACGGGCCATGGACATGTCCCCTGCAGAGGGTGCCTACAAAACTGGCGAGTGAGTATTTGTAGAGGCTCTGAACACATGTTCAGCATCATCACACACGTGGGTTCAGAGGGTGGAATTGCAGCTTTTGTGGAGGTAGTTGTCATTTGTCTCAAGTCTGACCTTACAAATGTTAGCCAGTCCTCTTCCTTGCTGAGGTGGGTGTCCTTTGTCATCCCCACATACAGGGAAAACCCCTCTGGCTGTAAGGAGCCTGTGACATGGTTGTCAAGATGTCTCTCCCCAGATCTTCCTGCATTTCTGCACTGACCATGAGTTTTCTCCAGGGTATTTGCCGAATTGTTTAAAAGGGTCATCATTTACCCCCGTGTAAAGATTGAATTCTGTAGAAAATAGAACTGAGCTCATGTTTTGACACAACCCCAGCTTGAAGGAGCAGGTGGTAATGAAGGGGCCCGTCATCTCAGCTCCGGTTCCCACTGGAAGCTGCTGTGAATTAGAGGGGCTGATGAAATAAAGGACTGTTATTACCCTGTTACTGAAGGGCTGAGATGGTAAAGAGTTTGCCCCCAATGCGGGAGGCCCAGGTTCGATTCTTGAGTGGGGAAGATCCCCTGGAGAAGGAAATGGCAACCCACTCCAGTATTCTTGCCTGGGAAAGCCCATGGACAGAGGAGCCTGGTGGGCTAGTCTGTGGGGTCCTGAAGAGTCTGACATGACTTAGTGACCAGCACTTTCACTTTTTGCGGAGGCGCAGGGAGGAAAGGAACTTGCCCAAGGTCATCCCTCCTGTAGGCGGTGGAGCCAGCACAGTGACCCCCGTCTGCAGAGCACTGGTGACATTTTAGGGGCATGGGTGTGTCTGGGGTCTTGCGGTTCTCTCGGTAGCTCTCACCTGGGATTTTCCCCCAGGGTCCGGAAGATCTTAAACCTGCGGGTGTTTGAGGATGAAAGTGGGAAACACTGGTCGAAGAGCGTGATGGACAAGCAGTACGAGGTGCTGTGCGTCAGCCAGTTCACCCTGCAGTGTGTCCTCAAGGGGAACAAGCCCGACTTCCACCTGGCCATGCCTGCAGAGCAGGCTGAGTCCTTCTACAAGGGCTTCCTGGAGCAGCTTCGCAAGACCTACCGGCCGGAGCTCATCAAAGGTGGGTGGGGTCCCCCAGGGGGAGGGGTCAGCAGCCTGCAGATGGAATGTTTCCTTTCCAGAAAGTTTGCTGTTTATGCTTATTCTTTTTTATTTTTTTAATTGGGATATAATTGCTTTACAATGTTGTGTTAGTTTCTGCTGCACAACAACAGTGAATCAGCTACGTGTGTGTACATATGTGGGCTTCCCAGGTGGTTCAGTGGGTAAAGAACCTACCTGCCAGTGCAGGAGACATCAGAGATGTGGGTTCGATCCCTGGGTGGGGAGGATCCTTTGGAGGAGGAAATGAAAACCCACTCCAGTATTCTTGACTAGAGAATCCGATGGACAGAGGAGCCTGGTGGGCTACAGTCCATGGGATCGCACAGTCGGACCTGACTGAAGTGACTTAGCACGGACACATACAGATATCCCGTCCCTCTTCGACCTCCCTCACACCCTACCCCCATCCCACCCATCTAGGTCATCACAGAGCACTGAGCTGAGCTCCCTTGTGCTGTATAATAGTTTGTTATTTTGTTAACACTACATCCGAGCCGCTGCCCCTGCCGCTGCCCTGTGTGTCCTCTGAAGGCCACGTGGTACCGTTCACCCTTCTCCATGCTTCTGTCCATGTCGGAAGTGTGTCTCAGCCCAGCAGTGCACAGGATGCAGGGTGTTTTGTTTTGGTTGTTTATCCTGCCTGACGAGAAATACAACTGCCGTCCACAGAGGGGAGTCACATGTCCTCTTAAATTTCTAGGAGCCATATTAAAAAAGGAAAAAGAAACAAGCAAAACTAACGGTACAACTATTTCACATAGCGCAGGACACCCCCAGGCTTCTGATTTGACCCCACAGTCAGTGTAAAGAGTTCCTGATGAGAGTTCTCCCCTCCTGCCTTGTCCTGAAGCTTTCCTGCTCACTGGGCACCTCAATCCAGACCCACCTGTTTCCAGTGCCCAGTGGCCACGTGTGGCTCTCTGCTCTCATGTGAACAGTGTAGACTTAACTGCTGGTCGTGGGAGATGCCAGCCAATCTTCACCGACCAAGAGGGAGCCTAGAAAATGCCTGAGAAGAGTGGGCCTGGTTTGTAGGAGAACTGTGAATCCAACATTATGAATTTTCTTCTGAGGGCCATTCACCTCTAGTCTGTTTTCATGTTTCAGGGGACGAGTTGCATTTAGACCATCCTTGTGTGCCTTTTGCAGAGAAGGCAATGGCAACCCACTCCAGTACTCTTGCCTGGAAAATCCCATGGACGGAGGAGCCTGGTAGGCTGCCGTCTATGGGGTCGTTATGAGTTGGACACGAATGAGCAACTTCACTTTCACATTTCACTTTCATGCACTGGAAAAGGAAATGGCAACCCACTCCAGTGTTCTTGCCTGGAGAAACCCAGGGATGGCGGAGCCTTGTGCGCTGCCGTCTATGGGGTCGCACAGAGTCGGACACGACTGAAGCGACTTAGCAGCAGCAGCAGCAGCAGTGTGCCTTTTGCTTCAGTTTCTGGGAAAGTGTATTTAGCCTCTTTTTGTGATGAACCTCAGGGTGAGACCGTAGGATGACCGCTTCTGTGTCTGATCAACCACAACTGTGTCTGCTGCTGCTGTCAGCCTCCTGTAGACATTTAGTTGTTGCTAACAGTTAATTCTGTAGTTGTTCCTGTTCTTTAACTTTCTCTCTCTGGGTTAAACAAACCCAGGTCCCTTTTTTATTAGACCTGTTTTCAACCATAAGTGATAAAAGTCATGACCTGACTCTGGAGTTCTGTAGCAGAACCCCACATCAAGGGCTGTCAGCTCTTCAGATTGGTCATGTTCAGAGGAGTTTTATCCCAGCTCCTCACTGGTATTTCCATTAATTTAAATTTTCCTCTTATGTGAAGTGTCCATTTGCCAAAAGGACAAATGGGTTCCATGTGATCAGGACCCTCCCACCTTAAGTCAAGTCCGGCCCTTTATTTGGGTGCTGGTAGAGAAGAAATACATGTACCTTGTCTGGGAACATCCCAGTTTAGAATTCCATGGACAAGGCTGGTCGTGAACGTCCACTGGGGTCCTCTGTCCATCACGGCTTTGCTACAAACAAAGTTCTTCCCCCAATTAGTAGTTCAGTGCTTTGAATAATGATGTTTCTTTGCTGAGCCAGGGATTAACTGCTGCCAGCATTGTGTCCTCTGCCTGCCGTGTAAAATCATCCCATTTCTGAGTAACCTCAGATGTGTTTGAGGCTGCACCAAGGTCCTTAGAAGGATAAGCACCAGGAATATCACAGAAGCATGAGAGAGAGCCCTTTCTGTGGGACATGAATGATGCTGTCAGGGAACGCTCAGGTGAAAACAAGGCCACTTTCACCTAAGCCCTTCAACATGAGTGTTCCATGTACCTTTAAGTGCTTTGTGTTCCTAAAAACAGCTCTTTTTGAAAAGATGTGTATTTTGTCCAGGTCTTTATGTGAGGTGCCTGAAGCAGTGTACTGTAAACACTATAATTTTATAATGGATCAAAATTTAAGCTCATGGGATATGAAACATCAGATCATTTTGATGAAAAGCCAACATGGATGATGCCAGGGATTTTAATTAGAATTTATTTTCAGCTTCTTTGGGCTTTCAGAGGCCCTACAGTGATTTCTCAGGCCTCGCTTGGTCTTCTTTAGTGGAACAAAGTTCAGGGAACATGTTTTACATGCTCACTGTCGTTGGGTTAATTTTGAGATTCTGGCTTTCACCTCCAACGTGGAAAGTCTTCTGTAAGCTGAAGGAACATGAACTGCTGAATTCATTTTCTTTCTTGAAAGATTTTCAGGGTCTCTTCAGTGACTTTAAGACAATGTAGTTTAATTCAAAAATTAAAAAATTTAATCCTGACCCCAAGAAATTAAAAAAAGAAATTTGCAAAAAAAAAAATTTCCAGTTCTTTTGAGATGTAATTGACCTATAACACTCTGTTAGGTTTAGCCACTTGACATATGTATGTAGTGTGAAATGCCCACAACAAGTTGACATCCATCACCTCCCAGGTTACATGTCTACATCCCTAAGAGCTAAGTGCCCAAAACACACCAACTTCTTCTAAGTTGCCTAATATCCTTTCCCCACGTAAAATACCCTGCCCTTCTAACCCTCCTGGCTTCATGTCGCATGGTCTCAGGTTCCTAGAACATCAGGAAACACAATGCTTTTGTCCCTCGCTCCTTCACTCTTTGTTCACAAGATGAGTGTACTGCTCTGATTTCCTCTTACTACTGTGCCTTGAAGGTTTGGATGTGTCCTCCTCCTCCCTGTTTTTGTGCCAGTTGGAAGCTGCTGCTGCCTCTGTTTCTGGGAAAGATCTTCCAGAGCCTAGCTTAGGCCTCTTTTTAAGCGCTGTGTTTGGTCCCAGTATCTCATCTTTAGCTTTTAGGTGTGATTGTGCCTAAAAGCTGTTTTAAGCTAATGGGTCAATAGACTTGTTTACAATGTGATATTTTCTGCTAAGTCCAGTATTTTCAAGTAAAAACAAACAAAAAAAAGACTATCTTCATCACAGTTTTGCAGGTCAGGAATCTTGGAAGGGCTTGGCCAGGCACTTGTCCCAGACCCAGATCAGCCTGAAGGATTTCCTGGATCAGATGATAAAGACTCCTCCTGCAATGCAGGAGACCCGGGTTTGATCCCTCGGTTGGGAAGATCCCTTGGAGGAGGGCCTGACAACCCACTCTAGTATTCTTGCCTGGAGAATCCCACGGATGGGGGAGCCGGGCGGGCTGCAGTCCGCGGGGTCACAAAGAGTCGGACACGACTGGGCAGATAACACAGGGGCTACCCTGCCTTCACAGTGGAAACCTGTGGCAGGGTCAGTGCTGCCAGGTGGCGGCTGCAGTGTTGGCTGGGCCTGGGGACCTGCTTCTGGGCCGGCCTCTGTGCATCTTGTTTCTGTGCCCCGCCTCATCTGATTCCCCAGGGTGCCCCACGTTGCTTGGCTTCTCCCAGCCCAGCTGTCTTGGAGTAGCTGGATTTCTACAGTGGTGCCCGGCTTCCCCGACCAGAAGGGGACGCTTCAGGGAGCAGGAAGTGGAAGCGCCAGCCCCACAGACAGGCCTGGAAAGTGGCCTGTGTCATGCCCCACGTGCTGTTGGTCAGGGCAGTTACTCAGCGGCCCAGATTCTGGGGGAGGAGTGGAGACCCGCCTGCAGTGGAAGAAACGTCAGAGTTTGTGACTATCTTTTGTCTCCTGCAGTTCACACCTTTGCTGTTCTCAGAGGGTTTTTCTCATCCTCTGCCTTCCCTTCAAGTACTTGCTTTAGGGGGAGAAACCCAGCACACAAATCCTCAGTCCTCCCCTCTTGCAGAACAAGCCTGAGGCTGAGGGCGCTTCATGAACACCCCCAACCTGAGTGGGCTTCAGGATGCTGAGTTCCCATGTGGCCCCCTGCGACCCCACCCCACCCTCCACCCAGGACCTCCATCCTTCAGATGAACGCTGAAAGTACCACTTAGTGGGTGTCCTTAACCATTCTCAGAGTTGAGTTCTGAGCATGTGTTGCTTTTATAGTTAGGAAACAAAAATAAATGTGATACCAGAATGGAACAATTGAAAAGAGGGATCTCCACTCTCCAGCATCTTGTTCCCACTCTCAGCCGTTTTGTGCTCAATCCAGGAAAGCACTTACCTGTCAGCTTTGTTCAGCAAATCAGAAGCCTCCACGGGATTAAAAAGGGCTACCTGTGTATTCCGTGGTCTGATCTGTGGTGGGCAGCAGAGAGCTGGAGGAATGTGGAAGGTTGTTTAAGGAGGGCAGGAGACTTCTGATTGCCCTCCACCCCCCACCCCAGCCCCTGTTCCCTCTGGGCATGTCCTAGCCCCAGCAGGTTCATCTTGCAGAGAAAGTGCCCAAAGGAGGAAGACCACGTCAAGTCTTTCCGTCATGGCTAATTTTTTATGTGTTTGCTTAATTTTCTTCTCTTTTTACTATTAATACTTAAAACATTTTCACCACATGAGTGAACTTTCAGTGGACGCCTGTGTTACATACTTTGGCCAGTGCTATGATGCCGGAGGCATTACTGTTCATGTAAATCTAGGAATTCTTGATGGGGGAATCACATCTTTGTTGAGATCTGAATCTGTAGACCCCAAGTCCATGAAGTTTTTTAAACTCTTCCTGCTTCCCCTGCTGAAAGATTCAAACTTTTCTTTTCATGCTGAGTCATTTCCTATCTTTGGATGGTGACAAGGGTGAAAGGAGTTTCTTTCCACCTATACCTGTGTCTTATTTTTTAAAAATTGCCTTTAGGGACTTCCCTGGTGGTCAAGTGGCTAAGACTCTGCGCTCCCAGTGCAGGGGGCCCGAGTTTGATCCCAGGTCAGGGAACTAGATCTTATGTGCCGCCACTGAGAGTTCATATGCAGCTACTAAAGATCTTGCATGATGCAAGGAAGATCAAAGATTCTGCGTGCTGTAACTAAGACTTGGTGCAGCCAAATTAATGCATACATACCCACATAGATATATAAAAAAAGAGTGACCAGCTTTCCTGCATGCTGATTTGCTGGGCTCTGGGCCAGTGCCCTGCCTGTACTCACATGCATGCTTCTTGTGGTTGCTGGTCATTCTGAAAGACACCAGGCCACAGAGAAGCAGGGCGTGGCTTCCTGGTGGAGGTGGGCAGGCTGTCAGGCATTGACATCAGCGGCATGGACATCAGCGGCATGGACATCAGCCTTTGTGGGTACATGGAGTGCTGTGGTTTGGGGCCGGTGAGGGCCCTTGGACCCTGCGGGATTGGCCCCGATGGGGAGTGTTCCTGCTGGAAACATGTGGGACTTATATTTCAGAGCAACCTGATTATATCACCACTGGAGCCCAGATGTAGTTTTGTAGATAAGTTCCTGCCTTTTGACATGATTATTATTATTTTTTAACTGTTTCTATTTTTCCTAACCATTGTAATTTTTCTTGGGGGCTTTTCTCTGTGAGCTGGACTGGGAAAAAAAAATATATATATATATATTACCATTTTAAGACTTCTTGAAACATGTCTTTGGATTTATTGTCCATACAGGTGGAAAGGCACACAATAGTTCTGTTCTTAACTGAAGAAAAACAGGCAAAAAAAAATAAATTTCTTGCTACTTAGAATGATAAACGGGGTGAAGCATATGCTGTATATCCTGGCAACAGAAATTCAAGGTTGGAAATAATTCCTTTCCTCCTGAGCCTGCCTTCAGCTTCCCTGAGGAGAGCAGCGGCTGAAAGTTGCTCCTGATTGTAGCCATAATTTTTAGCCTGCAATTAAACACATGATTTCCTTCCTAGCTGATGTCTTTTTAGCTTTCCTGACAGGGGTAGCACAAAAGCTCTGTGGATCTGAAGGGCCACTTTAATCTAAGCAAAGGCCACAGGAAGCCACTGTCATCCATGCACGACTGGCTGCCCAGTGGGAAGTAGATCCGTGTCGCCTCTAAAAATGGCGAGCAGCTTGGCTTCTCTTAGTCGCCCGCGCCACTGCCCGAGCCTGTTCTGCCGGGACTTTCCATGAGGTCACAGATCATTGGAGGGGCCCCTTGCTGCTGTGGCAGGTCTGGTGTCTGGGGGCCCCAGGGCCGAGCCACTCTGGAGGGGTGAGCCCCGAGGGGCTCCTGGGCCACCCTTCTCCTTGGCCTGTCCCCCAGAGGTTGTCCATCCTGTGAAGGGTGCTCCCTGTGAAGCAGGCTCCTCCCCAGGGGACTGTGGGGATCACCAGAGTGAAGAACTAAGCAGGTGTCCCTCCTCCATGTCTTGAGAGCCTGTCTGAGCTGCAGTGCACTGTGACCCCCAGGAATGGGCAGGCAGTCGTGGTCCCTCAGACCATGAGGCGGAGAGCAGACCCTGACTCTGCACACAGGGGCATTCCCCTGCTCCTCGAACTTGTATGTCAACCTTGGTCCTTTCACTGGTCTCCCTGTGTTGCAGGAGGGACGCAGAGGCCTCAGAGCTGGCTGGGGCCCTGAATCCCGTGGCCCTTCTAGTCCTGTGTCGTGCGGAGCCACCTCCAGGGAGCCCCTCTCACCAGGGACCTCTCACCCTTCTCTGGCCTCCAGGGTCAGGATTCTCAAGGTCAAACAGTGCTGCATCATTAGCACCCTGTGCCCATCTGTCCCCCCACGAGACCCCAGGTCGTAAACACTGGGCTGTCTGCCCCAAAGTGGAATTCCAGAGTTGTGGTGTTGGTTCAAGTTGAACTTTACCAAATTCTTTGCCCTCCAAAGTGTCCATACACTTCATGTCCTCATGGCTTCACAGTCCTGTTAACCCATGATTTCCCTGGTCCACCCCCTTGTTGGGGCTGCAGGGCACGCAGGGCCCCTTTGCTGTGTGTGGTCTTGTGTTTCCCTTATTATGGGGTTGGCCGGTCCTGCTCCCAGATTTCCGATTGCACTGATCGCAGAGAGCTTTAACCCGAGGTCTCCACCTCTTGTGACGGCTGCCATTGCTCTTACAGATGGCAAGTTCGGCGCCTACATGCAAGTTCACATTCAGAACGACGGGCCTGTGACCATAGAACTGGAATCTCCAGCCCCTGGTGCTGCTGCCTCCGACCCGAAGCAGGTAAACCCAGAATCAGGCTGGTCAGATTCCTGGGAGCCAGGGACACCTTCTGGCTTTGACTTAGTTCCTGGAGCTTGTCTCAGTCTGGGGTGGAGACAGCCCTTCATTGCAGGAACCTAGGGTTTTGTTTTCCTGCATCAGTTCCCAAGAACACACCTATTGCCCTGCATCTCCTCCATGCTGTGGCCTGGCCACCGCCTGAGTCAGAATCCATGGCACTGCCCAGTCCCTCCTCTGGGCTGCTCCGGGGTGAGGTGCTGTGGCACCCGGTGGCCACTGGGAGGCAGCAGCGGAGCGGCATAGCTCCCCTTGTCCATGGCTCCGGTGCCCAAGTGTGGAATGCTTGTGGAGTGCGTTTATCCCAGGTGTGGTTACATGTGCTACCGGAGGTTCTTTCTAAATCCTAAAGCAACGTCTGACCTGGATTTGCTGCCAACTCTGCCAGCCTTCAGAGAAAATTTAATTCAAACAGAAAAAGGAAATCTGTGCTAGCCCTTGTGTGCTGTGGCTTCTGGTAGGTGCTTAGCGCTTCTGAAGACTGTGATTAACGCAGCCACTTAGTGACCTTTGAGAGGCAGGTGGGCAGGAGGCGTGAGAGCTCGGGAGGCAGTTCCATCTTCCTCCCCTGCTTCTAGGATGCCATGAAGGGAAGGCTGCAGGGGCTGAGGGGAGCATTCTCTAAACCTGAAGCTCTGTGCCCTGTTCAGAGTCACAGTTTCTAAGGGGAACAGAGCCTTTCTTTCTCGTTACTGATTTTCGGTGGGCAGGTATGCTTGGTACCTGCTAGCCTTAATCCAAGCTGCTGGTTCTCAGCCTCTGACGTGCAGCAGAGTAACTTGAGAAATCAACATTCCCACTGCCTGGCTGCACCCAGATCAATGACACGGATTCTCCGGGGTGGGGTCAGAGGAGGTTCTGGTCTGCAGCCACGACTGGAACCACGAGTGTGAGCTGCAGAGGGAGGGACCCGCGTGCTGGCCTGCCTTGATGGGGTCTGTTACCTCGGACATCTAAGGGCTGGCCAGATCACCTGCAGACAAAATACCAGACTCCTTGCTCAAAAAGCAGGAAAAAGTGCCTGTAAAGTTACTACAAAGGTCCAAGTATGGATGTGATGCTTTTGAACTATGGTGTTGGAGAAGATTCTTGAGAGTCCCTTGGACTGCAAGGAGATCCAGCCAGTCCATTCGAAAGGAAATCAGTCCTGAATATTCATTGGAAGAACTGATACTGAACTGAAGCTCCAATATTTTGGCCACCTGATGTGAATAACTGACTCGTTGGAAAAGACCCTGATGCGAGGAAAGATTGAAGGCAAGAGAAGGGGATGACAGAGGGTGAGGTGGTTGGATGGCATCACCGACTCAGTGGACATGAGTTTGAGTAAGCTCCGGGAGTTGGTGATGGACAGGGAAGCCTGGCATGCTGCAGTCCATGAGATTGCAAAGATTCGGACATGACTGAGTGACTGAACTGAACTGAAAGTTACTATAGTGTAAAGCTTTTTACTTTTACCCATGGTCTTTGGACTTATTGTGCTTTTTATTTGCTATTTAATATTATTCTGCTGCTGCTGCTGCTGCTAAGTTGCTTCAGTCGTGTCGGACTCTGTGCGACCCCATAGACGGCAGCCCACCAGGCTCCACTGTGCCTGGGATTCTCCAGGCAAGAACACTGGAGTTGCCATTTCCCTCTCCAAATCAAAGACAAATTAAAAATTTATATTATTGACATGAATTTATTATTTCTCTGTATACTGCCCAAACCATTAAAAACAATATTTTGTTGAAGTATAGTTGATTTACAAGTATAGTTAATTTCTGCTCTACTGCATAGTGATTCAACTTTACATGTATATATTGTTTTCCATTCTCTTTTCCATTATGGTTTGTCATAGGATATTGAGTATAGTTCCTGTGCTATACAGTAGGACCTTGTTGTTTATTCATTCTGTATATAATAGTTTGCATCTGCTGACCCCAAACTCCTCCTCCATCCCTCCTCCACTTCCCTCTCTCTTGGCAACCACAAATCTGTTGTCTGTGTCTGTGAGTCTGTCTGTTTCGTAGGTAAGTTCATTTGCACCATGTTTTAGATTCCACATATAAGGGATATTATATGGTATTTGTCTTTCTCTCTCTGACTTACTTCACTTAGTACGATAATCTCCAGGTCCATTCTTGTTGCTGCAGATGACATGATTTCATTCTTTTTTATAGCTGAGTAATTCTCCATTTTTTATATATATATATGTGTGTGTGAGATATATATATGTGTGTGTGTGTGTGTGTGTGTGTGTACCAGTTCTTTTTTATCCATTCCTCTGTCAGTGGACATGTAGGTTGCTTCCAGGTCTTGGCTATTGTGAATATTCGGTGCTGCTGTGAGCATTGGGGTGAATGTATCTTTTTGAATTACAGTTTTCTCCAGATGCATGCCCCAGAGTAAGGCTGCTGGATCATGTGGTAACTCTGTTTTTCGTTTTCTGAGGCACCTTCACACTATTCTCCATAGTGGCTGTACCGACTTATATTCCTAACAACAGTGTAGGAGGATTCCCTACTCTGCACACCCTCTCCAGCATTTATTGTTGGAGATTTTTTGAGATGGCTGTCCTGATTGGTGTGAGGTGATAGCTCACTGGACTTTACATTTCTCTAATAATTAGCAATGCTGAGCGTCTTTTCATCTGTCTGTTGTCTCATGGAGCATGCTTGGCCTTCCTAGATATAAAATGAAGTATTACAATGTCACAATGAGAACAGATGGTGCTGGCCGAGCAAGAGAGAAACCGATCACCGAGGAGATGAGTGGCCTGAAAGGGAGCCTGATTGTTGATGAGAAGTTTGGTTTGTAATAAAGATGGTGTTTCAGATCAGGTCAAGAAGTAGGTTCTCATCAAAGGTGTTATGAGAACTGGCTGGTTAGTTTTAAAAATTGAACACAGTGGAGATCTGTGAACTTATATGGAAAACACAGCAGCTGTGCTATTATATGAAACAAACACATCTCCAAAGAATACATGGCAATGTGATTCCAGGTTTATAAACCTAAGACTATCGGTTGGTATGTAACTCATTTATCTGTCTTCCGCTCTCTGGATCTGCTGTCTCTAATACATTCTGGTACAGAGAAGATTTATCTGTTTTTAAAAATTGAGGGACTTCTCTGCTGGTCCAAGGGTTAAGAATCCACTTTGTGATGCAGGGGACGTGGGTTTGATCCCTGGTGGGGGAACCAGGATCCCACATGACATGAAACAAGCGCATGCTAAGTTGCTTCAGTTGTGTCCAGTTCTTCGAGACCCTGTGAACTGTAGCCCTCCAGACTCCTCTCTCCATGGGTTCTCCAGGCAAGAATACTGGAGTGGGTTGCCATGCCCTCCTCCAGGGGATCTTCCTGACAGGGATTAAACCCACGTCTCTTGTGTCTCCTGCATTGGCACATTCTTCACCACCTGGGAAGATCAGTTTACCTTATAAGGGGCTTCTAATAATGTGAGAGGTAATCAGCTCAATAGCCAAATAGTCTGCTTGTTTACAAGTTGGCAGACCTGGATTCATTAAGTTTTACTGTGCCTTCTCACTGTGCCTAGTAGCTCTGCTCTTCTTTCTAGATGTTTCTTTTGTTTTTTCTTTAAAGGAAGTGTTGAACTATATAAAATAAGACAACTAATGAGAACCTGCTGTGTAGCACAGGGTACTCTACTCAATACTCTGTAACGGCCTAGATGGGAAAAGAATCTAAAAAAGAAAGAATGGGTATATGTGTATGTATAACTGATTCACTTTGATGTACACTTGAAAGTAACACAACTTGGTAAATCAACTATATACCGATAAAAATTGGAAAAAAAAGTGTTGAGAATGTTGTTTTTCTTTTTTTTTTGGAAATGTATAATCTAAAAGTAAACCTCACTTTAAAAAAATGAATTATTCCACCTGAAGGAGGATTATAGTACGTAGCAGATTATCATTGTTAATAGAAACACAGTTGAGAACTAACAGTTTCTAAGCTTTGTATCCATGCTTATGACCCTCAAACACCACAAGATGGGGGAAGCTCGATTTTCTCCTTGACTGACTTGTTCAAGGTCATGGGACGTGGCTACTAAGTAAGCTGGCTTCCAACAGAAGACAGTCTTTCAGGTCATCCAGTCTCAGGTTTCTTCTGACAGAACTTCCTTAACTCCCATCTTTCTGATCTGTAACTTGATCTGTTCAAAGAAATGAAGCCTCAGCACCTCTCAGATCAGTGTGTGGAACTTGGTCCTCCAGGAGTCAGCTGCTCTAGAAATGGGTTCGTGTCCTTGCCATTGACCTTCAGTTCACTTGGAGTTGCACTGAGGTTTACAGGTCTGTGTGTTCCTGTTTTCCCTGAACGCTGGATGGTGTTGGCCAGAATCCCTCGGTACCGGCTTGCAAAGCCATCCTTCAGGGCTTACTCATCCTGTTGTATTTCTCCAGATTCTGGGAATCACTGGCCTGTTTCCAGAGCCTGTGTGTGTCACAGTTAGAAACATGGTCTGTGTTTGACAGGTGGGAAACAATTTTGTTGAGTAAAAGGTTAGATTCATAAGGGAGACATATGGAAATAAAAGTGTCTTACAATGTTAACCTCTGTTTTTGACCATTAATTGATATTAACAGTGTCTTTTTGTTAAGGTTACATTATCTATTTACCTATTTTATTGATAGAGGTATAATTGATATATGATGTTAGCTTCAGGTATACAATTGATATATGATGTTAGTTTCAGGTATGCAACATAGCAATTCAACATTTAAATACGTTACTGAATGATCACCATGATAATTCTAGTAACCATCTGTCACCAAACAAAATTACAGTATTATTGACTATATTCCTTACTCTGTATATTATGTTCCTGTGACTTAGTTATTTTATAAATGGGAATTTGTTCCTTGGCCTTCTTCACTTCCTTTTCCCACCTCCCTCCCTTTCTGGCAACTACCAGTTTGTTCTCTGTATCTATGAAT